TTTCGTTATCTCGTTTTTTGTTATCATGCACTCGGCGCGGTCCCAATTAGGCGTGCTAACCAAGGGATGACTGTAACTGACAATCATTAAACCACAAACATCAGATTCTCTGAGGTTTGGGCATCACAAAGATCTAACTTCAGTAGCAATTGGAAACTCAGGCATCCACCAAGGGCAATATTCGTACTTCGACATTCTTACTGGCAGACTCAACACTCACTTATTTGACTAGTTTTACTAACAATAAATACAGTTGAAGCTTTCAACATCACTCACAAGAGATCTTGAATGTTTCATCTGTAATCAGACATATCTGACACAATATAATATCACTGGGTTCTTACTCAATTTCAAATCTACGAACATGGTATGAGCTCTGAAGAAATAACATAGTCTCGGAGATACATGAAATTGAGAGAAAACTGAGGGCTCAGACGTCCTGAAGCGATAAGAAAACAGACGCCTCAGATGGGGGACTCAATAAAGAAAGCATAGCTACCTGTTTTATGGGCTATTGAGGGTAATATGAATAATTTAATTTTATGTTAACTAACATGTATGACTGGTCATTACATTGCTTTCCCCTCCTCAAAGATTTATATTATGCAGTATAGGCAATTAAACATTTACAGTAATTACATGATCTTCCAAAACAAAATATACTGAAATACTTGGTTATTTGTCAGAATACATACTGTACAACATACATATGTTACAGAATTTTCACATACATAAAAAAAAAAATTGCACATCAAATGAATTTTGTACTGACCACGGTCATACGTGTTTGTTAACGTAAAATCAAACGATTGATATTACGCTCACTAGCCCACAAAACAGGTAGCTATGCCCTTGAACCCAGGGGATGCCTGAGGAAGAAGTAATCCACATCAATATAGAGTATACTCATACCAGTAGTTAATACACTTCTGATAAATGAAAGAATTGATGTTGACTTCAAGTTTTCTTCCAATTTCGTCAGTAGGAAACACGAAGACAAAAAAATATACTCATAGATAGCACATTTTCTGATATCCCCACCCCCCCTTCCATGAAAAAGAAAGGCTTGTACATATCAAATTGTTTTATTATCACTTTGAGCAGGTACAATGCTTGTGAGGGCAGTCTGTGTACAGTACTGTATACCCATAAGATGAGGGCTATTAAGTCAACAAAGTAAAAAAATGATATAGTTCTGTTAGGATTTTCTGAAACTGTAATGATGAGTCACTATAAAAATAAATATGACTGAACTGTGAATACCATCACACTATTACAAATCCTTTAAATTCATCAATGACATTTATCATTTGTAGCAAAGGAGTCTTCTGCAGTGGATAGCGTAACTCATACTGTACAGGAAACCAGATTTAAATTTCACCTTCTCACAAAATTTTACAATTATGCATATGCCAAACATTTTAGACTACAAAACAGAGGAGTGAAGGTAATACAGTACAGGGCTATTAAAAAAGAAGTACAGTAAACACTTTTAAACAGTCATAAAAGGTAACCCTTGTTTGTATTGGAGAGGAATGTGTATTAACTGCTGTAATAGAGAAAGCTGCCATCTTTTTATTAAAGACACCGTAAACAAAAATTTTATAGAGAAACCTGTCAAATTTTTTTATAGAGAAAACTGTCAAATTTTTTTTTTAGAGAAACCTTCAAGTTTTTTATTAGAGAAACCCTAAGTTTTTATATTATAGGGAACCCAATTTTTTTATGATAGGGAACCCTGAGTTTTTTATTATAGGGAACCCTGAGTTTTTTATTATAGGGAACCCTAAGTTTTTTATTATAGGGATCCCTAAGTTTTTTATTATAGGGACCCCTGAGTTTTTTATTATAGGGAACCCTAAGTTTTTTATTATAGGGATCCCTAAGTTCTTTATTATAGGGACCCCTGAGGTTTTTATTAAAGGGAACCCAAATTTTTTTATTATAGGGAACCCTAAGTGTTTTATTATAAAGAAACCCTTAAGTTTTTTATTATAGGGAAACCCTCAGTATTTTATTACAGTAGGGTCGGGATATATTGCGACTTTATATAACAATTTTTTTATATCATGGCTACCAAAATTAACAAAATTTTTCAATATAGTATAGCGATAAGTTTTTTTATTTCGCGAGGGAAATCGGGCAGGAAATATTTCAAATGTACCGCCATGGTAAACAAATGCGTTATTTGCTCACCAGAAGCGCCACCATGGCTGCTCACTCATACATTCACGCTCAGCCGCTCAGTCTTTCTGAGTGAGTGACGAGTAAGCAGCCGACTCTGCTGCAGATTACGACTTCTAAGGTGAGTGTAATTGGGTTGCTAGTGACGTGAAAAGTGAAGTGAGGATAATGGAAAGCTTAATGGAAAAGATTTAATACTGTAACTAATATTTTTGGTGTTCGTTTATGTAGAAGTGAGGGTGGCAGTGTGGAGTCTACTGCCGGGTCTGGTGTTCCCAAGATGGTGTGTCAGCTGCCGAGTCTGTTGTTCCTTGATACTGATATTGAGATAGCCTGTTGTTCCCGAGTCTTAGTGTTCATTGGAGCTTAAGTTAGTAAGAAAATTAACCCGTTAAGTCAAGTTTAGTCACTTTTTTGGGCCTCCAGAACCTAACCCTATTTTCCACATTGATTACATTTAATTATATAACGTTATTTAGTATATAGCGAACATCGTTGGACCCTATCTCGCTATATATCCCAACCCTACACTATAGGGAAACCCTTAAGTTTTTTATTATCTTGATTCCCTTAATTTTTTTTATGACAGTTAGATCTATAGTCCATCAATATTTCCTCACTGACTCTTGGGCAGCCAGCCAGGGCTCTTTTCGTTAAGAGATGCACCCTTGTTTTCAAATTGCCAAAACCAAGCACTTATTGATTCCCGTTGTAGTGGTTCTCTCCCATACTTCCTACGAACGTAAGTTGAACTCTCGTCACTGAATTTTTCTTTGCATATTGGATAAGAGTGCTTTCTCTCAAGGAGACGTCATTTTAACTTTGATAGAGCCTCTGGTGTTAAAATTGATAAGTACCTTCTGGTGTCAATTAAAAATCAGAATTTGGAGTTTTTTCTCTATTATTTAGTATGTATTCCATTCCCAATACACAAACAAGGGTTGCTCTTAATAACTGTTATTAAGTGTTTACTAATTTTAAATAACCTTGTAGTGATATCTAGGTTAGTCGTAACAATTGGTGCAGTGCACTTCTGGGAATGAGAGATTTCAGGGTAGCGAGATGATTCTCTCAAAGATGGAAAAAAATCTCGTCTCCGGAATTTTCCAGGAAACGGAAAAATTTTCCCGGGAGTTCCAGAAATTCTGCATTACATCATCTCTCAGGCCTGGAAAAATATCCCCCATCCCTGGAATTTTCCGGCTACCAGAAAATTTTTCTCGGAACTTATGGAAAATGTGCCTGATTTTCTCTCTCAAACTCGGACAAAACTCCCCCATCCCTGGAATTTTCCAGAAGATGTGCCCCTAGAAAAATCGTTCCCAAAGCCGGAATTTTCCAGAAAATTACGGTTTTAGGAATGATTTACCGAGAAAATAAAAATTTCGGCTATAGGAGAGTTCCAGGTTTGAGGGACACCGGATAACGGAGATATTACTATATAGAAACCTAACAATTACGGTAGAACGTCGATTTAAAGCGAATCAATTTAAAATTATTGATTTAAAGCGACATCCACAATTAAGGACACCTTATCAATTTAAAGCGAATCTTTCCTAATTTGTGCGGATTACCCCGGGGATTAAGTTACAATTTCAAATTTGAAGCTCAAAATTTCCAAAATGGGTCTTAAGCACCCCAAACGCTCCACCCCCGCCATCCCACTTCTCTGTCTTCAGTTGCTGCATGGGTATTGTCGGAGTAACAGCTGCCTCTCGTGTGTCAATTTAGTGAGCTTAAACCTCTCTCATACTCATTCATAATGCCCAAACACAAGCCAACTCTGTATTGTACATGTACGCAAATGTACTAAATAATTACTACATTTTTTATGTCTAGTGCAAACTATAGCATGTTTATATTCAAATTAATTACTATCTTACAAAAATCCCAGCTATGTAAGTAATATTCTCCAAGGTCAGTTCAGTGACATTTTATAAACAAAAAAACTTAAACTCCCTTAATGTAACTGATAACTACTCACTGGGTAATCTCCCCGCCGGCTGGTCAATCCCTCACCTCACCCCCCCCCTCCTCCCCCCCTGCCTGGCTGTCAACACATCACCTCCCCCATCCCAGGGGTGAAGGTAGTTTTAGGTTTAAAATTTTTCTCTTATAAAATGTCACAGACTAAAGTTAGGAGACTATATAATTTGCATTGCTGGAATCCTTGCAAGATAGCGAATAATTTGAATGTAGACATTACACACCTCAAATGAGGGATAAGGGATTGTGGACCTGTATTACATTACAGTAGTGATTTATGGGTTCTAGTGTATCTGGGTACTCTCTTAGTCGGGGCAAGGGGAGGGCCAGCATAAAGTAATAAAAAACTAAGTTGACAGGAAAGTGAAAGTGCTTGGCGAGTCAGACGAGAGGCTGGTGATGCGCGGCGCCAGTAAGACCACCCTCTCACATCAGCCGATTGCTAGTAAACAGACCTTTTCGCATCCCGTAATTTTAGCCGTGTTGATTTATGAGTGTTTGTTTTAGCATAATACTACAAAAAATAATGTTTTGTTTATTCTAGGAGATGGGCTGAGGTGCATCTGGGTAGGCTCTCAGTCTTTTTAGAATTTTGTGTTTCTTTAAAGTACCAAACTAAATTATTCCATTGAAACAACACTTTAATTTAGTGCGAATTCGGTTTAAAGCGACCTCTCTCGGAGCATATCTCATTTTATATCGACGTTCTACTGTATATGGCCCCATTAAAATTAATATAAATTAAAACCTTAGAAAGATGAGTGGTGGAACAAAGGCCAGGAATATACAACAAATGATTCAGTAAAGAGCATATAATACACAACAGATGATTCAGTAAAGAGCATATAATACACAACAGATGATTCAGTAAAGAGGTCTTCTTTAAATTCACATCTTCTCCAAGTGCTATATATATCGCTGACAAAAATAACAGCTTGATTAAATTAAAAAATTTTTAGGCTGGTTTAAAGTTAATCAATGTGTATACAATGTGGTACTAAACTAGTGCAAATTTTAAAGTCAATACCACACCTTCAATTAAAACTTGTGCAATTTAATTAAAACTAAATTTAAATTAATATAAATGAGGAATTCATATTAACAGCCTTTCCCTTAGCAACTCCTGTAAAGTGCTCAATGAGTCAGTGAGGTCGGGATGTAGGTTACCCAAAACGTTAGTGGCAGTGATTTAACTTATACAATTTGTTTAAGCTCCCCCAATGAAATCATCTCCCTCAATCCCCTTCACTTTGGGACATGACTTTTAATATTTTATTTGGGTAATGCCAGATTATTTTATTCACCAAAGAGAGACAAGAGATTTTAAAAGGATGATTTCAAGGCCCTAGTCACCATATCTTAAGTCAGTCTAAAATCTCAAAACACCCTTAACAACGATAATATCTTACAAAGCTATTCATGAACTACAATGGGATCTGGGTCACAGGACAGCATATGTACCCCACAACAACATTATCTAGCACTACATTCAAGTCAAAAAACAAAAGCTTATCCTTACCTGGGAACATTTCCCCGAGTCAAAATCACAACAAACATGTACCGAGACAAAATTGGACTTTGGTCTAATACATAACACATAATCATGTATTTTACCCCAAACTTGGCATTTGTTTGGATCAAAGGAATGCAAATGAACACAAAAAATCATGAACATGACAACACAATGACAATCCCGAGGTTGGAGTGTTGACAGACCTATAAGCAGACTTGGTCCACACAATCATATTGTGTTTTTAGCCATTTCAACTTTTTCCCCAAAATGTTCACAAGGACTCATAATTAATGGGACTGCAATTCACTTACCAAAACATAAGTCACATTCCAAAAGAAAATAAGCTATAGGAACTCATTAAGACCTAATGGGAAATGTCTCCCAAGTGAACACCTCATGGGTGCTACTTAGGTACAGGGCCTTGAAGCAAGTTTATGTTGCACCACTGAAAGAGTTAATAAACTAAGGGAAACACACCTAACTCTAGTTCAGTAGGCCATCCTGTAACAGACGAAGATGCAGTGCATACATTCCAGTGCAATTATATATACTGTACCGGTAAACTTAATGATGACTGTTGCCCCAAAGTCTTACTTTTATGGGATACTGATGCAACTGGAAGTTAAAGACTAATTGTATAGTTAAGTCTAACCAATAATGTGAGTGGTACCCTGGGTCTCGATTCTGTTGATTTACGGTAGTGAATGCTTTACAAAAGTCAACAAGTGAAGGAAATTTAGGTTATACAGTAAAGGGATCAAAGAAATACCACAACAGGTCTCATGTATTAATTTAACCTATGTCTTTTTAACTTTATATAGGACTTATTTGGTAATTCCCACTACAAAGAGACAGCTTATTAGGATACTGATGGTAACACTTAAGAGAGTTTGATTGAGTAAAGGCAGCATGCTATTACAAGGGGTAATGTTCTTTAGGTAGATGATTTGAACTTGAGATGTCTGCGAGAAAAATCTATATACCCAAGTGAGGTACTGCAGGTCTTTTAACATCCTTCCTTACACCTGTTATGTGTTGCCATTAGTGAATTGTGGCTTATTCTTAAGAAGGTAATTTGCCAGCCACTCTATTGGATCCCCCGGTCTGAAACACAAGAGATGACCTGTAAAAGCTGTTTATCACTTGCTCTTCATTAAGGGATTCAACTTAATGAATATATTGTAATTTTTTACTTTGAATAGTTTAGTGAAACTGCATTAAAATTATGCACAAGAAATTACTCATTATGCCGACACACAGATGGCAAAAATAAATACTGTATGCAGGGGAGGATCCTGTGGGGGATTCTGGGATCCAGACCCCCCCCCCCTTTTCATCAGAAAATTCTAATACTTTTTTTTTTAATGCAGTATTCTACTCTGGCATTTGTGTATAGTAAAAAGTAATTATTACTGCCCTCAGAATATCTCCTAATATCAAGTGCACATGGCTTCAAAATGCCCATGATATAGGTAAAAAAAAAAAAAATCGGGGGAAGGAGGTGGTGGCCTTACAGCATCGCCAAAACACCCCAGCTGGGTGGGCTTGCTGTGATCGCCATGTTCCCCTGCCCACAACTTCTTCGACAACCCCCTCTCCCCCTTTTGATATTTCTGGATCCACACCCTGTTATGGTGTTGTATTCATGAATTTTTGCAGGTAGTAGGCAGCTACCAAACAGGGAGGTACTACTGCCTGGGAAGATATTGGAAGCATAATGTGTTGTCTAACGGTAGACCCTGTTGCTATATGGCATCACGAATATTGTGACCAAGTCCCAGGCTGCTGATCTGACTTTCTGCCTCATTTACACACAATTGCAGGATCTAGATTGTTTCTCTTACTTGGTAACATAACATACATACTACAGCGCTTCTCACTATTTAATTTATTTTTTTAATTTTTGTATTTCTTTGTATTTCTTTATTATTATTATTACAGTGTTGTTATTATTATTATTGCTATCATTATTATTATTATTTTTTATTATAAATTTTATTTACTATGAATTACTGTATTATTATTACATTTTCGCCCCTCAGGCCCTGATGTGTGTCAGTGACCTGTGCCCAGGTGGGCTAATCCTGAAAAAAAAAAAAAAAAAAAGAACAAAAATAAAGGAGAAAAAAAGAAAAAGATATGGGGTCCAGTTTGTATGCAGTACTGTAATACTGTTCTAACAACAGCCCCGAATTCACTCTGAACCTCTGCAATACCAACTGTGCTAATCCTGTCTTGGTGTTTCACAATATTAATTGTAACTATTACATAATTAATTACACAAACCTATCTATCTGACTTCATTCACAGCCACATTAAATCAACACAACACTTTAATAACATACAAATCTAACATACTAAGCAACACTAACCTTTCCTTGTTGAGCTGTGTGACGGCTTGTAAGAGGATGGGCACCACAGTCTGGTCAAGGTATTGGCGTGTAGGTAATGATGACACATCAACCCTTGGTCTCTTAGCTGAGGTCTCTCCATTACTCTCACCACCTCCACCGCTCACCTTCTGTTGGGATGTCAACCATGTCCTTCTTAATTAATCACATGAGTCTGTTGTCATTTGCATTCATCAAAATATTACTCGCCAAATATTTTCTCAAAGGTGATGATTAAGATGGTCATCTCATCACCCGGTGCTTTATGAGTACTGTACCTAGGAGGAGGAAGGGTGATGTGAGGTAGTGATGGTGTGAGGGGCAGGAGGGGGTGGTGTGAGGTGGTGATGGTGCAGGGGGCAGGAGGAGGGTGGTGTGAAGTAGTGGTGGTGTGGGGGGCAGGGGGGCAGTGTGAGGTAGTGAAAGTGTGGGGGAGCAGGAGGGGGGTGGTGAGGTAGAGATGGTGTGGGGGAGTGGGAGGGGGGTGGTGTGAGGTAGTGATGATGTGGCTGTTGCAAATCTGACCGATTCACGCTTTCGGAGGACACATTTAATATACCGTATATTCATTTTTACCCACAATAAGGCATACTAAGACAAATTACGTATAGTAAATCTACAGTATGCAAAACTATCATTTTAAAAGATCAGAATCACACTGAACTATGACACGGCTCCTGAAGGTTGGTGGATGAGTGTGACAGATTGGGAGCTTGGCTGCTCAGCCGTCAGCAGAGGCGGGAAATATGAAGTTGCTCGCAGTCATATTTCTTGCCTCTGCTGATGGCCATGTAATATTTCAATGTGATTCTGATCTTTTAAAATGTCAGTTTTTCCATACCCGGTAATGTAGTATTACTGATACGTAATTTGTCTTAGCATGCCTTATTGTGGGTAAAAATAACTACTGTATATACTAAATGCGTCCTCTGAAAGCGTCAATTTGCTACCAGAGTTTAACAGTTAATTCATGTATAAGATTTCTGATAAACTTCCTAGGTGCTCATGTTTGAAATAATGAATGTATGTATGTGAATATAATTTTGCTGAATATCTTTCTCTTCAGAAAAGGTCATCCCAACGATTATGAAACAAACTCATTTAGAAATACATCATTACTTCAGGACGAAATCGGATAGATTTGCAATAGCCAATCAGCTATCTATAACTCTTGAGGAGGGGGCGGGACATCTCTTCTCAGCTGGGAAGAAATGCACACTAAGACCCAGGACAAAAATGGGCAAGAGGACCATCTAGTTATCCTGAGAAAAACACCCCCTTCAGTGTCTAAATTTCTCTCAAGATGAATGGCTCCACAGGACAGATGCTTCACCACTTTGTACAGTGATGTTATCTGCTTGTTTTAATGGTCATATGTTTTCCCTAATTTCCCCTAACTTGGTTTTTTGGGCTTATAATTACAGTAGGAGGAATCTTGAACATAATCTTCACCAGTTCCCATGATTTTTACTCCCAAGACTTAAAATTTATCTGTTTTAAATTGTCGCTATAGCTTGGATGTTGTCTTTGGGTATTAAAAACTCCTGCCACAGTTTTTATTTTGTCTATCCTTATGAAAACCATAGTATGGCTAGGAATTTGAAGTACTACTGTACTTCAATGGGTAAGGAGTTGTTTTGCAGTATCTACAGTGATCCAGTGTAGCCTGTCCACGAAACACCTTAAGTCACCAGATCATGGCAGGGACTAGCAAAGGGTATTCTAATGAAGGTATTACACAAGTCATTTCTTGATGACCAATTGATTATAAACAGCTTACTATCACTTCTGCAAACTAAACACCAACAAATGAAGCAACTAATATGATAACAAATTCTGAGAAGCTTTTAGCAATCAAACGATTATCTTTCTATCTTGCTCTATAATGAAATGATCAGAGTACCCTATAGTTATTTCATGAGCATACACAATAAATATGCATGTAAATACTCGTAATGTTTTACAAAAAAATGACAGATGTAGATTAAATTCATGTCATAATGTTAATTTTACCAATTACAATAAGCTTAAACCAACAACAATTACCTCCACGGCATCACTTACAACATCTGAAGATTCTGCTTCCGAATCCATTGTCCACTGCCTTCCTGTAATACATAAAAATCTTTAACTCTAATTCTAAAAGAAAAACTATTACACTGCCAGCAATAGGAATAGAAAAACCCTATAGTAAGTAGATTTGTAATTTCTCTCTATACAGTACACTACAGTACAGTACATTGTATTCAGAGGTACTGTAACATTCCCTAGCAGTAACTCGCATTGTGGCTGTCTCATAAACACAAATGGAGAGCAGGAGCTCTATTCTCTAAATCTGATCCCCTAGAAAATATATATTATGTTCATAAACTTTTATAGAATCTTCTCATTACCCATAAGAGTGACTGTAGTTCTACTTATTTAAAAAAATACCCATGAGCATTTTATAACCAATGAACATCCTTTGACTCCATGTTATTCAGCCAGCCAGACGAAGCCCCAAAGCTACAACATAACTGAAAGATCAGCAACTTTCCCTTTAAGACCAATGCCTAAAATGAAGTTTACAGGCACAAGTTATGAACTAAAGCAGAGAACTAGTGGAGTGACTGCCACATAAGCAATGCCCATTTCCCCAGGTGCTTGTTCAGCTACAATATCCACCCACAATAACAATCTTTGCTTTTATCCTCTGGGTGAGGACACCCATCCTGCTCTACCTGATCCCATTTTCAACTACATTAGTGCACCTGTAGGCCCTTGCACCTCCTGAGCACCAATTTTTCAATAATTCAAAATAAAAAACATTATACTTTGAAAGTAAAGTACCATGAATACAGTTATCATTATTTATAAGGAGAACAATGAATGACAATAAGGTGTATCAAGACACAGCTCACCTTGTATATTTAGTCATGTGCTATAGTTTACTCGGTACCAATAAGTTTAACAGACACTGTACTGTATTGTCTATTCTCCTTGATGTCTGGAGTGTTGACGGGCCGTCATCTAGGCAGGCTGTGTCGGGACTCCCTCGGTAGGGGAATATGCTAGTAAGTACAGTACTTGTTGTTGGGTCTGGGGAAGGTATTCATCAGACTTTTGGTGGGAAGCTGTCCTACACAATACTAACCTTACATGAGCATTAAATTAAACAATATTGAGATTTGCTAAGCCTAATACAGTATTAATTTCATGGCAAATATAATAATTATAATCCCTATATCCCCTAAATCCCGTATTACATAATAATATTCTTAAACCATATATTAATGTTTACTATCAAAACAATAAATCAGATAAAGTTTTGACAAGCGCACTTACCCGTGATTACAAAATATACAATGCGTAAAAAATCAATAGGTAGAATGCTGCTCGTCAAATTTGTTATCAAAAGTTTGACAGCGCTGCCATTACCATTAGGTTCACTACATTAATATACTCTTTATTTTCTATTATATTTTGCTTCTATCACACCAATATATAACTGAAAATCAATGTTTGCATTAGCACACATCACCCAACTCATTAATAATCTGGATTTTCCCCCACTTCTACAGCAGCGTAAAGCTCTTGTAAGGAACTTTCCAAAATACTGTATGACTGAAACAAAGAGTGGAAGCAGCTCACTTAGTGTATGGGAACACAGTCCGTGGACAATATTAAATCAAACAGAGAGTTATGGCTATCAGTCGTGTTTGTCACCTGTCTTCACAGACTCGTTCTGCTATGTCTGCGGATATTACATCGGTCCCAGTCAGATTAAACACAGCACTGCACATGGCATTAAGTTTTTCATTGTATATCATGCTTATTTCGGTATGCCTATGGGTGACCAAGACAAACCCTGGGCACCTCATTTCTGCTGTGGAAGCTGTCGATCGACATTAGAAGGGTGGTTACGTGGTAACCAGAAGTGTAAGCCATTTGCAATACCTCGAATTTGGAAAGAACAAGCCAAAGCCAATCACCATGATAATTGTTACTTTCGCACGGTCAACATATCTTAAGTACAAGAAGTGTAAAGATCAAAGAACTGTTGTGTATCCGAGCATACCATCATCTATTGCTCCCATGTCCCACTGTGAAGATTTACCAATTCCCAGTCCACCTTCCTTAGAGGAGATTTCAAATGCTGACTTCTCATCTTCTGAAGAGGGCGAGGATGTTGACTTTAATGTAGCAGACTCAAGCATATCCCCACATTTTCCTAATCAGCACGAACTGGATGACTTAATCAGGGATTTAGGTCTTACCAAGGAAAACGCTGAGGTTTTGACATCTCGTCTAAAGGAGTGGAATTTACTAGATCCTAGTTGCAAGATTAGTATGTACAGGAAAAGGCATCTAAGATTTACAACCTTTCTTCAAAGTTTTGGAACTCAATTTGCTGTGTTACTGCTCTGATGTCAATGGCCTTTTTGGGCAAATAGGCACTGAGTACAACCCTTCTGATTGGCATCTGTTTATTGACAGCTCAACAAATAGTCTTAAGGCCGTGTTGCTTCACAATGAGAATGCACTTCCATCAATTCCAGTAGGTCATTCAGTTCATTCAATTCTAAAAGGGTTTTTAGAATTGTCTAAACATTACGAAAACATATTAATAACAGCGGGAGAAATGCCGGTGCAAGATCGAAAATTCACCATATTAGATATCAAAATAAATACTTTCTATTTAATATGGCAGGGGGTCCTTCCCCCAAACTAGGAAGTTAGATTAGGTAGGTTTCTTAGGTTGGTTAGGTCAGGGTTTATTAGGTTCTAGTAAATGTCGCCTCCTGTAAAATACTTACTATAATGATAAGAAAAAACTGTAAAAATGAACGAAATCAAACAACTCCTTCTGGTGGTATAGAGCTGTTCATCCAGACATTACCAAAAATTACGATTGTAAACAGATGTACTTTTGACCAAACTGACAGATAAGTTTTTTAATTAGTCACAGCATTGAAGGCATGTAGGTAGTAAAGTCACGTCGGCCAGTTGACCAAACTCGTCCTTGTAGACCATAGATGACTTTTTGGAGTTTATCCTTTTACAAAATTATCAATTTAGAGAACAAAAGACCCAAATGTTTCACACACTCTCACAGTAACTGGTTTTGCATTTATAAATATCCTACGAGAATAACAAATAATATAAAGACTTGTAAGACGAAATATTATCAATATAAATAAAATATTTAAAGTAAATAACCTGTAGCACAGTTTGTTTGGGTGGGTTGGCCTCCTCCTCAGCTCACACGCTAATGACTACACTACACTGCTGAGGGCCTCTGCTGAACGATCTTTTACTACAAAATATATATCTCATAATACAGAAATATTTTAGTGAACCTCAAATTAATTAATATAAAAGTTTTTATTGTAAACACTGATATTCTTCCCGAGATTGATATTTAGTTATTTGCCGGTAATATTAAGATATATGAGTGTTTGATTGGTAGTTAAGGTCTCACTTGAATTCTTATCTACGACCAAAATCTAATTCTAGTTTATGTTGATGAAGGAACAGTACTTGAATAAGAAGATATTTATTTTATGTAATTAAATGATACTCCAACTGGTGAAACGTTCATATAAACCATAAACTACACTGATGACGTCAGGGAACAAGGAAATGGATTTGTTTACTAGTGTCATTACGAACGCCCATTGGTCAATTTGGGTTGGAAGTGATTCAAGTGAACAGCTTCCAGATTTGTCACTGAATAAATCCGATGGAATGACTATGAAACTGCATTTCTCACCATTACAAAAACACTGCTAGATATCTGGTATTAACTTTAATCCTAAGCCATAGTTGGAGATGGATACATCCCATTTCGTCACCAATCCATTTCGTCACCAAACTCCTTTTCCTTGCTAATATCAAATCCGTTTCGTCACCACTAACAGTCGCTGGTATTAGTGGCAAATTGTAAGTTATTAATTTACACGAATAGAAATGACATGTATACAGACGACTCGAGATGTATTATTCTTATACATTAATATTAATTATTTAATAAAGAAAACGATTAAAATATTGGTAAATAAACAAAAATACAGAAGAAACGAAGATGATTTGCACCAACGAATAAAACTCCGAGCATGAGGTGGTAGGGATGAGGTCCACCCTTGATCGTTATGAGGGACGGACCATCTAGATATCTGAACGACCTTCTTATAATGGACGCTTATACACCTTACCTGACCACCTAACAAGGGGAGCCTCCGGTGGTCCAAGGGCCATATGCTAGGAAATAACCCAGATTAGCGTGGTCAGCCTTCACAATAATATAAATAGCCGCTACAGTGTTTCTTACCATACTCTTGAGTCAGGGATAGGTACTCTGATTTTATTCATTTTATAATTCAATAACTTCATTATTATAAATTTGTGATGGAAGTGTATGAAAGAAATTGATAATATAAAAAATGATTCTTTCGATTAACTGAAGTGAATTTCCGGATTTTTTGGGGTTGCTGTAATCTGCACGTTTACTTAATAACGTCCTTTCTTACCTTTGTATTTTTTAAATTGTATTTCTCTACTTAACTCGTTTTTATTCATATATCATCTATGTTACTATGAAGATACTATACAAAACTGGCAAAGAAAGAGTGAAATTATACGAGCCGACCACTGGCGAAGATAATAGGATAAAGTGGAAGTAAAGTATAAGTGACCGACCTCCCAAACGGCTTACGAGCTGATCAGTGAAGAGGATAAAACTAAAAAAACTAAAAACTAAAATTAATCAACCACAAGACTGTACATAATTACATCATAATATTATCTTATTACGTCACTATTGTTTCTACGGTTGTGGCTTAGGAGACTCTCACCACCTGTAGGTCTGCTTGCCTCACCTCATCTCAGCACCTGTAGGTCTGCTGCCTTACCTCAGACTCAGGGTTTGGTCACCACAGACTCTGCTGACGAAGGAAGATGGCCTTAATATTTGCTAAACAGTGTCTTCTACGAGTAAGTCATGTCATTCTTGGATAAGTACCTTTTGGTATTCATGCAGTAAATATTTCTTCGTATTATACTTTGTTTATAATATCACATCATAATTCTTACTTTTATCGCTTATATAAATGTACTGTGAAGTGTCTGCTCTTATATGTTGTACTGTGAAGTGTCTGCTCTTATATGTTGTACTGTGAAGTGTCTGCTCTTATATGTTGTACTGTAAAGTGTCTGCTCTTATATGTTGTACTGTGAAGTGTCTGCTCTTATATGTTGTACTGTGAAGTGTCTGCAGTAATAGATGGAGACATCTATTGTCAATTTTTCATGAACAGTTAATTTAAAAGTAGTGCAATTTCTCTCGTGTTTTGCAACGAACACTATCTTAGTTTGGGCAAATGTCTAAAAAAGTAATTATTTCTAAATTAAACTTAACCTAACCTTAGGTGATAAATGCAAGCAGCTGAAGCATTGTTAGAAGATTGCACCAACCTAACCAAAGAAACCTACTTAACTTTACCTAATTTCCTAGCTGTGTGGCTGCCCCCCAGACCTCCTGGCATGTTAAATAGGGTTTTTATTGATGGTAAATTTTAGTTTTGGTCATCCTGGAAATCTTATGAATTTCGGTTAGGTTAGATTTAGTTTCTGGGTTCTATGGCTAGGTTAGGTTAGGTTGGTTATGGTAGGGTAGGGTAGGTAAGATAAAAATCATTCAAAACCCATCAAAAACCGTTGGAAAAACAGGGATGACTGAAACTAAAATTACCTGTAATTTTTAATAATTTTTTTGGTACAGTAAGTCCTCGCTTAATGTCGGGGTTACGTTCCTTAAAACGCAATGTTATATGAAACAGCGTTAAGCAGATCAATTTTCCCCATAAGTAATTGATAACATACTGGAGTTATGTTCCTGAGCCTCCCTTTGCCCCATGAAATACATTACATAAACAGAAATTCAATGGCATTTTTTATAGAAAATAGTATATACAGTATATAAATAAACAAAATAATTTTGTATTGAACTTATTGGTGGGTAGAGGTGGTAGAGCGAGTGTGTGGTGGGTAGTGGTGCGGAGGAGGAGGGTGGGAGAGGAGGAGGAGAGTGGCGAGTCACGGAGACTCGGTGGGTGGCTCCTCCTCCCGGTTTAAAACCTCCATTTTCGTAGCAAGACTAGTGGTCTTATGCTGCTTCTTCACAACACCATCATCAGTAGCACTTGATGGGTGTTTGGAAGCTATTTCAAATGGTTAGAGTAAAGTGTCTAGAGCAAAAACACTTAAGCACACATGAATGATGTGGAAGCATAACAGAGACTGGTTTGAAATCGCTTGGGGATGCTGTGACGTTCCGCTAGTGAGAGGTAGCGCGCTGAGCCGAGAGATGCGTTCCACTGCCAGATGAGAGAGGGTGATGCGCCATAAAAAGTAGTCCGTGACGACGCAAAAACGACATTAAATTGAGTCGTCGGGACGTTAAACGAATTATTGGTATCTAAAGAGTAGCGACGTAGTACAGAAACAACGTTAAGCAAGGCGACGTTATATGAGGAGCAGAGTGAAGGTAAATTAATAAAAAACATCAACAGTGTCCTTACAATTTCTTCTTCTATTGAAACAAAAATAAAATGAAAAATTTTTGAATGTGTATTGCTGATCACAACTCTTAAATGATAAAGTTTTAGATTCAGAGATTAAAAAAAACCCCACAATATATAGGTTCATGGTGCTCACCAAGGCAGGGTTGCCAACTCTTACAAGTGAATCATTCCCAAATTCAAAGATTTATTACAGCGTTTTACAGATTATTATGAGTTTATTTAGGTTTACAGAATTTTACAGATATGACAGCTTTTCCATATATATTATATTTACATAATTTTGGGTTTTTGGCTTATTTATAATATATAAAAGGGCCTAGTCCGGGCCCCGAGGAAACGGCCCTGCCCCCCCCTCCCCTATGACTATGCCCCTGTGTGATTCTACTGTAGGTATCATTTACAGAATGGTCGAGTAGCAGCAGGGCCAGCATGCCTGTCAGCATTCTGCCACACTGAGGCTGGCCTGAATGCAGAATGGACTAAGCTGGCTAAGAAACAGCTCAAGGGGATTGACCCTGCAAAGCAATTGATGTGGCACACTCCAGAGGGCATCACAATTAAGCCTCTCTACACTCCTGATGATGTTAAAAAGTTTGTGGACATACTGTACTACTCACTGTTTCTGTTGTGTAATCCCATTTCTAACCACTTGTAATAAAACCAACATAACTAGAGGTGCTCACTTCTATGCCTGTACAGAACTTTGATCTTAACGTGGGTGGTCTTGAAAATAATCCACAGGTCAATGTATTTATAAATAAAATTGACATCGGGATTATATTCTGAAAGATCAAATTTATTTTTCATTGTTTTATCAGATTTAGCTCAGGTACTTGTTATTATTACTATGTTATTCTCAATGAAAGACTAATAGGTTTACTGAAAAACATACAAAATGGACATCACAATCATTCTTATTGTTATCTCATGTTTTGCTGTGATAAATGGCTAACCACTTGCATGTTGCTATAAAAGTAAAGCGTAATGCATTAGGTGTACAGTATGTGTAATATGAATATTGTATGTTTAGTTTTTACTAAGTCCATTGTCATTTTTTCAGTCAAACACCAGAAATACCAGGGAAGTTTCCCTACACCCGTGGACCTTACCCAACTATGTATGCCAATCGTCCCTGGACCATTCGACAGTATGCTGGCTTCAGTACTGTAGAGGAGAGCAATAAGTTCTATCTTGATAACATCAAAGCCGGACAACAAGGACTCTCTGTTGCCTTCGATTTAGCGACTCATCGAGGGTAAGTTAAATACAAATACGGTACACTTGAATATCAAGAATCCAAAATGCAAATAGATAATTTCAGAAGCTTGATGTAAATACTCCAGGAACCCATATATATAGTACAGTAAACCCTTGTTATTTGCGGGTTTACCACTTGCAGTTTTGACTATTCATGGTAAGTAGATGGTGGCTAACTCCGAGCCTGTGCAGGAGCACTGCGAGCCACCACCACATGCTGACAGCGTCTCCTCTCCCTTGTGTCTTGTTTGTGCTCAACCATTGTTCACAGCATCTCTCGTGTTGAGCTCAAGTGGCCCTAAAAAACTGCCTAGTGCTAGTGATGCTAGTGCAGTGAAACATAGAAGGCAAAAATCAGTGGTGACCCTGACAAAGAAAGTTGAATTATTAAATAAGTTAAAGGAAGTCATGAGCACCGCTGCAGTTGGCTAGTTGTGAATGAATCCATGGTGCGGTACATTATGAAGATAGAACAAGTGATTCATGACTCTGTTGCAGTGAGTGCTCCTACAAGTGCTAAAGTGTCACAGACTGTGAGTGATAAGAACATAATGAAAACAGAAAAAGCAAAGATCTTGGTCATGGGGTTTACTTGAATTTTTTTGTACAATTTCCACTTTTATTTAACACTAACCACTGTATGTTTTCTTCTTGCATATTACAGGTATACTTGACTGCTCTCAGTACCGTAACTCTTGCTTCTGTTTTCAGACATTTTAAAGACAGCACACCTGGTTAGAATCCACAACTCTTAACCAATGCCTAGGAAACATGTAAGGACTGTGCCATCAACTGACTGACCAAGCTGAGGTCAGCTGATGAGATTTGGTGGGAGTTTTGAAATTGAAAATACCCGTAGTCTACTTTGAAAACTTATAATTTCCAATTTTGTATTTCTAATACTCAAGTGTACTGCAAAGATTATATGGCTCTGGCAAGTTTTGGGTTAAGATCTATGCTTGTTTTGTGAGCAGGCTTGACTTTACAGACATGGCCAATTCTTGTAGTACTGTACTGTACTGTACAGTATACGTACTGTAAATGCACTGGATATATAAAGAAAAAATGTATAGATGCTACAAATATAGAGGAATGTAAGAACAAATATTAAGGTAAGGTAAGAATTTTAACTTGGTGCCTCATATTGTCTGTTTCATCTTCTTGTATAATTCTTTAACAGGTATGACTCCGACAACCCTCGAGTTCATGGAGATGTTGGCATGGCAGGAGTTGCTATTGATACTGTTGAGGATATGAAAACCCTTTTCAGTGGCATTCCTCTTGACAAGATGTCTGTGTCCATGACAATGAATGGAGCTGTTATCCCAACAATGGCTATGTTTATTGTTGCTGCAGAAGAACAGGTAAAGAGATATATTAATATTATTTAACTTATACCTTTCACTGTATACCTCAAACTAAGTTCTTTTTAAATGCAACTACAGGTAATTCTTTGTTTTCTGAATGTGCTGAATCTGAAAATTTGGTTACACATTTTTTCATGATCCGAAAATGATCTTCACATATCTGAAAGATGGTCTAATTAAAAATCCAAATCACCCCCTGTGGTGAGCCCTGACAGCTCTCTACCCTTCTGTAAGGTAATTTACCAACTGTATAATGTATTTTATTTAGTTTAACAATAACTTTATAATAGTTAGGTTCTAAACTACAGTAGTTGGGTTCTTTGCTGTTCATGAACTAATTTCACTTCTAATAGCCAGAATTTATTTTCTGCTGAAAAAATTCTGGGAAAACGCTCTCCATTCACGTTATTCCAAAAACGCTTAAATCAAACGCGCGTAAAATGCGAGTTACCTGTACACAAAGATTGATACAATAAGCTCTAATACCCACTCATTTCATCCCAGATACTGTTGGATAATTTTTTTGGAAAAATCCCTAAATGGCAACTGTAAGCTGATGGGAATCAGTCCAGTCTTTATGGTATTGTAGGAGATACCGACTGCACCCTACCCCCCCTCACCAAGAGATCACTACATATACGTGTATAGTTCATGAAACAAAAGTCAACTTGTGGCATGATGGATTACTCATTAATGAGTAATATGGTATACAGTGGTCCCTTGGTTAACGAATGGTTCGGTTAATGAAATTTCGGTTGACGAATTACCTCCCATAAGAATCTTCAATTCGGTTAACGAATAAAAATTTGATTAATGAAATCCCTACGAACATGACGTTTTGTTGTGAGCATCAGCTGATGGGCTAGTCTGCCAATTCAGTAATTCAGTAATCTGTTCTATGCTTACATTCGTTTCCAGTGGAGTAAATATCAAGAAAATTGTGCTCTTTAATATTTGTGCAAAATGAATACTAAAATTTTAGTCTAGTGCAAACTATTGCATGTTTACATTCAAATTAATCACTATCTTGTAAGAATTCCAGCAATGTAAATTATATTCTTTCTGGTCACTTCTATGAAATTTTATAAGCAAAAAACAAAAACTCAATCTAAAGGACATAAATAAGCAAATAAATACTTCCCTAGACCTTGAGCCAACTGTCAAACATGTCATGTTACCCTCCTCCCTCGTCCCTCCCTCCCTCCCAGCAAAGGTTTGGTGATTTTATAGTAAGCTTTAAGTTTTTATATTATATAATATCACAGACTAAAGTTAGAATATAATTTGCATTACTGGAATCCTTGCAGGACAGTGAATAATTTGAATATAAACGTCATATATTTTTGCACAAGAGATAAAATTAATCACCTGTATCACATTACAGTTGTGATTTAAGAGTAAGAGTTTATATATATATATATATATATATATATATATATATATATATATATATATATATATATATATATATATATATATATATATATATATATATATATATATATATATATATATATATATATATATATATATATATATTGACAATTTAAATTTTAGGAGTGTTTCTGACTTTTATGCATTTTTGGCTTTACTTTGTATGTACTTTTCTGAGCTGGACCCTATTGCCCAATATCCCATTGAAACAATGGTATCCGGTTAATGAGCGACTCTGTGGAGCAATTGTGTTAGTTAACGAGGTTAGTTTTCAACTTGTAATTTTGGGTTTACAGTACTGTATAAACCTTTCTTCATAATTTTTTATTCAGTTTACAAGCACACAATCCAACATTCAGATTGTGAGCACACACACACACACACACACACAGTAATTTTTTTTTATTATTTATTTATTTATTATTTATTTATTTTTTGTGTGTGTGTGCGTGCACAATCTGAATGTAGGATTGTGTGTGCTTGTAAACTGAATAAAAAAATTATGAAGAAAGTTAAGTTTATACAGTACTGTAAACCCAAAATTACAAGTTGAAAAAGTAACCATAACACAACTTCTACTTCAGCCTTGTGGGGAGAGTGCTCGGGGGATGTGGCTGCCTCAGCTGACTCCCGGGGCCGCGCGATTTGAATTTTTACCGGGACTCAAATTTGTATAAACGAGGGAAGCTTTCACAACACAAATAAGCGGTGGTATTTTCAGAAATCCCTATAAGATAATTTTTTTACCCAAAATATTTTGTACCTGTACTCATTAAGGAACAAATTTTACGTAGAATTTATTGAGGTACGTAAATGTTTTATTATTTTTCTTTAATGTGTGACAAGTGCTCAAAAGTGGACGAGTATAATGTCAATAACTTAAACAATACCTTGTACTGTATTTATTTTGTCTTAATTTTTCTTACAGAATGTTAAACAAGAACAACTCTCTGGGACAATTCAGAATGACATTTTGAAGGAGTTCATGGTACGCAACACATACATCTTCCCACCATCACCATCAATGCGGATTATTGGAGATATCTTCAGCTATACAGCAAAGGTCTGTGAGAGAAAGGTGTAATAAGATTTGTATTTCTGTTATCCTGTGCTATAATTGTATTCATATCTGTTAATCTGTGCTATACAGGCAATGGCCGCTATACAATGTATCAATATGTGCTTGATCAGTTTTATGATGCAAAAAAATTAGCACCATTTACCACTATGCGAGGGCTAAACGTAAATTTTACAGTGTTCGCTACCTGAATGGTTTTAAATTATAATGTCACTGCTATGAAGAGGTGATGTGCAGTAACTCGCAACATTCCGAGATATGATGACACAATCTTGGAATGGCATAACACATCTGACCCACGGGATGTGTGGAAAGTTCTGCCCTTCCCGGTGATTGCCACGCTAAGCAGTTGAACGCGTCACATCGCCCAGATGATGGTTTGCATGTGGATGAAACTATTCTTCGTACATAATAATGATAAAATATACTGTACCAGTAAATGTGAAGAATGCATAATAATAATAATAATAATAATAATAAATAAATTAATAAAGAAAAGAATAGAACCATGATAAATTGGATTAATTGGGGCAGACCCCAGCCTGAAAAATATGAAATATGCCCCGGTTTTTCATTGATCAGTTGTCTAAGTGCAAATGTCGCCCAGTCGAGCCCTTATGTATCAATTAATTTTAAAATAGAAATTATAATGTAAAATGTTACAAGACAATGGTTTAGTAGTGCTGTTATTGTATGTGCTGTGTAAGAGTCTTGGCATGTCACCTCACCACCTGACTCCTGAACAAACTCTTCATCAACTTCTTCAAATCCTACAATGTGCAAGGGCAAGCTAACACATTCACACACACACACCGGAATTAAGACAACAAGCATCCATCTCTCTAATCACCCACACCTTCCTGCTTTCTCACTCCATATTTTAAAATGTTATGTAATGTAATGTTGAAGGGATACAACTTTGCTCATTTATACTTATACTTATCACAATCTCCCTAAAAATACTTAGGTTTTGTGTTTCTTCAAGACATCTTCAGGTCATGAGACACACTAATCCCCACCCATGAAAGGGTGACCTGACATTCTATCAGAAGGTCAGTAATATGAGACCACTAATCCCCTACCTCCACCTGACATTGAGTCAGGTCAGGTCCCCCCCCCCCGACAATACGTTAACTTTTGTCTTTATTCAAGACATTTTCAGAAAATTCTCTCGATTTTCAACCTCGAAAATTTGTTCCTAAAGCCGGAAATTTTTGGAAAATTCCGGCTTTGGGAATGATTTTCTGAGCAAATTTCAATTCCGGCTATTGGAGATTTCCGGGTTTGAGGGATTCCGGCTAACGGAGATATTGCTGTACACAGTTTTTCTTACGTCTTTTTTATTGTTTTATTATTTATAAAGGTCAAAAATTATTTTTGGAAAAGTTGATTTTTCTTGTTTTACCCCTGCGACGGGGGTACGGCTAGCGCCACTCTATCCCGGGGCGTAGGGGTTAATAAACAGGTGTTATTATTTTGTGGATTTTTTAAAGCCTGTATTTACTTACAAAAATCATTTCAGCACATGCCTAAGTTCAACAGCATCAGCATCAGTGGATACCACATGCAGGAGGCTGGTGCAAATGCTGTGCTGGAGATGGCCTTCACTTTGGCTGATGGCTTAGAATATTGCCGCACCGGCTTGTCTGCTGGTCTTGCTATTGACCAGTTTGCTCCACGTCTCTCCTTCTTCTGGGGCGTTGGAATGAATTTTTATATGGTGAGTGATGTGTCATATATAATTTGCTCCTGGGGAGTTAGAACAGGTATTTATGTCAAAAGTTGTGTTGATAAGTAATTATTTCTTTAAAAAATTTAGAGAGGTGGCGGATAAAGAGGTTTTCTGGTTGGGTGATCCTCACTCTTAGGATCCCCCAATAACTCCTACAATGCACAGTGCTACAGGCTGACCTCACAAATTCTCTTCTCACAATAACGAACTTCTTTAACACTTATTCCACTCCTGAACGACTTCACCAACACCAAGGATGAACTGCAGAACCTAGAGAGTGGCACCGATAGTGAGAGCGAGGACGAGGAACACGAACAAGATTGGGCGGACCATGAAGTGCGGGTCAAACAGTTCTGGAAGCTGTTTAACGTGAAGAAGGCTGTTGATTTCTTGGTGGAGGCATGGGGACAGCTGTTTGTGGCAACGATTTGTCACACTTGGCGGCATTTGGAGGCTTCCGGGAAAGAAACTTGTCATAGAAAACTATTGTGATTTATATTAGTTCTTTGTCATAGAAAATTGTTGATAACCTTCTCAATTTTTTATTATTATTAAATTAACGTTATTTTACTCAGGTATAAAGTAGAGTGGAGGCACCCAATAATGTGTCTTGACAAAATGAGCCACAGAATAATGAGGCACCACCTAATTATCATTTATCTGGACAACAATGGGTAATGATGCTTTAACATGGTTGAAAGCCGCTGCACCCGATTTAAACAAATTGCAGCGGATTGGTAGTTAATGTAAGGGACTGCAATAGCCTGGACCACGGCAGTTAGTGACTGCTTCACTTTAAGTCAGACCTGTAATTTTCTCACTTTTAACTCATCTGTAGTGTATATGACCTGTATTTTTTTTTATAGAATAAAATCATTTAGTCCTATTTAGTGTCATACCATTTTTAGTTATTGTTTTTACAATTTTCAGTGTGTATGTTCTGACATTTAGACCTAGTGGCACTGTATATTTAACACACAAATCTGTGTCTTAAATAGTAATGTGAGCCCTGGTGGTCCCTAACTCTTGTTATTCTGGTTGTAATATTTACTGTCATTCATTGTTTATTTATTACACTTTCTTTAGTAATCAGTGCTTTGTAAAATGCCGAGTGACTTCCTTTGCTTATAATTGTATTATTTTACAGGAAGTTGCCAAGATGAGAGCTGCTCGTCGCCTGTGGGCACATCTAATTGAAAGCAACTTTTCTCCAAAGAATGAAAAATCTACAATGTTGAGAACTCACAGTCAGACTTCAGGATGGTCTCTTACAGAACAGGTATGTCATCTTCAGTGTACTGTTGTATAGCAGATCCTGTATACTGTGCTGTACTGTCTGCCACTGTAGGTACATCATCTATTAATGTACAGGGGGTTGTCTCTATACATTTTACTGGTACAGTGCACCCTCATTTTTCATGGATTTTTTATTTACGATTTTGCCTATTTGCAGATTTTCATTACATGTATTTTTATTGCACAGGTGTTACTGATTTCATATGCGGTTGATTGTGCGTGAGAATGAGTTTCTGCAAGAAACTGCGTAGCTTCCCGTTTCACTCGTGTCCCTTGCCATACTGTATACAGTATACATCTCGCTGCGACCCGTGTGTTTTGTGCTCGTAAAATCCCATCACGGCTCCAAAACATCCTTCTAAAGGTGGTGATAAGGGCGGTAACACACCAAAGAAGACTAAGAGAGATGAGGTATGTGGCATGCAGTAGGGCACTTCACTTCACAAACAAAAGACACGAATCAATTGAACATGTGATGGCGAACGTGAACTGTAAACATTGCATAACCCCGCGCCGCATTTAAAACGTTGAGGATGGAATCAAAACATTGAGGATGGAATCGCGCTATAGCCAACATTCGTATGCAAAAGTTCGCGTTTTACAAACAGCGTTCCCCTATTCATCAATCGCGTTGCAACCAATTCGAATTGACAAAACAAACATTGCAGCAGAAATGACTGTAACTGATATGAGGACTGTGACGTCATTCAAGACGGTGGCCAGCATTCAGCTTGCTGGATCTCGTGTTCAGCTGGGTGGAACTCGCATTCAGCTGGCTGGATCTCGCGAAATTCACGATATTTTACGCCAAATATAAGACTTGGTTACATTAGGCAGTGCTCGTGGAATTCAAAAACGCAAAATGAAGTCACGCGAAATATGAGATCTTACTGTACTGTATTTTCTGTATTCATAAGGCACACTACTACAGTATAAATTGAATTGACTTTTCCACAAATTCTGTGGTTACATAACAATGGAATTAGCACTCAGTGGTGTAAAAGGTGACTGACATATTTTGGCATCATAGAAACTTTACACTTGTAGGCCACTTTTATAACTTATTATGTATATTTTATGGATAAAATATACAGTACATACCGTATTAACTTGAGTTAGTAATTGTTGTATATGAAATTTCTTTGTTTTTTATTGTGTTTTTAACTTGGATTATTTTATTTTAGTCTTTTAAGCCTTACTTTTAATTCACTGACATACGACCTAAGCTGTTGTCACCAAGGCTGTAATTACCACAGTCAATCAATCAATCAATTAATTAATTAATTAATTGTATTGCAGGACCCATATAACAATGTCATCCGTACAACAATAGAAGCAATGGCTGCAGTGTTCGGTGGTACACAGTCACTTCATACAAACTCCTTTGATGAGGCCCTTGGTTTACCCACCCCCTTCTCTGCTCGTATTGCTCGCAACACCCAAATTATTCTCCAAGAAGAAACCGGAATCCCAAAGGTCAGATACTGAAGATCAGTTCTGTGCATACTTAAAGTGATTGTTTCATAGTATATTTGTATAACTTTGTTGTATGAACTATTCATTTGTTTAATTTAGAACAGTCTAAATTGTGACTAATATTTTGTAAAAAAAAAAAAAAAAAGTGACATTAATCATTGTTAATTTTCTCATAGCTGATATATAATATTTTTAGGTAATTGATCCTTGGGCTGGGTCATATGCCATGGAGGCTCTGACTAATGAAGTGTATGAAGCAGGAAAGGCAATTATTGATGAGGTGGAAAGTATGGGTGGCATGGCCCAAGCTGTGGCTTCAGGTGAGATAATAGTGACTGATTACTTGTACTGTATGCGATTAAAACTTGAGCATCTAAGGCTGATGGTAGGGGCTTAACCCTTAAGCCCCGGGTTAGGGTGCTGCTGGCAGTACCCTCCCGCTGGGATAAATCGAGAAAAAAAAAACTTAAAAAAAAATAAATAAATGGGAATAGGCGGACGTTCTGGAACATTACCCGGGTCCTAAGGTTTAATTGTACTTAAGGTGGATAGTATTGTTTCATGCTTGTATGGCTTTTCCTGCCATAGTGGAAGGGGACCCAGAGTCAAGAGTAAATAAATATAGATTTTTTCTTCACTTGCTATCACGCCAGCTTTAACTTCTGTAACAGACTCGGTCATCTTTGGCATTATCCTTCAATTACTCTCTTATATCTCCTGTAATGCTATTGTAAGTATAGTACAGAGTACAAGATTATCTTTTACAGACATCCTTGTATTTGTTTTTGTTTAGATAAAATAAAAGCTGCAAATGTTTGATGAACCAATAACATTCAATTTACTGTGGAATATTTTTCAGGTTGGGCAAAGTTAAAAATTGAAGAGTGTGCTGCTAAGAAGCAGGCAATGATTGACAGTGCGAAAGGTAAGTTTTGTATACCGTACACTACTTTGTTAAAAGATTAACAAAGAATTAGACATAAGCTGTGTCAACACTGACTTGTTATAACTCACTCTTTCAGGAATAATATTAGTTCATAGAGCATCTACCAAAAAAAATAGATGTACAGCGGTCTCTTAATTAACGAACATAATTGGTTCCACAGAGTCGTTTGTTAACCGAAAATTTCGTTAACTGAATCTATTATTTCAATGGGATATTGGGTAATTGTTTCCAACTCACAGAAAAGTACGAATTACCTTAATTGTGGGTGTCACTTTAAATCAATAATCTTAAATTTAATCGCTTTAAATCGACGTTCTACTGTAACAGATTCTACTCTCCCTTACGACCAAATTAGTCTTTGTGATAATTGATCTCTGACACTTCTGATATTGTGAAGAAAGTTTTCCTTTCACCCTATCATGTCATGTCAGAGACTCAATAATGGAATTTTATAACTTTAATTGTAAGAGATTGATAGTAAGACAAAGAAAATTCCTTATTACTTTGTATAAATTTTATGTTTATGATTTATTGGGCCACCATGCTGATATTTTTGGATTCTTCAGTTACTATGTGTGTCTTATATTGAGAATTATTTTCCCAGAGGTTATTGTTGGAGTGAACAAGTACAAATTGGAGAAGGAGGACAAAATTGACGTCCTCATGATTGACAATAATGAAGTTCGCACTACCCAGATTGACAAACTAAAACAGGTTTGTTTTTAGCAATTATTATTAAAACTCTTGGATGGTTAATACTTTTATATTATAAGATATAGATATACTGTATATTATATAGAAAGTGGTATGTAGGTGATCAAATTAAATGAAAGAACTAACACGGAATACTGTACTGTACGGTATATTATGTGGTGGATATATCGGGGAAGGTGTTTGATAGAATCAGTAGAGAGAGTGCAGTACAGTACTCTACTGTACTGTACTCTCTCTATAACAATAAAGAGCACACTGGAGAAATAACAGTGTGGGCTCAGAGAAGGAAGGGGATGTGTGAATCAGAACTTTGCATTACAAGACAATAAGAAGTAAGGGTAGAGTATTATTATTGTTTCGGTCATCCAGCAATTTTAGGATTTTAAGATTAGGTTAGGTTGAAATTATGTTTTCTGGTGGGTTTTTTATGTGTTTTGAACAACTTCCAAATAGGTGGGTGACCGAAACGATATTTCTTTAATTCTCTTGAGCTGGAAGTATTTTGTACCACTTCAGAAGTTGAAACCTTATGGTGTATTACACATGTAAGTGCTGCTACTGTACACCATTATCTTTTTGTAGGTAAAGGCTTCTCGGGACGCTTCAGCAACAGGGGCAGCTTTAGCAGCCCTAGAGAAGGCTGCACTAGGTGATGGTAACTTGTTGGCTGCTGCGGTGGAGGCCGCTCGTGCACGTGCATCCCTCGGTGAAATCTCAACAGCCATGGAAAATGTATGTTGTGTGAAAGCTCTGGGTAAACTTTTTTGTCTTAATTTGTGATTTGCATATTAGAGAGGATTTATTACAAAAGAAGAGGAGTAAGAGCAGTGGTTTCTGACCTTTTTGTGCTGAGACCCTAAATTTGCCACCTACAGGATCTCAAAACCCTCAGGCATATGATGAATACACTGTATTTAAATGTGTATGTATTTGCAAATTAATATCTATAGCATATTTACAAGGACCAGATTAACACTGTTGGGTTTGGGGAGGTGTGATACACTGTTGCTCACCTCACCACATTTGACTGCACCACATACAGAGATAATTGTATGTAATGAGTCATAACAAGCTTGCTCTTTGAGATAAAAAGGGTGGATTTGTTGCATTGGCATTGTAAATAACTTATCTAAAAACAGTTCTATATGAGTAATCATGATAAAATAATTATTTCTCTAAGTAAGTGCGAGTAGAACACAGAAGTTTTGTTTATGCTCAATGAAAATGTTTATACTATACATCACTTTATACCTTTGTTATTTTATGTGATTGCAATATGAACGTTATTCCATTATAAAGCATACATTTTTAGCAAAAAAATAATTATAGAAGAAAAGTTGTGACAAAATTAATATTTTGCTAGGTAATAGTAGTGTAAATTTTGCATTCTGAGGAGCACACCCAGGCCAAGTACAAATTATTCATCTTTTCCTCCAGGCGCAGAAGATAATTGTACAGTTGGCCACAAGAATAAGTATACACCTACGGTTCATGTTTGAGATAAAATATCTGGTAACACAGTTAACTACGTGGTGGTGAAATAAAAGATCAACTGTTGAGGAGCTTAGCGCTTGGCAACACTGGTGTATGTTACCACTCCTTTCCACTCCATCTCTCTTCTCACCCACACCTTTCTGCTTTCTCACTCCACATTTTAAAATCTTATGTAACATAATGTTGAAGGGATATAATGTGATAAGTGTAAGTATAAAATATACTGTATTTTAGCTTTCATGTTTATTCAAGACATCTTCAGGTCCTGAGACCTACTAATCCCCCACCCAACAGTGGGTGACCTGACATTGTATCAGGTCAGTAATAGGAGACCACCAAAATACCCTACCCTACCTCAAATTGACATTATATCAGGTCAGGTCAGTTACATGAGATCCACTAATCCCCCACAGCTCCAAGGGAGTGAAAAATACCAGTCCTTGCTGTAACACACAGCTTCATTCACGACCATTTTATATAGATTTTTATTTTAGACTTTTGGAAGACTCCCCAGCACACAGAAACATTTTGAGGATGTGGGCTAGTGTTTGTCTGGGCACAAAGTTTTTTTCAATAACCAGAAATATTTCCGGGGATGGGGGATTTTTCCGGGTTTAAGAAAGTCGTCCGGTTAGCCGGAAATCTTTCATCCCCGGAAATGCTTTGCACCAATTGTTCTGGCTAACGGGGATATCACTGTATACTGTACTATCCAACACATTAAAAACATTAATAAAATACTATCTTGTTGAAAATATGCAGCTAAAACTATTAAGTAAAATCTAAATTAAAGTTTAACACATCTGCTATTTGCAGATGTGGATGCCTTCAAACGTCGCCATAGCCATCAGCCGATCCACTACACTCCCTCTGCCGCTCTCACATATAAATAAATGTTTATTCCCTTTATGTTTCAACCTTATGATAGTTATTTCCTTTACTTTTTTTTAACATGATGTGTGTAGAATTGTGTACATGTAACTGGGTATAAAAAAAGTGAAGAATAATTAAGTTTATTTGAAACTATGAGTTGAAAAATAACCATAACATAACTCATCCCAGCTCATACTGCGAAATCTCACTGGCACGCGGAGAAATGCTTATTCTCTTTATTATAAAAAGTGAACTAAGTTATGTTTACCCGAAATTAAGAGATGAAAAATATTCTCAGCCTGGTAGAAAGTGTGCTAGGGGGATGTGGCCACCCCAGCTGACTCCTAGGGGCTTGCAGTTTGAATATTTGCTGGGACCCAAATTCATATAAGTGGAGGAAGCTTTCATTAGACAAAAAAAAAAAAAAAAGCCAATTTAGGAAATTTGTAAAAGTGAATTTTTGTATCTAAAATGTTCATATATTGAGGGATACCTTTATAAATCATTATTATGGTTTTACATAAAAAAAAAACAGGAGACAGTGTATTCACTTTAGGACATAAAAAGGTACAGTACTTCTTATGGTACTTCCTGAGGAATGTTTTTTTTTCAGGTATTTGGTCGTCATGTTGCTTCAGACAGGTTGGTGTCTGGCGCTTATAAGACAGAGTACGGTGATCAACATGAACTTGATGCAGTGACAGCCAAGGTAAAATATTTTGTAAATAAAATTATTGTATTGAATATACAGCGGTCCCTCGATTAACAAACACAATTGGTTCCACAGAGTCGTTTGTTTATCAAAAATTTTGTTAACTGAATCTATTATTTCAATGGGATATTGGATAATTGGTTCAAACTCACAGGAAAGTATAAATACAAAGTACAGGTGCTCCTCTACTTACGAACGAGCTACGTTCCTGAGGCTTGTTTGTAAGTCCAACTTTACTCTTGTAGATACCAAACATATTATAAAAAATGTAAAGATTATGGATATTTAGTACAGCTATACCCTTTAATACAGCCTTAAAACCTGGCTCACTCTTCTCCTCTTAGGTAATGTTTGTTCTATCTGGAATTTTCTTCAAAATAATCCAGTCACATCCACATTAAACACCTGTTCTGGCAGGTAACCACCCCTCAGTGATGATGTTTGTATCTCTAAAGTTTGTAAGTTGAACGTTCTTAAGTAGAGGAGCACCTCTAATATAATAATTGTAATCCCGATGATCACTTATTATTATACCTAAACCAAGTATCATTGTTTACTATGAAAAAATAAATTAGATAAAGTTTCGACAATAGTCGACATGGATAATATGTCCTGCAGCTAATCATTGCATATTTGTTAGGAAACAGCAGGCTCTGCTGGGCAGCACTTACTAGTTGTATATAAAAATGCATACAGTATTGCAATTCACTCGTTTTGTCCCTTTGACCATGAAATGAAATTTCACTCTTTGGTCAATCATTTATATGTTGTAAGTTATTTAAACAAAGTTGATATATTTAAAACATCTTCTATGCTTGGGCGATGTTTTAAACTGAGAGAGACCAACTCTTCGTATACTGTATTATAAGAGAGGGTTTTTTTAATAAAGTTCTGTAGCTTACACTGATGTGTGCTTGAAAATGGTTGATAGAATAAATGCATTATTTAAGAGAAGATTTAGTGTGTGAAAATTAGATCTAGTCTTTGCAGGCTCAGTCATAAAGAATATATCCTTAGTATTTTACAGATGGGCTGGGATGAAAGTAGAATTATGATTCCACAAAAAAAAAAAGGTGTTGAACCCTTGAGAAGGAGTTATCTTTTTTGTTTGTGCAGGTCAAGCTGTATGACATCTTGGATGGCTGGGTCAGGCATCGCCACTCACAACTGGAGCTGTCACGGGAAGTTGAGGCATGACTGACATTACACACACATGTTCTCTAGCATCATTAACCCACAGAAAAGCCTGCCATGTTTTTTCAAGACCCAACAGTTTGGCTGTTGATCTGTTGTGTAAAAGCATTTTCATGTTATGTTCAAATAAGAGTGAAGGAGATGGATAGGCAGGTAGTAGGACAGAGTGAGGAATAGGGGCAATAAATCATTGAGAAAGGATATACTTTAAGTAAAATGATATCCTGAGTTAGTGTACTGTAGGTGTCTGGAAAGTATGATTGTTGACACACACTTACCTGTGACATTTATGTTCTTGACAGATTGATGACTTCATTGAAGCTGAAGGTCGTCGCCCAAGGATCCTGGTGGCTAAGATGGGCCAGGATGGTCATGATCGTGGTGCTAAAGTGATCGCCACTGGTTTTGCTGACATTGGGTTTGACGTGGATGTTGGACCACTGTTTCAGGTAATATTGATAACCCTCCTCCCCCCTTTTCTTGTAGTAAATACACAATTTGCCGAGGACACGGTTAGTTGGTGGCATGAGGGTGATCCCCACCCCACCCTGTTTTTTTTTTGTGTGTGTTTTACTGTATATGAAGGGTATTGGTATTAATAAGCTCAAATTATTACAGCAACATATCTTTACTATTTAATAAATAACAAATAAACAATATTTTGTTGAGTTACAGAAAGAATGACAGGCAGGGGTGGGGGGTGAGCGGTCAGTTTCTCCCACTAAGGGTGTCCATCCCTCCACCACCAGTTGCTTTATGTACAGAACTAATCAAAGAATTTATTTGAAACACACTGTAACATTCAATGCCATAATATCCTGACCACTGGGGTTAGTTATACAGATTTTTCCCTGTGAAAAAGCCATAATTTTGAGCAACATATTACTGTACTCACTTTGTACTAAGCTACATCTGAAATTGCCTAGCTTATACTGCAGACGGACAGGGGGGGACCTAATTGAGGGGTTTAAACATCTCAAAGGGCACTACTCAGTCAAGTGCCCTTACCTGGAACTGGCAAATGCTCGCCCCACAAGGAGTCACAGCTCAAGGTTGGAAAAGCCACAAGTCCAGAAAACTGTGAGGGCGAACTTTTCGGAGTGAGAGTTGTGAACTCTTGGAGCAATCTGCCAGGTTGTGTTGTGACAGCACCGAGTGTGAGCTATTTCAAGGCGAGATTTAACAAGTACTGGAGCAGGTTCTGTTACATTCAGGAGTCAGTGTGCCAGGCATGGGGCAATTAAGTTTCAAATTTAACTAGTTAAGTCAAGATAATTTTCTCTTTTTTTTCCAGTTAAGTTAACCTTATTTTTTAAACATTAACTACAGTAATTAAGTTCAGATTTTTTTTTCGATTAAGTTAAGTTAACCAGTCTGTCAAATTTGCTAAGGGGAATTTTCATGTGGATAAAATAACTTAATATTCTGTAAATGTTTTCCAGAAGAGTCTTTGAATACCTGAATAGTGAGGCAGTCTGGCACACTACCGGTACTTCCTTGGTATGAATAAATCTTGAGATAAAATAATTATAAATTCTTGACTTTTCTACTTTTTACTCAAGTTTTTCACAGGTAAATAATTTTATTATTTCAGTATGAAAAACCAAGTTAGACTTTTTTACTTGAAAAATTATATAAGATTAGAATTCTGCATATCAAATAAATAATAATCACAAAGTATAAACTCAAACTTTTTCATCACATATTTATTACACTTTATAATGCTTAATATATTGGATACCCACTGGGCGCAAGGGCTGGTGTGTTATATATTATTTTTATAAGGAGTTAATTGATAATTAATCGAAGTTAATAAATTAATTTCCCAAATTTTGATTAAGTTAAACTGTTATTTCAAAAGTTAACTAGTTAAGCAAAGTTAATTTAACTTAATCATTAACTTGTAGAAGTTAATGATTTAGTTAATTAATTGTCCCATGCCTGGTCAGTGCACGCCCAGTACTTGCCAACAGTGCATAACAGAGACGTGACCAATCGTTCAAGCGGTTAACAAGTTGATCAGTGGTAAAGAGGATAAAAGTAATGTAAAAGTAAATGACTCAAAATTTTATTTCTTGTGCAAACTATGAGATGTTTATACTCAAATTAATCGGCATCTTGCAAAGATTCCAGCAATGCCAATTATATTCTGATAATTCAAGTCTGTGACATTTTATGAGACAGGAACTTTAAGCCTAAAATCACCGTCATCCCATTAATCATTATCACCCGCTGCCATCTGCCTCCCCTGCTGGCTGGGAGGAGGGGGTAGGGGAAGGTGAGGTGTTGACAGCCAGGAGCCAGGTGCGTAGTTATCAGTGAAGGGGTCAAGGACCCAGGATCATAAGACAGGGAGTTTAAGTTTTGTGCTTCTAAAATGTCACGGATTTGACTTGGCAGAATATAACTTGCATTGCTGGAATTCTTGCAAGATGTCAATTAATTTGAGTATAAACATCCTATAATTTTTTGCACAAGACACAAAAATTTTAGTAATTAACTTCTTACATATGAGTACTGGGTGTGATAATTTGTGTTATGTTTGCAGTTGTGAAGTTTCGTGACATCACTAGTGTACTGTATAATGTGTCTCCATATACCCAGGTTTATTCACTGATCAGTTGTCTAAATGCAAAAGTAGCTATATCAAGCCATCATGTATCAATTAATTTTAAAAAGGAAATTATCGAGTCTAATGTTATAAGACAATGGTTTAGTAGTGCTGTTAATGTGTGTAAGTGTCTTGGCATGTCACCTCACTCTTCCCACCCACACACCAACCATATGAGGATGCAGCTAAACATGGTGCAATCTTTCATAGCGCAGGGAACCTTTGTCCCCAGGCCCGGAGCAGAAATGTTTGGAGTGATTTTCTCGCCATTTTCTCAGATTTTTCCGGTAATTGCTTTATATAATTTTTATACATCTAGAACATTCACCGTAGTCTGAAGTAGGTTTACTATATCATGTGTCTGAGGTGTCTCCGTAGGTGTGAGTGTATGAACGGAATTAATCTTGATTTAGTGAACTAGTTCACTAAATCGAGCGAAAAATGACGAGAAAATGCCTTCTGCTAAATCAAGAGCTCATTACAGTATATTGGATTCCATTAAACGGAGAGTATATTGTATTGTACCTGCAAAGTTAAGAATGCAAATTTGTATTTTCAAGCAGCCAATTTTGGAGCAAGCTTGTTCCATGGCTGCTGACTCTCTTGGTCCATGTACCCAGAGCAATAAGGGTCACCTAGAGATTACAATGGAAACTGGCCTCTATGCTGGTTGCTGACATCATGATGTAGGTGTGTTTGATCAGGACCTAACCTGACCTCAGTGGTGGTTATTTGTTTAGCTCTGTGGCAACACTTTCTCAGTAATATTTTTTGTTAGTCAAATAAATTATTAAATGCTGCCTCCAGTAGTGAAGATTAAAAATTTGTCAGCCCACAAATGGGGGGGGCTGCATCCCACTTCTTCTCCCCCCCCAGTTCTACCCCTGATCAATCCTTCATATTTGTGGTCAAAAAATGCATTTATCTCCTTAATTTTAAAGGCATAGAAAGAAAAACAAAGTTGGAAAATCCATAAGGTTCCTCTCATTTTAATAACATCCCTGTTTTTATTAATTTTTTCCCTTGGGTCTACCTGAGTAAGTCTACAAAATGTGGCAAAGATTGGTGAAGCTGTTTCACTTCAAAACTGGAAAGAAGCTACAAGAGGCTGGCTTCTCACATCTGGGTAACATCATTATCTGAGAATCACATACCGAACACCCTGCCTATAGCATACCTGTGTTTTTCCTACCATATGTGCTGAAGAAATTACAATGCATTATTTTTTTTCAATGTAATACCAGAGGATAAGTATGTAAGTGGAATACAGTACAGGTACTAAGGGAGTAATCATTGCATGTCATGTGGAGTAGACTGCAAGAGCCACCCCCGCTCTGCAATGGAAGAAGGCACACATGATATGAGAATTATTTACAAGGCGCACAGGTATCTGAAATAGTACTAAACAGAAAAAAAAATTGTGGTGCGAGGAAAAATATTATATTGTTCAGACATTGTTCATTATGTATCATTGAACAGTATAATGACTGGGTTACATTCCTTGGAAACAGTAACCCCAAATAATATTTTTCCTTTGTCAGTAGAAAATTATGAGGAGGGAAATGTAGTCCTGAAACACCAAAACTGCAATGTAGAATGAGGGAAATACTTAAAGGGTTCCAGATTTTTTTTTATAAATTAATTTATTATTATTGTGTTTTTATTTATTTTTATTTATTTTTTGAGGTAGTAGGTAGTATGGTATGATGGTTGGGCATTGCGGTAAGAGAAAATCTACTTAATGTACACTGCTAGACTCACAAGAATTACCATATTTGCCTGCGTATAAGACGCACCCCTATTTTACTAGGATTTTTTGTGGATTTTTTTTTTTTAAATACGTTTCATAATACAATTATTGTAAGCGATTTTAAAGTAGTTTTGTTGGGGAAAACATATGATTTTGTGCATGTAAATACAGTAAGATCTTGTATTTCGCAAGTAATATAGACTGGAAAAATTGCGCCAAATTCAAGTTCACCAAATGCAAATACTGTACATAAACTAATGGGAAAAATAACAATATAGACTGACCACTCTACATCAACCTCTGACTTTCCCATTTATAACCTCCAAATGATACAAATTCTGCCTTTATTGACCTGATTGTGCTTTCTAGAAACTAGTTTTTAGGCCTTCCTCAAGTAACTCAATCACACGCTGCTTATCCTGCATCGAGTACTTGGCAAACTTAACTCCCTTATGATAGTCCCGCTTCTCCTTTTCCTTATTTGGCCGCTTAGGTGAGTCTGTCCCACCAGCACCAGTAGGACCCCCAGTAAGGGTAGAGGCCATTATCTTGACTCGACAGGTGGTAGCACCACCCAAAAAAGCACTCAATAACAGCCCGGGCGGTCGCTAGGATGGCACGGGCTACAACACGATAGTTGCGTTCTTGTAAACCTCTTTTACATTCACCACCGGCAATTCGATCTCCAGAACGCTTCTTGGAAACATTCTTCTCACCTTCTCTTTCCATATTCGTCGCTAACACAACAAATTTGGAGAAAACAACAAAAATCATGGAGCAATTGACCAAAAAAATGCGCGATTCAACCTTTATTAGTCCTCACTGTGAAACGTTCTTTTTACTTATTCTTTCCATACAATATTTATTGGTAACAGCTAAATTTGCAAAAAAAAAAAAAAAAAAAAACACACAACAAACAAAAGATACGAATCAATTGAACATGTGATGTCGAACGTGAACTGTAAATATTGCATAACCCCGCACCACGCTTAAAACATTGAGGATGGAATCATGTTATAGCCAACATTCATATGCAAATGTTTGCATTTTACAAACAGCTTTCCCCTATTCATCAATCGCGTTACAACCAATTTGCATTGACAAAACATGTGTTGTAGCAGAAATGACTAACTGGTATGAGGACTGTGACGTCATTCAAGACAGTGGCCAGCATTCAGCTTGCTGGATCTCGCGTTCAGCTGACTGGATCTCGCGAAATTCACGATATGTTACGCCAAATATAAGACTTGGTTACATTAGGTAGTGCTAGCAAAATTCAAAATGCGAAATATATGATCTTACTGTACAATATATACTGGAATCACATAAGAAATCATATATGGTAACATTATACAGTAGAACGGCGATATAACACGAGATATGTTCCAAGAGAGGTCACTTTAAACCGAATTCGCACTAAATCGAAGTGTTGTTTCAATGGAATAATTTAGTTTACTACTTGGAGAGAAACACAAAATACTAAAAAGACTGAGAGTCTACCCACATGCACCTCAGCCCATCTCCTAGAAAAAACAAAACATTGTTTTTTGTTGTATTATGTTAAAACAAACACTCATAAATCAACACGGCTAAAATTATGGGACGTGAAATGGTCTGTTTACTAGTGATCGCTAATGTGAACATTTGGGGGGAGGAGGGGGGAGTTGATGCCAAGGTCTAGTGCTTATTTATTTATCTGTCCTTAAGAGTGACTTTAAGTTTTTCTCTTATAATATGTCACTGAACTGACATGTTCTAATTTTATTGCAAAGGGCTAAAATTTGTATCGTGCAAAATATATTCGCTGTCTTGCAAGGATTCTAGCAATGCAAATTATATTCTCCTAACTTTAGTCTGTGATATTATATAAGATAAAAACTGTAAGCCTATAACCACCCAACCCTGGCTGCAAAAATGGGGTTGGTGACAGTGACACGTTTGACAGTTGGGAAGGCCTAGTGTTTATTTTATGTCCTTTAGATTGAGTTTTTGTTTTTTTGTTTATAAAATGTCACAGAAGTGACCGGGGAGAACATAATTTACATTGCTGGAATTCTTATAAGATAGTGATTAATTTGAATATAATCATGCTATAGTTTGCATTAGACAAAAATTTTAGTAATCATTTAGTAGTACATTATTTTGAGTACATGTACAGTACAGCTTTGCCCTTAGGACAGTGTAGCGTGCCCAGAGAAACATTAGGCGCGATTTTTAAAATATGATGCGCCAGATTGACTCGCGCAAAATGGAAAAGATTCGCTTTAAATTTTAAATTAAAACATTGTCCTTAATTGAGGATGTCACTTTCAATCAATAATCTTAAATTGAATCACTTTAAATCGACGTTCTACTGTATTAACCCAACTCTACCTCTGATCAGAGCAACTGTGTGGCTTGTTTATATTTTGATCAAGAGAATTACCGACAGGATGTGAAACTCGTATATTTGGCCGTGATGTTTTGTGTTGCCATGATCAGCCACCAGGGTGTAGCACCATCGCTATTGTTTTAGCATCATTGACTCATTGCAAATGGCTGACTGGCGGCTGAACTTTCTGTTAACATTTCTTTAATCTTTCTCGGGACATTTTTCATTTAGATAATAAACAAATGTTTCTTAAAGGTAACACAGTCGTTAAATAATGTAAGACATGTATCTGGTGTGGGTTACGTATGCTGGGGAAAGAGGTATAGTGAGATATTGTGAGCTTCCCTCTGCCGTTAAGCCAATGTAAGCCATTATTTACGTCTTTGGCAAGTTTGCCGTAAGTTTGTGGTAATAGATTGTGATAATTTGGATTGTCTTTCAGTATTTTATTATTAGTATCCCAATATTTGTGCTTAGTGGACTACTGCTCGTCCCAGACTCCCTGGTTAGGCAACTCCTCCTACGGCGCTCGGCCTCCCATCCGTAATACAGGCACATTAGACGTAGGGTAATTTGTGATACATTTTTGGGAGAAAAAAACGCATCTGATACACCAGCAAATACAGTAAGTCCTAGCTTAATGTTGGCCTGCTTAACATTGTTTCGGTACTAAGTTGCTAAACTTTTAAAGACCAAAAATTCCTTTAACGTCCCGGTGGTCCAATACTAAATCTTTTTGCGATGTCACGGACTACTTTCAACAGCGCTCTTGTCTATCCACGCTACGCTCTCTCTGCTAGGCTCGCAGAACGTCACAGTGTCTCCAAGCGACTCCAAGCCAGTCTCTGTTACAACTTCACATCATTCACATTTGTGTGTGATTAAGTGCTTTTGCTCTAAAACTGTACTCTATCCATTTGAAATGGCTTCCAAGCATCCATCAAGTGCCACTGATGTTAGTGTAGTGAAGAGGCAACGCAAGACCATTACCCTTGCTACAAAAATGGATGTATTAACCCGATTTGAAAAAGGGGAACGTGCTGTGGGCATAGCCACTGTGCTTGGTCTAACCCCCACAATGGTGCATACTATCCGGACCAACGCTGACAAGATTAAGGTTAGTGCTGGAAGTGGTACTACTCTCAGTGCAACCAAGACAACTTGTACCAGAAGTACTGTGATAGAAACAACGGAAAAGATGCTGGCTATGTGGAAGGAGGACCAGAGTCAACGCAATGTGCCTGTGAGCCTTATGGTTATCCAGCATAAGGCCAGATCCTTGTTTGACGACGTAAAGGAAACCAAGGGTGAAAGATAGAAAGATGAGACCTTTATGGCCAATCGAGTCTGGTTTCAACGATATAAGTGCAGGTATAACTTCCACAATATTAAGATGACTGGTGAAGCTGCCAGTTCAGATACGGTTGCTGCCGAGACATTCCCGCCAGAATTCAAACGGATTATCCAGGAAGGAGGCTACTCATCGGAGCAAGTCTTCAATGTGGATGAGACTGGTCTCACTTTGGAAGAGGATGCCTGAGAGGACCTATATCTCCAAGGAGGAGAAAAGCCAGATTTTAAAGCAGCAAAAGACCGCTTGACACTGCTGCTTGGCGCGAACACTGCCAGCGACTTCAAGCTGAAGCCCATGCTGATTTCTCACGCTGCTAACCCACGGGCCCTGAAAGGTTATTCTAAGGATCACCTTCCTGTCATTTACAAGGCAAATAAGAAGGCATGGATAACCAACGCCATATTTAGCTAGTGGTTGAACGTGTCTGCCGTCCCTGCAATGAAGGAATACTGTGCCAAGGAGAACCTTGACTTCAAAATTCTTTTAATCGTGGACAATGCTCCAGCTCACCCTCCCAATCTCAATGACTTGCATGACAGTGTAAAAGTTGTATTCCTTCTCCCAACATGACAGCACTGATGCAGCCTATGGACCAAGATGTCATCGGCGCATTTAAGGTGTATTATTTACGCTGTACCATGGCCCAGCTGCTAAAGGCTACAGACGGAGACAATAAACCTACGATCCGAGAATATTGGTGTGGCTTCAACATTCTTCATGCAATTGACAACATTGGCAAGGCATGGGAATAGGTTTCAGACAGTTGCCTGAATGGTGTGTGGCATAAATTGTGGCCCGAGTGCATCAACAGTTTTACGGAATTCATGGACTTAGTCCCAGCAGTGAATAGGGATATCCTCAGCTTGGCTTGACAGACAGGCTTTAATGAGCTGGAATCAGAGGATATTGAGGACGTCTTGGCATCCCATACAGAAAAGCTCACCAACGAAGATCTACAACTCTTAATAGAACACAGTCCCGTTGAAGACAGCGACGACGAAGAACCTCAATGAATACTAACATCCAAGAGGATGGCAGAAGCTTTCAACATGTTCCAGCAAGCAATGCAAATCCTTATAGATGATGACCCAAACAGAGAAAGTTGGTTGTTACACTGAGATCTATAAGGAGAAGAAGAAGAGTAGCACCAAGCAGTCAACACAGGATTCATTTGTTCGTTGCGGGACGGCAGAAGCAGCAGCTTAACAACAGCCGGCAGCCGAGGAGGAGCATACAACAACAGAGGAGGAGCAAACAACAAAGGAGGAGGAGCAAACAACAAAGGAGGAGGAGCAAACTTCAGTGGAGGAGGAGCAAACTTCAGCGGAGGGGGAGCAAACAGTGGCTGAGGAACCCCAGTCAGAACAGGAGGAGGCAGCTGCAGAGTCTCAGTGACTCACCACCCTCCTCCCCCGCTCCCGCCATACTCCTCCCCTCCCGCCTCCTCTGCTCCACTACCCACCACACACTCGCTCTACCACCTCCACCCATTGGCGAGTACCTGTACCAATACAAACTTAGTAGTTGTATATGTATGCACTATTTTCTATAGAAATGGCAATGATTTTTTGTATATGTAATGTATTTCATGGGGCAAAGGGTGGCTGGGGAACATAACTCCCATATTTTATCTATTTCTTATGGGGAAAATTTATCCGCTTAATGTTATTTCGTGTAACGTTGCATTTTCAGGAACATAACCCCGACGTTAAGCGAGGACTTACTGTAATCCAATTGTCAAATGAGGATTCTAGTTGCATATCTATATTTATGAAACCTCAATTTCAATATCTCTCCCCGAGATCCAACTGTAGGATCACTGTGGACAGATCACATAGAATGAGTCTGCGTAAGCCTTCCCGTCTGTGTGTATCATAACCATGTGTCCTGAGTGAGTGTCTGTGGTGGCCTGTGTGGTCATGTTTGTTGGAGTCTGGACGGTAGTGGACTGAGCAGCAGACACATGTGGTGTGATAATGTGACTGCCAACAGAAGTAACAGTTGGGGTTGTAATAATATGACTGTTGTTGGGAATGCTGTGTGGTGCTACATTGTTTGCTTGGATGCTATGTGCAACACTGTTAGTAGAGATTGTGTGAGGTGATAAATTGTTTCCTTGAATGCTGTGTGAATTTATGCTATTTCCAGAAATACTGTGAGCTGCCATGGTGCTGGGGGATATAGTTTGTGCTGTCAACCCAGTGCCTGGAATAGTGTGGATTGTAGCACTACTGTGTGATGTTTGCTGGCTTGTTTCAAGTGTAGATAAAGGAAGATTTGAGTTTATTTGATTATTAGCTTGCACCGTATGAGTAAAAGATCCTAAAACATGTGATGACTGGTGATGTTGAGCTGTTGTTGATGGTGGCACAGGTGTAGAGATATTATTAGGTGTAATATATGGAGGGGTTAATCTATCGCTTTGTTGGCTGTGAATACCAAGTGATTGATGGTGAGTGGGACAAGACAGGGCCTTAATATAACTAGTCATATGGTTTATAAGAGCTTCCTGTTCATCTGAATAACCATCACTGGTTGAGTGAGATACATTTATAACTGGAAGACGAGTGGGTCTGTCGTATAAAAGTTGGAATGGAGACCCAGGAGTATTCTTTTGATGAAATGTCCTATATGCTAAAATTACCTGATGCAAGTAAATATCCCAATAATATTGATTTTGATTGCTGTACTTCATCAAGGCACCACACAGAAGAGAATTATACCAATAGTTCTCAGGATACCCATTTGACTGTGGAGAAAGTAGAGTAGATAATCGGATGGTGATGCCCATCATTGAACACATTTTCTCAGATAATCTCGCACAAAAGTCATTATTGTTGTGTTTTGTCATTATTTCTTCAATTGACCCATGACGGCATATACTTTCAGCCAAAAAATTCCCTATAGAATCAGTTGTGAATTCAGATAATGCCATTGCTTCAACCCACTTTGTTACACAGTCTGTTAATAGAACTATAAATCTCATTCCTTTGTGTGTTTCACTGAGAGGACCAATAACATCAAGGCCGCACTGTGCCATGATATGGTCTCTGAGCACTAATGGCTGTTGCATAGTTTGCTGCGGTACAACGGCTTCACATTTAAACACACTACACACAGGTTCTTGGGGAGATGGAACACTAGGTTCTAAAATATTACCAATTACATCCAGTCCTATCTGTTCAATGGCCTTGTCCACAATTTTCTCAGTCGACTTGACCTTGATTCCACCCTCGGAATCTGTCCGAGTCATGTTTGAATGACGCATCACATTGTTTTGCTGATTGCCTTGTTCAATACAAGTCTGACATTCTATTTTCACATAGTAGTGAACATCTTTTGCTATAGTCTTCCAGTAGTAGTTGGTGCTAATCTTCTTAAGTCTGAAAAAAAACAACTTTACTTTACATGATGATACTGACAATATGTGTAAATCTTATTTATTGATAAAACTAAAATGTCTACTGTATTATATTTCCTTTCCCGATATGTGTATAGTGGATCAGAAGACATAGAAACATGAAGAAAGAGGCATACTTGTAAGTCAGGGTGCTACAATAAGTGTAGAAAGTGGCATGAAGGGGCTGAAACATCAAGTTCTTCAATCCTACAATGTGCTTGGCAAGCTCAAAAACACATGCACACATACTACTTTGCTGTCACTCAGAATCGAGTATGATGATCATCCAGCTATGATACAATGATATGAGTTATTAGAGATGTCACCTAGGTTAGTGAGTTTTAAGGTTACTAAAGAGGCCGATACGGGACCTGCAGGGTCGTCCACATTCGTTGCACATGTGGAGGGCTCCATCTAGTGCGGGAGGGGCGGTGGCAACGTCTTTCCAGCCTTGGCACATGTCTGCCTCGGTTTGCAGTCGGGCTAACTCGAAAGTATTGACACCTTCTTGTGTGGTGCTCCTCCAAGCGTTACGATGTGGAGTAATCGACTCCCAGATGAAGGGGTCGATTTGGCACTTTTCAGGTTTGTCTTAAGACTATCCTTATACCTTTTCAATTGCCTGCTGGTGTTACGTTCACTATTCGTTAGGTGACTGTAAAGTAGCTGCTTTGACAGTCTACTGTCGTCCATGCGGGTAACATGGTCAGACCAGCGTAGCTCTTCATGGATAATGGTAACCTCGATGCTCCTACAGTTGGTGTCAGCAAGAATACTGGCATTTGTGGCATTTGTTCTCGTCTTCCCAGCAACCTCGGAGGATGGAACATAGACTACGTTGGTGAAAGTTTTCAATCAAATGCCTTGAGGTGACTCCTGTATGTGACCCATGTCTCACTGCCATATAACAGGGTGGGGAGGACCACTGCTCGATATACATGCAGCTTTGTAAATAATTTCGGCTCCCTACAGCTGAAATCTCAATTTCGGAGTCTGCCAAAGGCTTGAGATGCACATCTGATCCGATGCTGAATCTCTTCATCGATGTCTGCGGTGGTGGACAGGTGGGAGCCGAGATACCGAAAGTGGGTAACATTAGAGAGGGTAGTACCGTTAAGCTGGATGGATGGTGGAGGCGTGTCTGAACCAGGGGTAGGTTGAAAGAAGTGCGCATACGCATCTGTGTAGGTAGGTGTTTAGGATCTGTAGGTCGTGTACAGTGTGAACAACAAGGGTGAGGTCGTCTGCATACTTAAGTTCAGTAATGGAAGCGGCTGACACCCTTGTTCTTGCCTGGAGTCGTCTTATATTAAAAAGACCGCCTTCACCCAGTATTTGATGTCCACCCTGCCGGCTAATTGGCACTGGCACGAGTAAGGAAGGCAGCCAAGAAAATGGGAAAGAGAGTTGGTGCCATTACACATCCTTGTTTAACCCCTGTTTGGACGGGGAAGAACTCAGACTGGGTGCTGTTGTGCAGGACACTGCCGTTCATGCTGTGGTGGAGTTGCCTCGCAATGGCGATGAATTTTGGTGGGCAGCCAAAACGGCTGATGGTCTGCCAGAGGGCTTCCCTGTTGACCGAGTCGAAGGCCTTGGTTAGGTCGATGAGAGCCATGTACAGGTCACAACTCTGTTCGCTGCACTTTTTCTGTATCTGGCGGGCAGCAAAGATCATGTCAGTGGTGCCACGTGATGGTCTATAACCACATTGAGATTCTGCCTGTCCCCGTTGCCACTCGTCTGTTGCCATGGGACTTTTGGGGGTATAGGTGTTTTGTAGATGATGAGAGGTATGATGAACGAGATGATGGCTGCACGTGAGTTGATTTATGTGGTGAGGCAGGAGCGCAGGCTGCAATCACACATCTTGGCTCTCCTTTTCCTGATCCAGTGGTGCAAGTGTTGCAATGAACGGGGAAAGGGAGAGTTGCAATGAACTGCCAATAGCCCAGTTTGTTGGGTTTCGCCTTAGTAGCCTGTCCATCATGCATTTCCTTCGTCTGCCGGTGAATTCGTTGGATTTCCACGATGGTCACCTCTTCCGCCGTTGGGGTCTTGTTGGAGCTCTGTAAGCACGTCTGCCTGATACAGGGCTCCACCGCAGATTTTTCGTTCGGGGTTTACTCCTGTAGCCTTATACATACCAAGGTTAATAATCCGCAAGGCAGCGGAGCACTGGATGGTAGGTGCCAGATTTTGTCCACATGTCAGTGGGCCATGCGCCATCCCTCGGGGTCCCACTGCTACTCCGAGATCCCCTGCTGGTCTTGCCTGTGTGCACGAGGCACCCAGTTACCATGTTGCCACGAGGAGGCGCAGGAAACTTGATGGTGAGGAAACTGTGCACTGGTAGGGGAAGATTTATGCAAGTTGCTTCCCTGTTCGACACGAGGGATAGCCAGCGGCAGCAGCTGAAAGCGAAAGGGAGCAAGCAGTGCTTTTACCTTAACATTAACATAATACTGCCACACTAGACGCATTTCACCACCCTGTGTGTGTGTGTGTGTGTGTGTGAGAGAGAGAGAGAGAGAGAGAGAGGCAAACACGCCGAGAAAATAAGACAACAAGCATCCAATGAGGGTTTTGTTGTGTGACTGCATTGAGTTGAATTAAAAGATCAACTGTTGAGGAGCTTATCACTTGGCAATACTGGTGCATGTTACCACTCCATCTCTCTAATCACCCACACCTTTCTGTTTTCTCACTCAATATTTTAAAATGTTATGTCAAGTAATGTTGAAGGGATACAACTTTGCTCATTTATACTTATCACAATCTTCCTAAAAATACTTTAGCTTTAGTGTTTATTCAAGACATCTTCAGGTCATAAGGCCCACTAATCCCCCACCCAAGAAAGGTGACCTGACATTCTATCAGAAGGTCAGTAATATGAAACCAATAATCCCCCACCCTACCTCCACCTGACATTGAGTCAGGTCAGGTCCCCCCAAAAAATACTTTAACTTTCATCTTTATTCAAGACATTTTCAGAAAATTCTCTCGATTTTCAACCTTGGAAAATTTTTTCCTAAAGCCGGAAATTTTTGGAAAATTCCGGTTTTGGGAATGTTTTCCGAGCAAATTTCAATTCCGGCTATTGGAGATTTCCGGGTTTAAGGGATTCTGGCTAACGGAGATATTACTGTAATGGAAGTCAATTGGAAAAATAGTTTCGCGTTTCAAAATTTCTCGTTATGGAAAGAATTTCAGGAACCGAACCCTTCAGTAACCCGGAGGATGCCTGTATAGCTAGCTACAGTATTGTACGAGCACAGTGGTGCTTGCATATATAAATACCGCTCTGTGTCAGCCTGATTGGAGTGAAGCTGCTGTATAGTAGCGGTGCTGTGTGTGATGAGTAGTTTAGATGTGGAAATCTTCTGAAGATGTGAATCGGGGATAAGAGAATTCGTGTCAGTACCCTGAAACGCTCTGCACCAATTGTACAATATTTTGTTTTTGCATTGCAACTTATTCTTAATATGATGATAAAAGATAGATAAATTAGAACTAATGTTCTGGGGTATGATTACAAAATTGTCTACTTACGTTCTGTTAATTCCATGGTGTCTTCCATCTGACTGCAGGTGACTGGATTCTATTATCCTCCTCTTATCCTTAATACCCTTGACTGCTAAGAGTGCTCCATACTTCTTGTGGTTGTAATATAGTTCGTTCTTACAGTATGTAAAAGGCCGACACTTCTTGCGCCAGTTGCTACGACTATCTTTACTTTTAATACTGTCAGGATATTTGCTCTTTGAGAGATAAGTCAATATCTCATCAAACTCTTGTTCATCCATTGCTGTAAATATAAAGATAAACATTTAGAAATACTGAAATACATTGGTGATAAAATTCAGTTATATCTTCCAAAACATCAGAATCCAGAATTAATCTTAGTGGATTTTTTATTGAATTTTGTGTTAATTCTTGTTTAGGTTGTTGAGATGTAGGATAATTATTTATGAGCATAGTGCAGTATTATCCCTGGAGCTAGATTTATTGACAATTTGCTTGTCTTGTGTTGATACTCACCAGATATTATTGCCTGTCACAGGCTCGTAGGAAGTACAGTAATTTAATATTGGTACGGCAAACACTCGCCGGAAGCAAAATTACTTTATATATGATATGATTAAAGGAGTCACTCAAATATGCATAAACTGTAAAAGCTGACATTTACTTTTTGGTAATAATATTAAGTACTGTAATAAAATATATTACTGTATTCCAATTCCTATAAAATATAAATTCGTATAAACTATATTCGGCAAGTACAGGTATGGGACCTTTTTTTTTTTTTTTTTTAACGGGGATTAGCCCACCCGGGCACAGGTCACTGACCCACATCGGGACAACTCTAGCCCAGGCTTACCGGACCTCTTTATAACAGTGTTAATGCTATGGCACACGTTTACTGTACACTGGACCCTCGCTTTATGCCATTCACTTTATGGGAATTCACATATATTTACCATTATATCCTGACCACCAGGGATAATTATACAGACTTTTCCCTGTGAAAAAACCCATAATTTGAGAAATGTATTACTGTACTCAAATGTACTATAAGCTGAAGAGCTAAACTTTATATCTCTTGTGCAAACTATGAGATGTTAATACTCAAAATAATCGCCATCTTGCAAGGATTCCAGCAATGCCAATTATATTTTGCAAAGTCAAGTCTGTGACATTTTATGAGACAGGAACTTTAAGCCTAAAATCACCATCATCCCATTAATCGTTATCACCCGCTGCCATCTGCCTCCACTGCTGGCTGTAACAAAGATTATGTGTCCCTAATTTAATGTAACATATTTTATGTAACATGATTACTCTTTTATTGTCTTTTTAATTCTTTATGTTTATTTACTTATTTAATTATATACTTATTCTTCTTACTTTTACTCTTTCTTATTCCTGTTATTCTTTCTCATTATATTCGTGAGAGGTGGAGGGAGTGAGGGAGGTAGTGAGAGGTAATTGTTTACGTTTGAGGAGAGGCTGTGAGGGGAGGGGAGTACAGGACTAACTGTTTGTGGTTAGGCTAGAAAGGTCTACACCAAGGGGATGACTCAGGGAAGCTGGTTAGGAGAACTAAGATACAATCTTAAGAGAAGGGAAATATGGGATAGTTATTATACACAGGACTCACTGTACTACTGCATAATACCAAGACATCTATAACACGTCACTCTTTCCCAATAAGGGAGGGATGCATTAGGACTCTTATTAAAGGTTACTGTATTTATTGAATACCCTCTATTAGGGTTTGACAATTACACTTCATAACAATAAACCTATCCTTAATAGCTTGCTAACCAAGGGGTCCATGACTCACAATACATTTGGGAAATGGATCAAACCTAATAGGTACTGACGTTATAGCCGCCATATGAGGAGGTGACACCCAGGACACAACCACACAGACTCTGCTTTTCAAACTGCGTCAGCCTATAAAGGACGCCACAACTTTCATGACGTCACGCCTCATAGGCTTTCTCATTGGTCGAAGACAGGCCTAAGGCCTTCATACTACAGTGGTCCCTCGGTTAACGAACACAATTCGTTCCAGGTCATTTATTAACCGAAACCATTGTTTCAATGGGATTTTGGGTAATTGGTTCCAGCTTACCGAAAATTACATACAAAGTAAAAATAAATGCAGTAAAGTACACTTACTTTGAGGTGTGTATGTAGAAGGCTCCTGGTTGATGATGATGGGAATTAGAAGTGGGGGTGGAGGAGGAGAAGGGAGAAGAGAAGGGAAATCACCCCATGCTTCATGCCGTCATTTCACCCATAAAATTTTAAGTTCACTAGGTGTAATTCAAGATTATTTTCTATAAATCAACACTGCACTGCACTATATATTGTCAATATGTAAAACAAATTTCAGAATGACCAATTACTGTAAAAACGTAAAAATAGTTTATGTTCAAGAGAGCCACAAGCAAGATGTTACCTCCACTGACCAGAGATACAAACTGATGCCTTGCTGGATGAGTCAAGTGGCTGATTGGTGCACCAAAAACTAGTTTCCTGTACTGCATTTATGTTAAATAAGTGTTAAAATTACTAAAAAATTTAATATGAAAATTGGAAAATTATCGAATAGTACAACTTTCTTGATATTTACTCGAATGGGAATGAATTTAAGCCCTAGACCCGATTACTGTATTGGCGGACTAATATTCCAGCTGGTGAGCAAGCAAAAACATGTTGACATCATTTCGTAAAAATTTCGTTAACCGAATGGGTTAGGTTAGATTGAAATTGTTATTCCGGTGGTTTTGAGGTGTTTAGAACGATTCTGACCTACTTCCAAATAGGTGAATGACCGAAACAATAATTATACAGCAGAAAGTTTGCTAGGAAGCATTAGAATCCCTCATGGCAAAGTGTCAAGTTTAACCATATACGTACTATACTGTACATACCTCCTCATGGTTGACAAACTATTTACAGTACTTCAATTAAACATAACAAAAGTAGGAAAGTTGACATTCCTCCAATGTATAAAGAATAGGTATTGTTTTACTTTCACACAACCATGGAATCTTAGGAGTTTTATCTTTGCAATCAGTTGGTTAAACAATTCTAATATACACTTTTCTTCTATGGCATTTCCTTCGCAAATTACTTATATATACCGGGGGTGCCAAAGAAGTGAGATTAAGTTAGGTTAGGTTATTTGCAAGGGTAACGTCGGTAAATTTTTATTTTAGGACACGAGTCCCTAGGAGTTGACCAATATGTTTTTTCATAGTAGGTTAATATATATGACTAACCCGCCCGGGCTGCATAGAGCCGATGCGGCCGTATCATCTCATGTCCAGAAAATGCCTCGAATTTCACCATATTATATTAATTTCTTTCTGTTTAATATACCGGGGAAGATAGGTAAGGTTAGGTAGGTTTGTTTGGTTTGGTTGGTTAGGTCTGTTCTTCATAGCCACAAATGTTAAGTAGTGTTTATTTTAAAAATATCCATTTTTTAAACATATTTCCACAAACTTCAAGTGTCCACTATAATATAACAATGAAAATCTGGCATTTTATAAATTGTTTTCAATCAATTTCGCTCGCGGGGTTAGCCCTACAGTATATAATTACCTCAGTGTATTTTGGTGTTTTAAGCGAATCTGACCTTCATTTTTGGCAGAAATTGCTCAATTTACCCCCCCACCCAAAAAAAATGGGGGAGAGCCTGAGAAATCGGGGTTTTTGGGTAGGGGAGAAAACTAAAAAGTCACCTAACCTAACCTAAATGTTTCAGTAGTTTAAAACTTTGGGGCACGCCATGTCCGAAATTACATTACCTTAGAATGATCATCTTTCTCGTAAAACTCAGCAATAAACTTAAAATAATTTTAGGAGCACGAATCACACCCAAACTTTACCACGGCCATTGTCAAACTGGTCATTGAAATTAAAATCCATACCCAGGTTGCTTCCTTTGAAAAAATCAAATGCGATTGGTCGAAAAATTATTCACGTGATGATATTACTATACATCATTGGTCACGACTGGATGCCGTCGGTCAATATTACACATGCATGATGCATAATTAACTCTGTTTCTATGTTTCTCGCAGATAACATATCTTCACAGACGAAGACTCAAAAGTACTTAAAATCTATTATCTGTAATTCAATTGTGTCGCTTATTTCCATTCCGACTAGTATAAATGGGGTTCAAAATGCTCAGAATAGGGAGATCTAAATGTTTCAGTAGTTTATAACTTTGAGGCTCGCTATGTCCTAAAGTAAAATAACACCGAAACGTCATATATGAAGTGTCTTAGAATTGTTTAAACTATTGATTGCAAAGATAAAACTCCAAAGATTCCATGGTTGTGTGAAATTAAAATTCTATCAAAGGATATTCATGGGGTAAGAAACATATTTAATTCTATAGATTTTTTCCTTAAAGTGGCTCCTTGTTGGAAACTATTAAGGGGACGAATACTGGCCCTCCCTAGTCCAGGCAAAGAATATCTAATAACATTATTAATTGTATTCTGCACTAATTGTTTCGAAAATAATATTCAATGGCATGTTAGTTCTGTAGCCATCATGATAGTTCTGTAGACAATTTTAGAAATTAACGAAATGTTAAGCAAATTTGGACACGCCTCTGCACGTGCCTTTGTTATAGATAATGCACCCCCAACACCATCCCTTACTTTAACCTACCTGTAATTCACCTGTACATTAGTCAGGTATTGTTCATGTGTCTAAGGAAGTGAGGAGTGTTAGCAGGTGTTTACATGAGTGTCTTGGAGGTAGAGGTAGGTGTTATGTCTCCTGAGTTGGTTGTCCTCTCCCACAGCCTAGCCCAGCGCTGCCAACCTCAACATATCTCTCTCATATTTATTCCGTAAATACATGTCATCGTTTTAGAATTGCATTTATTCATTAAAGGGTGTATAGAGAGAGGAAGGTATGCTCCGTGTAAGGTGTCGGGTGAGAGTGGAGAGGCAGGGTAGACATTTGACAAGGTTGGCATCACATCACTACGCCGCCGCCATTGGTCCTCCCTCACAGTGTAACCAACGCCCGCTTATCTTACACACACGATAATATTTTTGAAATTGTAATATTGTTTTCCCCCTTATGTTGGAGAATAAAGTTTAAAATTATATAGTAATGCATGAAAACGGTAATATATCCAAAAATTAAGTTCAGATAATTAGTTTTTATTAATTTTTATGGAGAAGGAGACTTTGGTAGTGGTGTTCATCTTAGAACTATTTTCGTGTGAAGATAAGTTCGCGATAATTCATTTATCTTATTAAAAGAAATTTTTACCCAAGTTGAGTTGAAAATGTTTGTGATTTATATTGTATACGGCTGTACACTATGTATGTATAATAAACAACAATTGTATATATCAATATCATAGGTTTATTGTGTATATTGACAATGCATTCTTCTGTTGCCTGTGTTAAGTTCACCCCCACCTCAAGACGTCTGTGACTCATTCAAGAGGTGAAGACCGAAGAGAGGAATGTTCATATCCAATTGGCTATAATAATAATACGCAGCATAGTTAATTCAACGAAATCAGGGAGTTTCAACGCTGTAATATAGGGTACAGACAATAAGGTTGCTGAGAAACAGGGAACGCGCGATGGGGCGCACCAGTGAGAACATGTCACGGAGGTTCAACCTGACCGCCCACAACCTCCCGCCACTCGTATCAGGTCAGCGGGTATGAGTCCAGAACCAGGTGTCGGGGCAGTGGGACCGGTCGGGGGTGGTGGTGGAGTCACCGGCCCCCAGGGTAACAGGTACTGGGTGAGCGCGAACAGAGGGAGATGAGACACCACGGGTGCATAAGGTGTACTCCTCAGCCACTGAGGCTAGACTCGATACACTGAGCTCTATTCATCATGCTGGGGTGGGTCTGGCAGCCGGTACCTTCAGGTCTTCACCAATCCCAAGTCTACTATTCGATGCTGATGAGCCACCCCTTGATGTTCGACATCAGCATCTCCAGGTCCAGTGTTGGTTTCACTTCCACCATCTTCCACAGTCTGTAACCAACACTCGTGTAGTTGATGAGACTGTCCCCACATAACACTCAGCATCCAGGCCTCCCATGACCTTTTGGCTTCAGGGTAAGGGAGGTTGCGAGTATTATTTGTCTTCCTCCTGTTCAGGTATGCCCCATGCAGTTCCCTTGTGCTGCTCTCTGGATTCTTCCTGAAGTTCAAGTTTGTCAGTAGTATTTTAATGAAAGGAAGGATTTACTCCCTCCCTGTGTGGTTCATTCTCTTTTATTAGAGCATGCCTCCTCTCACAGAGGAACCATCCCTGTTTACACTGACGGCTCTAAGTCGGATGTAGCGCTGGGTTTTGGGGAGGTCTTTCCTGAATTCTGTCAGGACCGTAGTCTCCCAGTATAGCATCTATTTTTACGGCAGAGCTGTCAGGTATTTATTTGTACTCAAGATTATTATTATCTGTGGCACATCATTCCCCTCTACCTGCTAGTAATAAGAACTGCCATCCACTTGAATTGACAACACAGGTGGGATGCTGTCAAAGCAAACAAAATCCGCGACATCCATCCTGCATTGGGTGCCTGGAGATATCAGGGACTGTCATGCCGCTGAGAGACTGCTTTGGCCTGTCTTCGCATTGGCCACACATGACAAACTAATGGATTTATAATGGAGAGGGCGCCCCCTTCCCCAACATGATGCCTGCTTGGTCTCATTGACTGTTTAATACCTCCTGGTAGAGTGCCCCAGTCTCAGAGATCTTCATAGTATGCACCTCTCCCAGTGCTGGGGGGAGACGGGTCTTATCGTCTCTCTTTGGTGTTATATTTGTAGACTTAGCGCCAACAATTTTTATGCCCGGCCCACCCTCCCCTATCCGACTTTATTCGGTAGTCTGGTAACATTTCACGAGGAGGTGTCCTTGTGCGTTAATGGACAAGAAACATGCATTCACGTATTATTATACAAGAGTAATATTTTCATGCTAATGTTCAGTATAATTAAATGCATCCGTTATTTATTGGATCACGAAAGTCGTAAAAACACTATATTTAAAGACTCCAGGTCATCCCCTATCAACCCTAGGTTAAGTGAATGCTTCGGATTCACTAGTCAATACTCACAGGGTTCACTCCTCACAAGAGTGTGGATTGACAACGCTGACTGTAACAGCTGGAAAAGTCCCCAACTGTACATGTAACAATAACAAAAATATAATTCAATAGGGTTTGGGAACATTTTTCCATAACCTTTCATCAAGCAGCACTTATTAAAATAATTAACACTCCCTCCCCAGCCACACTCAATGATATTAGCCTTCTCTGGCCACAAGTAACTGTTTCCTAGATATTTGTATACTTAATAATGCTGAGGTACACAGATATAGTCCTTCCCATCTCTCAACAAAAGGAAAATATGCAAGATGTATGATACCACTGAGACACTCCTTGATAGGAACAGCACACACTGATCCAGGACCAGCACACGTACCATTCTCTACATTGCCATCTGCAGATCTGGTGAGGGGAAGCTCAAGTATAATTTACCTCGAGCTATACTGTACTGAGTTTTGTATGTGAAGAAATAAATAATATTGTAGAATCTACACAGTGCAAAAATAGTACTCTGGCAGAAATCTCTTATTTGTTGGAGGCTTTTCCCCCTGACTATGGGCCTGAATTAATTTCTAAGTAGGGGTCCCCGACTTACAAACATCTAACTTGCGAACGCCCGATGATATGAACAGGGTTAAACTTGAAATTTACAGTACTGTATTTTATTTGCCTGATGACTTATTTTTTCTTTCATTTACTGTATTTTGTCATCCTATAATTTCAGATGCATATAAGGTCTTAGCTATGATATACAGTAGTGGGATTTTAAATATTGTTCTGTAAGTGCAGTATGCACAAAGCATGTTTTCTGACTTACGTACAAATCCGATTTAGTCCTCAGGAACAGAACCCATTCATAACCCGGGGACCCCCTGTACTGTACTTATGTCCTCATGAATTGGTTGCAGTGCTTTGAATGAGTTGAGGGCAGTATCAAAGGGGGTGGGGGAGGGGGGGATGACCTCATGGACCTCCCTGTATATGCCACTGACCCATCCACTGACCTTTAGTTGTGCTGCAGTTGATTGCTGCTTTATTAGACGAGAGAATTATGAATACAAAATGTATTTGTTCTCCATTTTACATGATATAGTACACTACTGATGTTGACCTTTTATTCAGACTGCAGTTGAGGTGGCTCAGCAGGCAGTAGATGCAGATGTTCATGTGGTGGGAGCATCATCTCTAGCAGCAGGTGAGTGTAACAATCTGTTACTGTACAGTACTTGCTCATCATTAGTAGTTTATTGATAAAACTTATTCTTAGTGAATAGTAAATGGCCTTTGGACAGTACAGTATTTTATTTGCTAGTGAATAATTGCCTCCGGAGTAATTTCATCAGTAACTCATTGTTTCTTTGGGTTAATAATGTAATTAAACTAAACCTCATGATAAACATAGTTTTTTACCCAGTAAGTGCATACTACTGTATGTGTGCATAACACATCGTGTCAGCCCATCCATTCCCAGTCATACCCTCCCCTCACATTAACTGCTCTGCATTTCTCTAGATAAATAGTTCATCTCATTATTTAAGTACAATAAAGCCCCGAATAACGACGATAATGTGTCCTCCAATATTACAGTGTAAGGTGAATCATCGTACTGTATCATGAATCATTAATTACCATTAAAATAAATCAATAGTAATGAGATGCGTTCCCTAGTCTGACCATTTCATCTTCTGTGTGGCTTTTTACCTTCTTTTCTCAAAAAACAATATAATTAATGGAAAATGCAAACTATATTCTTCAAATGATGTTTATGAATGCACCTTATATAATATAAATCAATAATAATATCACATAAGAGGAGATGGGACGCTATTGTTGTTGTTGTGTTTACACCAATGATGTCGGTTATCCATCTGAAACAAGAAAATAAAACCCTGGTTGTTGCTATAGTAAAATTAATGTAAAAAAAAATATGTATGATTTAATTAATGTTATTTAATGTACAGTAAAAGTAACCACTGATGTTAAATAAAAAAAGAGAGTGATACAAAAGATTCATTATTGTTTATTACTGAATATGTATTTGATTGAATAATGTTTATACAGTGGTCCCTCGGTTAACGAGCACAATTCGTTCTAGAAGGTTGCTCGTTAACCGAAACCATTGTTTCACTGGGTTTTTGGGTAATTGGTTCCAGCTCACCGAAAATTGCCTAAAGTCAACAAAAAAGGTAGTAAAGTACACTTACTTTGAGGTGTGTATGTAGAAGGCTCCTGGATGATGATGATGGGAATTAGAATGGGGGTGGAGGAGAAGGGAGAAGAGAAGGCATTGGGGTGGAAGAGAAGTCACCCCATGGTGCCATTTCACCCATAAAAATTTAGTTCACTTGGTGTAATTCAAAATTATTTTCTTTAAATCAACACTGCACTGCATTATATATTGTCAATATGTAAAATAAATTTCAAAATGACCAATAATTTGACTGGAAACAGAAAAAAAGCATTTATGTTGAAGAGAGTCTGAAGCAAGATGTTACCTCCACTGAAAAGACACAGAGACTGATGCCTGTATGGTGTGTTGACAGGCTGTTTGGCACGCTAAAAACTAGTTTCCCTGTACTTAAATTAAGTTAAATAATTGTTAAAATTACTAAATTTTTAATAGAAGACTTTTAAAATTATTGAATAGTACAAACTTCTTGATATTTACTAAAATAGTAAGGAATTTAAGCCCTAGAACTGATTACTGTGTTGGCAGACTAATATGACAGCTAGTGTGCAAGCGAAAACATGTTGAGGGGCGCTCGTAAGGAATTCGTTAATCGAGGGTATGCTCGTTAACCGAGGGATCACTATAGCAAACATCGTTGGACCCTATCTCGCCATATATCCCGACCCTACTGTAACTGTAATCTATTTTTTTTTTTAAATTATGTTGGTTATTGTTACTGTATGTTTAGGAAATGCACAAAATATATCATCCATGTACTTGTAATTTTGTTATGACACCTCACAAGTGGAAAATTTATCAGTGAAATTGTTCTCTGTACAGGCCATCGCACCTTGGTACCAGAGCTGTTACAGGCCCTGGCCGATTTGGGTCGATCAGACATTCTGGTCATCGCTGGGGGGGTCATTCCACCTCAGGATTATGAGTTCCTCAAGGCGCATGGAGTAGCTGCTATATTTGGGCCAGGTAAGAAATCATTCATTTTGTGAGTGGCCTGTTTGTGTGTATAAGCATTTGTCATGAGTTATGTGTGACTGACAGGTTTTGAACAGCGATGTAGCAAGTTCCAAAATTGTATTGTGTGGTGCCTCTAGGGTTGGTGTCAAACATGGACATCTGCAATACTCTGTTGTTGCTGTTGTTTTTTATTTTGTTTTTTGTTTGTTTTATTTTAGGGGGTGATTTACAAATCAACAAAAGTATGCCATTACAGACAAGAGGATAGGTATAGGGTAATATGCTACTATGAGACAAGAGGATAGGTGTAGGGTACATATGCCACTATGAGACAAGAGGATAGGTGTAGGGTACATATGCCACTATGAGACAAGAGGATAGGTGTAGGGTAATATGCCACTATGAGACAAGATAGAAATTTAATTTATTCTCAACCTTTTTACAGAAAAAAAATTATTAGACATATTGGAAAGTTACTTACAGTAGTGTGCTGTACATATTTATTGTAGAGATATGAGTGTTTTTCTCTTTCATTCTTTCTTTTAATACAATATGTGTGACCAGTCTTCAGACACCTTTGTGTATATTACCATGACCAACCTTCAGACTTCCTTGTGTATATGACCAACCTTCAGACTTCCTTGTGTATATGACCATGACCAACCTTCAGACTTCCTTGTGTATATGACCATGACCAACCTTCAGACTTCCTTGTGTATATGACCATGACCAACCTTCAGACTTCCTTGTGTATATGACCATGACCAACCTTCAGACTTCCTTGTGTATATGACCATGACCAACCTTCAGACTTCCTTGTGTATTCAAGAGCTTCCTTGTGTATATGACCAATAAGACTTCCTTGTGTATGACCATGACCAACCTTCAGACTTCCTTGTGTATATTACCATGACCAATCTTCAGACTTCCTTGTGTATATGACCAACCGACTTCCTTGTGTATGATGACCAACCTTCAGACTTCCTTGTGTATATGACCAACCTTCAGACTTCCTTGTGTATATGACCAACCTTCAGACTTCCTTGTGTATATGACCAACCTTCAGACTTCCTTGTGTATATGACCATGACCAACCTTCAGACTTCCTTGTGTATATTACCATGACCAACCTTCAGACTTCCTTGTGTATATGACCAACCTTCAGACTTCCTTGTGTATATGACCAACCTTCAGACTTCCTTGTGTATATGACCAACCTTCAGACTTCCTTGAGTATATGACCAACCTTCAGACTTCCTTGTGTATATGACCAACCTTCAGACTTCCTTGTGTATATGACCAACCTTCAGACTTCCTTGTGTATATGACCAACCTTCAGACTTCCTTGTGTATATGACCAACCTTCAGACTTCCTTGTGTATATGACCAACCTTCAGACTTCCTTGTGTATATTCCTGTGCTGAGCCATAACAATCGTTGATGGTGTCCAGGACCAAACCTAAATTTTGCACCCAACCCCCTCCCTCCACTCATTAATAATCATTGATGGATTGAAGTTATTATAGTGCATTTTGTCTCAGCTGAGAAAAGATGCCCCACCCCCTCCTCAAGAGTTACAGCTGATTGACTGTTGCAAATCTGTCCGATTTCATCCTGAAGTAATGATGTATTTCTAAATGAGTATTCATGATCGTTGGGATGAGCTTTTCTGACGAGAAAGATATTTAGCTAAATTATATAAAGATACATACATTCATTATTTGAAACAGGAGCACATAGGAAGTTATCAGAAGTCTTATACTGTACATGAATTAACTGTTAAACTCTGGTAACAAATTCATGCTTTTGGAGGACACATTTAATATATATTCATTTTTACCCACAATAAGGCATACTAAGACAAATTATGTATCAGTAAAACTACAGTATGCAAAAACTAACATAAGCTTACTTGAGATACACTTTACTCCCACCAAACATAAGCTTATTTGAGACCCACTTTTTTCCCAACAAATATAAGCTTACTTGAGACCCACTTTATTCCCAACAAACATAAGCTTACTTGAGACCCACTTTATTCCCAACAAACATAAGCTCGGTAGCTGCTTGGGTGGTTGGTCACTGGCTTCTGAATTTACCTAAACCTTTGGTATAATAAGCTACAGTTTGGTGATCTGTAGATACACCTGACAATAAGCAAGTCTCTTCCACTTTAATTTAATTTGGCACCACTTGGTTTCTTTAAAATCATCCTCCCCCTGTACCCTCACCTGGCTAGCTAGTAATGCTCATAATTTTTTAGAAAAATATAAGATCCCAGTACAATACTGTAGTTATGTATTATTGCTTAAGAACTTTTTATTTTACTTCTCATTAATGTTATTTTTTCTCTACTTCCTCAGGAACTCGCATCCCTGCTGCAGCAATGGACGTGTTGGATCTTATCACTGTTTCCCTCCAGAAGCGGTCAGCAGCAAACTAAGACGTGTGATGACATAAAATTTGGTATTTATAGTGTTGATATGTAGACTTTAGATCTTCTATCACTTTCTTTCTGATGTCACATAATATGAGTTTCTCCTTTTTTGTGTTTAGCCAAACGTCACCTTCAGTAACAAAGGATTTTGATTTGCAGGATCCACAGTACATTATGTGTAGTAGACAATATGAAGCACCTTTGGCTTTGTTTTACAAGAAACTGTGGCCATAATTAATTTTTTATATCATCTGGTTTGTGATAGGGCTAGATGGAGTGGGAACCTGTTTCCACAAAACAATCTCTCTTGAAGATTTGAAAGCTTCACCATGAAAGCTTCTGCTCCAAGTGGGTTGGAAATAGTGATAGGTTAATACTGTATATAGATAGACAAAACCTGATTGAAGACTGTTGGGATTGTAGGTTTACAACTTTTAGAGGTTGCTTTCATGTGTTATTTATGCAGGAGTTTAGAAGAGCTATTTGACTATTTCAGTGTTAATTAGAAAGTAAACTAAAGTATTGAACAGTATTTTAATTATGTGGTTTTATACAGTACTCATTATTGTGAGTTGAAGCAATGGTAAGTTCTAGTCCATATACATCTGCAGACAAGCTTTGTCTCAGGATAACACGTTAACAACAGTAAATAGCAGATAGTGATAAGAAAGAAATATAAAGGTTTAAGTTGGAATGAAGCTCAATTCTTTTGAACTATTTCAGGTTTGGATGTATAATACAATATACATAAGTACTGTACATATATATTATTAGTATTTTTAGTTATCCCCTGCTCCCTGTATACATATGGTATGAGTGAATGTATTTCATGAATGTACTTTATGTAACATTAATAATAGATATTTTGGGCAAACGCTTTTCATTAAAAATCACCATTTTTCACTTTCTTGCCATTAATAAAAAAATCTGTTGTTTTACTTTTCTTCCACCACTAACTTATGAGCAACAAAATAAGTCTGCTCATTACCGTAATGGAAAACACTTGGGATTAAATAAGAATACAAATAGTAACCCAGGTTTATTTAAGCAATGAACTCATATGGCAGAGGTGTGAGGAATTCTGGGGTGTTCTCGGATATGTTCACCTTGTGTGCTGGGCGGGGCTGGGCAGGTTGTCTCTTACACACAGCCTTGATGCCCTTGGATTTAGCTTCATGCTTAATGCGGTCATTCTCCTTTACACGCTTCTTGAAGTCCTCACGGCACCTAGAGTGACTCAAATGTTCAACACGGACGTTCAACCTGTAAAGAAACATTGCTAATCAGGACAAGATATCACAAAATTAATAAGTAAATTCAAGGACTTAATACTATATTGCTAACCAAGCTAATTTGGGAAATCTTAGCTTACATCAGTGTAAAAGAAAATTTCAATCAAATTTACGGTCACACAAAATTATACAGCAAGTCCCCACTAAACGAAAGGGTTAGGTTCTACTCAAATGCTTCGTTAGGTGGATTATGTTCATCGAAACCAATTTTCCATATAAATTAATGTAATAAGTGGGGATGTGTTCCTGTACTAGGTTTTGTGATAGAATATACTGTACTGTACCAAGCTCTGTGACAAAATAATTTAAACAAATACTGCAGATAAAAACAATTAAACATGCAAAAAATAAAGGTACAAAGTGTTAGGGAGGGGAGTAGGGTTCAGAATAAGGGGGGGGATTTGCTAGGAACAGTGCATGAAAATGGCAACTGTTAAAACTTTCATTTGGCATTTATTTACTGGTTTACCAATACCTGTACAGTATTTTTGGTTGTACAATATTGTATCATGAATGACAGTCATAGTAGAATGAGAGATGGGCAGAATGTCGGTGAGATGCAGTGAGTGGGTGAGAGGGAGGAGGTGATGGGAAGTAGATGATGCGTCAGTCAGTCTGTTTGGCAACATTGGCTGCAGCACTGCCAGACACAATTGAACAGCAGATATCTACCGACAAAATTGAGTGGAAGTATAAATGAACAATGTAATGTTCCTTCTACATAATGTTGCCAAGGATTGCCAACACGGTTTTATGCCGGGGCGCTCCTGCTCAACACAATTACTCAAGGTACTGAATGTATGGACACAAATTCTGGAACACGGTGTTAATATTGACAATATATACCTAGATTTTGCAAAAGCTTTCGACAGCATACCCCACGAAAGGCTGAAAATTAAACTGGAAGGGTACGGGATTTGGGAAAGTGTCCTAGAGTGGATCGGAGACTTTCTCAAGGATCGCAAGCAGCGTGTGGTGATTAATGGCACAAAATTGTCATGTGTACCCGTTACAAGCAGGGTACCACATGGTAGTGTATTGGACCCGCTGTTGTTTGTTTGCTTCATAGATGACATGCCAAAAGCTATACATTCCTCCATACAAATGTTTGCGAACGATGCCAAGTTATTTAGGGAAATTAAGAACTAAACAGACTGTGAAGGGCTGCAAAAGGATCTCTCTGAGTTTCAAGATTGTTCAAAGAAATGGCTGCTGAGATTCAATGTCACAAAGTGTAAGAGGATGTACCAACGGTAAGGAGGTGAATCATGTCCTAACGGGACGAAGAAACTGCAGTAATAGAGATTGATTGTGAAAAGGACCTGGGTGAGTATGTTGACAATGAACCAAAGTTCTCAGGCCATTGTGAGAAGGTGAACCAAACAACTAAATTATTAGGTCTTAAAAGGTCATTCAGATATCTAGACGGTCCGTCCCTCATAACAGTCCAAGAGTGAGGTGGTTTCCCACCTGGAGTACTGGTCCCTGAGATATGCTAGGGACTGTCAGTTGATTGAAATTGTCAGGAGGGCCACCAGATTGGTGACTGCACTTCGGTACCTTAGCTACCCTGAGAGATTAGAGCACCTGCAATTTGCTTGATTATACTACAGACAGGCAAGCTGATCAGTGGTGGTGTAGAGGATTTAAGTAATTTAAGTAAATCTCTCTTCAGCCTGGGAAACTGGAACACAACACAGGACACAAGGCTGCAGAGTAACTATTTTCATCCAGTTTTTCAGTATGATTAAGAATATTTATATTTGTAATAAATCTGTATTTTACTGTTTAGTTGTGGGAAACACATTTACACTGTCTTGATATTAATGGACATTATGAAATTCATTTCACTCTGAAAAGTAAAAAAATAGTGGAAACTTTGCTTAAGACCCACCTCTTGGCAAGGATCTTGCCCTTGACTCTCTTGTTGACAATAACACCAACAGCATGTTGAGTAACGTTAAACACACGACCTGTTTTGCCATGGTAACACTTGTGAATGAGACCCTTTTGGAATGCACCATTTCCCTGAAATGATAATAAAGGGTAAATAATACCATATTTAACAGCATATCAGACAAAGTTTTTTCTTTCTGAGAACAAAAAAATATGAAAAAAAGAAAAAGAAAACTGATCACCCATAAGCTGTCTCCTGTCGACTAAATTATACCTAACCCAACTCCAGAATTAAAAATATGTCATCTATCAGCATATGAGACTTGAATTTAGTTGTATTTTAGAGAGTCCATTATTTGAATGGACATTAACCGGGCGACTGTATTTCTCTAAATATTAATTGTGTGTGCATACCATCATAAAATTAAGATGTAATTGTGTCAGAAAAAGTGGAGTTTGGGGGTCGGCCCAGTCTCTATTTCAATTAATCCCATATGTTCTGTCATTTCATTTACGCGGGCCTCCACGGGTTCAATTGACCGCGTAAATGCAGACTCGACTGTACTTATATAATCTATACCACTCGTATACACTCTCGTTAGAAAGCTCCAACTTTCCCTAACAGAATGACCACCAGACTAACAATCAGAGTTCTCAACACAAACTACTCAATCTTTTTTTTTTACATACCTTCAAGTCAACAATGTCGCCAACCTTATACACTCTCAAGAAGGTAGACAAATGTTCAACACCATTCTTCTTGAATGGACGCGCAAACATGTTGCGCGTTCCACGCCGTAAACCCTTGGGATTCGTCATTTTGGTTTATCTGGAGAAAAATTATAAGAGTTATTTAAAGAAAAGGATCGATGAACAGTTAACACATTAAATACCGAAGCATGTTTTGGAGCTCTCTTAACTGAACTGCCAATTAAGCTCCACCCACAATAACCTTAGATGATGATGGGTGATCGAGAGACGTCTAAATAAAATAATTGTCTTTATATAGATGCTGTTGACCAATGAAGTCCAACATACAGAAAGATCCAGTGCAATAAGAGACCTCTAAACACCATGTACAGTATACTGTATATAGAACACACAATATTGACTCTCAGTAAGATAACATTAGTAGGAACTTAACTGGTCACGGCAAAATATCCTCTGCCTTTTACCATTTGTTATATTTTGTCAATAGGAACAGCTTTTTTAAAACCACTACCGTCACAAATGGACATTAACTGCAAAGTAAATTTACGCAATTAACGTAAATCTGAAAACATTGCATGTCATCTGTTTGTTTACCGTCAACCCGTTCAGTCCGAGCTCACTCTCACACCCACAAAAATGTAAAATTACAACATGATGATTCAACAAAGTTGCTTTCATTGGTACCAGATATCAAAATAAGTACTTTCAGTTTAACATAGCGAGGATGGCTAGGAAGTTAAGTAGGTTTCTTTGGTTGGTTAGGTCAGGTTGTAATATGTCATAATAATAATTAACGGTTTATAGAAAAACTTCAGCAGCTCGAAGGCTGAAAATATACATTGGAGAGAAATGACATTACATAGGCAGTGGATATTTTGCCGTGACTGGCTAAGCTCCTATTAACGCTATTTTACCGTGAGTAAATATAAATTGGATAGATATACAAGTTAAGAGTTGGGTACAATCAGGGCCAAAAGCTACAATGCTATTTCCTTCATTCTTTAACGGGTAGTTCCCGAGAGGAGCTATATGAACCCACATCTACGGGAGTTCTAGCTTTATTAGTTTTATTAAATCGCTTTTTATGGCAACAAAAGACCATGATAACGCCAGTACCACCAGAGGTTGTTCCACGTCGTCCACATTTCCCTTTGACCCAAACATATTTCTCATTTTCTACACACTTTACAACAACTATAATAAAAGTTTAACTGTAAAAGGATAGCATAATGCATCACGATAATTCTAGCACTCATCTAATAGGAATTTAAGTTACAATAGGATTATAAAAAAGGAAATAATGGATAACAACCGAAGTCCAAGAGCCACTCACATGTGCCAGGTAGTAAAGAGCGACACTATGGCGCTGCGGCAGACACCTCAACTAACATGTACTATATAAATAAAGATATATTTTTTTTAATATTTCAAAAGATATTAGTATTAAAAAACATATAAATTAATACTTTATAATATTATTTAAGTTTTATTAGTATTTAAGTAATTTATTTTTGTTTATTTTTCTAGAGAGGATTGTGGACCTGGCAGACGTTGACTGTGTGGTAAACCATCCAGCTGATCCTCGGCCCAAGTCATCCTCTAGTTAACTATTTCCTTCACCTATAAACCTCATCACCAACAAACGTACAATCTGGATCTCTTGGGATATTGTAAAATGGTAAGTGTGAGTAATGTTTTATGGCGAAATATATATTCCATTATAGTGAATATACCGAGAGGTGAGGCAGGACCCATCCCCCGTGTATAGTGTATTACCCACCATTTATAACTCAGCCTCTCATTACCTTAGTGTTTTGTTACGTAATTACTAATGATTGTGAATTGAAAATGTTTGGGAGAGGCATAGTTAGAGAGACCACCCCAATCTTTGTGTAGTTTTATAATAGAACGGTAATACTCGGTAACATCAACTCCTGACAACCAATAACTTTAGGAAAATTTACTTGAAGAGAACACATCTTACCTCTAGCATATAACAAACAATGGGGGAACTGTGGTAATCTTGTACTTCACAAGTGTAAAACCTCGAACTAACCTAACCTAGTGTGTACAGCTGCCTCTCCATTTATGTGATAATTACAGTATTGAAAATAGTTGTGTAAATTGTTAAGGGTCAATTTTTATTCATGCACTGGTGTTTGGATATTAAGAATATGTTTTTCTGATGTTATTTGATGAGTTTACAACGAATTTGGTATTCACATCAGCCGGAAATTAATAGTTTTTTAAATCCTCCCCCACCCTAAACCATCAATCTTAACAATTTTTTTTCTCGAGTAAATCACAAATATAAAACCAGCAAAACCAAACCTAACCTGACCTACCCTAACACTATTTTTCTGATGAAATATTGCAATTGACGAAAAATAATCTCTATCACAATGTTGGCACAGCTCTTTCCACCTGTTCAACCATATCTGGTTATTCTGGGACTGAAAAATCAAATCTCCGCTCCCGACGCACCCATGCATTGTTTATTGGCTAAGACAAAAAATTCTTGCCATATTATAAGTCTCCTATCGCTATAGCCAATAGGAAACTCCCACACCACCCTCTGCACATGTGCTGTAGAGGCTCAAGAAGCCAACACTGGGTGATGGGTGGTCATACCTTCTCTGTGAAACGTAAACAACAAATTAATATCTCGGTTATCCTTAATTTCCGGCGGGAATATCACAGAAGAAAAGGGTCTTAGAATTGTCTAAACATAACGAAAACATATTAATAACAGCGGGAGAAATACCGGTGCAAGATCGAAAATTCACCTTGTTAAGAGTAGGGATTTTTGTTGTTAATAAGTCAGTACCCAATATTATACCAGTCCATGTAAGATCGGCGACTACTTTCACACAACATGCTGAAAAACAATCTGCCTCGGGCACAGGAAAGCCCCTCAGCAGATCACGGCCTCATTACCACCCCAAGATAAATTAGTGAGCTCCTAGGCTCCTAATTATCTATGAAACGAACAATTTCCACAATAAATGATTATCATATCAGAACTCACTGATGAAAATATTGTAAGAAAATAAACAGTAACAAAAATAACTCGCTCATTGGCAGGGCTGTGGAGTCGAAGACAAAACCTTCGACTCCGACTCCTCAAATTTTTATGCTTCCGACTCCGACTCCTTGGCCTATTTGTAACAACTATTTCTACCATCCTAATTGTAATTTGTATGTTGTAACCTGCATAGGTAAAAAGTAAAACACCGTGGCTATACTGCTACAGCTTTATTAATGATCTGGACGATATTTAAGAACTACAAAAAGATGATAGGCTTGACTTTCAAAGTTTCAATCAAAAGAAAAATAAATTTATTAAGAATTCAAGATATTAACTAGAAAACACCATTTACATGTATATCTAAAAGTTCGATCTCAGCATATGAATTTTGTTTAAGCTCATAATCTGATGTGGATCTAAATGATGATCTTACAATTCCTTTTAAAGTAAAGTTATATATTTATGTACATTAAAGAAATGAATACCTTATTAAGGAAAATGGATAAACCTTACAGTACATGATTAAGTTATTAAATTAAATTTGCCTTAATCTCACCAAAAACAGGTTGTAGCTAATTGTTTTGTAGCTGAGAGCCTCTGTGCAGTTTTCAACGAAACAAAATTTGATATAATTCAAAATTTCAAATGGTAAAGAAGAGACTATCGTCCAAAATTATAGTGCTATACTGTGCCTGCTACAATAAATTCATAATAATGCTTATAAAATGGAAATAAATTCTTTTAATAATTTAAGAAAATTAGTGGGATCAGTGGAATCACTGCAATGAATATGCCTGAGTTCATATATTTGTTCTTAGGAACAGAATAGCTTCAGTCGGAGTCGGAGTCTGGACAATTTTACCGACTCCGACTCCACAAGCCGAAATTTCCTCCGACTCCTCGACTCCGACTCCGACTCCACAGCCCTGATAGGTACTCCTGAATGTGCTGCTTAAGGATCTGTTAACCAAAATTTGATATCTTGATTATAACTTGTTCAAATGGCTTTTAGAAAATGTTCAAATGATTTTTAGAATATTTTAATTACTTTTGCAATGCTAATTACTCGCCACTTATGGGTTTTCGAGGTCATTTCTTGGTGCTTGTGTATTATTCTGGATGTACTTAAATAGTTAGGCACATTAAATTTTAGTTCAGAGAGAAAACGTATTTTTGGCCAAAAATCCTTTAAGGCTTTAGACTTACAATTTTTGTCATTTCGGCCAAAAAATGGATTTTGTTCAAAATTTCAGTATAGGTACTCCTGAATGTGCTGCTTAAGGATCTGTTAACCAAAATTTGATATCTTGATTATAACTTGTTCAAATGGCTTTTAGAAAATGTTCAAATGATTTTTAGAATATTTTAATTACTTTTGCAATGCTAATTACTCACCACTTATGGGTTTTCGAGGTCATTTCTTGGTGCTTGTGTATTATTCTGGATGTACTTAAATAGTTAGGCACATTAAATTTTAGTTCAGAGAGAAAACGTATTTTTGGCCAAAAATCCTTTAAGGCTTTAGACTTACAATTTTTGTCATTTCGGCCAAAAAATGGATTTTGTTCAAAATTTCAGTATAGGTACTCCTGAATGTGCTGCTTAAGGATCTGTTAACCAAAATTTGATATCTTGATTATAACTTGTTCAAATGGCTTTTAGAAAATGTTCAAATGATTTTTAGAATATTTTAATTACTTTTGCAATGCTAATTACTCGCCACTTATGGGTTTTCGAGGTCATTTCTTGGTGCTTGTGTATTATTCTGGATGTACTTAAATAGTTAGGCACATTAAATTTTAGTTCAGAGAGAAAAAGTATTTTTGGCCAAAAATCCTTTAAGGCTTTAGACTTACAATTTTGTCATTTCGGCCAAAAAATGGATTTTGTTCAAAATTTCAGTATAGGTACCAGGGCTGTGGAGTCGAAGACAAAACCTTCGACTCCGACTCCTCAAATTTTTATGCTTCCGACTCCGACTCCTTGGCCTATTTGTAACAACTATTTCTACCATCCTAATTGTAATTTGTATGTTGTAACCTGCATAGGTAAAAAGTAAAACACCGTGGCTATACTGCTACAGCTTTATTAATGATCTGGACGATTTTTAAGAACTACAAAAAGATGATAGGCTTGACTTTCAAAGTTTCAATCAAAAGAAAAATAAATTTATTAAGAATTCAAGATATTAACTAGAAAACACCATTTACATGTATATCTAAAAGTTCGATCTCAGCATATGAATTTTGTTTAAGCTCATAATCTGATGTGGATCTAAATGATGATCCTACAATTCCTTTTAAAGTAAAGTTATATATTTATGTACATTAAAGAAATGAATACCTTATTAAGGAAAATGGATAAACCTTACATGATTAAGTTATTAAATTAAATTTGCCTTAATCTCACCAAAAACAGGTTGTAGCTAATTGTTTTGTAGCTGAGAGCCTCTGTGCAGTTTTCAACGAAACAAAATTTGATATAATTCAAAATTTCAAATGGTAAAGAAGAGACTATCGTCCAAAATTATAGTGCTATACTGTGCCTGCTACAATAAATTCATAATAATGCTTATAAAATGGAAATAAATTCTTTTAATAATTTAAGAAAATTAGTGGGATCAGTGGAATCACTGCAATGAATATGCCCGAGTTCATATATTTGTTCTTAGGAACAGAATAGCTTCAGTCGGAGTCGGAGTCTGGACAATTTTACCGACTCCGACTCCACAAGCCGAAATTTCCTCCGACTCCTCGACTCCGACTCCACAGCCCTGCTCATTGGTTAGTCCTTTATATTAACCATTTTTTCATCTGAAAATGGCTAAATTAAGTACAGTACTGTACTATATTTTAATTTCGCAGGCGAAAATAAATCCCTATGTGATAATTTTGCCTCCCTCATACATCAGCTGTGAAGGTGAAAATCTTGCCGTTGGCTGCAATTCCGTTGTATTTAATGATGGAGAAAGTGCTCTGTATGTATAAATTTCACCGTGGTCTATTGTTGACATTCGATTGAAGGTCTCAAAATGTGACTACCTGAGGCTTACGCCGCACTGGCCTGATGATGCTGAAGGTTTAAGATATGATTGTAGTTTATAATATAGATCAGTGATTTTCAACCTTTTTCATCTCACGGCACAGTGAGCGGGGCACTAAAATGGTCGAGGCACACCATCAGTATTTAAGGATAGAGTTGATCATTTAAAAGAAAATGAATGATAAGAATGTGTTCATAATTTGAAAAAAAACTAATAATTTATTAATTTTATTGACAAAAGTATATTGTTGATCATGGTTTTCAAAATAATATGAAAATTTTGTGCATACAGTATTTGTTATTACTACACATTGAAACAAGATGTCATTGAAAAAGATGCCATTCGTTAAAAAATAATATAAAACTTTCAGATATGGATTGTATTCAAATACAAACATGAGTAAAAATAAAAGGCCTTTGCTTACATAAAAATATCAGTAGGAAACCTGTGCTTGGTGTTGTCGTTCCTTGTCCGAGGTCGAATGGTTGACAGGCTATTTAAACTCCCGCGGCACACCTACGGATGCTTCGCGGCACATTGGTTGAAAATCGCTGATATAGATGGTTGAAAGCAATAAACAAGTTAATTCTGAGTTCTGTATTACAAAAGTAATACACAAAATATATTCATATTTCTTGAATAGGCTTTAAAATAACTTGTACTCCTGATTGTTTTAGCCACATCGTAACACAGCCTTAAAGATGTCAGTAACAAAAATAATCTTCCGTGCCTAATTTGACATACAGTATAGTCTTCATTTACGCGGTCAATTGAACCCATGGAGGTCCGCGTAAAACGAGAAACGCGTTAATGAAATAACAGAACATATGGGATTAATTGAATTAGAGACAGGGCCGACCCCCAAACTACACTTTTTACGACACAATAGTATGTTGTAGTAAAAATAACATCTTAATTTTATGATGGTATGCACACACAATTAATATTTCGGAGAAATACAGTCGCTGGTTAATGTCCATTCAAATAATGTACTCAACTCCCCCTCCCTCACCAGCTGGTGGAATATTAGTCCGCCAATACAGTAATCGGTTCTAGGGCTTAAATTCGTTTCCATTTGAGTCAATATCAAGAAGGTTGTACTATTCAATAATTTTCCAAGTTTTATATTCAAATTTTTAGTCATTTTAACAATTATTTAACATAATTGAAGTACAGTAAACTAGTTTTTAGTGCGCCAAACAGCCACTCGTTTCACCAAACAGGCGTCAGTTTGTATCTCTGGTCAGTAGAGGTAACATCTTGCTTGAGACTGTTGAACATAAACTATTTTTATGTTTTTACAGTACAATTATTGGTCATTCTGAAATTTATTTTACATATTGTCAATATATAGTGCAGTGCAGTGTTGATTTAAAGAAAATAATCTTGAATTTCACTAGTGAACTTAAAATTTTATGGGTGAAATGACGACATGAAGCATGGGGTGATTTCTCTTCCTCCCCCACTTCCTTCTCTTCTCCCTTCTCCTCCACCCCCACTTCTAATTCCCATCATCATCAACCAGGAGCCTTCTACATACACACCTCAAAGTAAGTGTACTGCATTTATTTTTAGTTTGTATGTAATTTTCGGTGAGCTGGAACCAATTACCCAAAATCCCATTGAAACAATGGTTTCGGTTAACGAACGACCTACTGGAACGAATTGTGTTCATTAACCGAGGGACCACTGTATAAGGGATATCGTCTGTAAAGGCCACACCTAAGAAATGAACTCATACTATGATCATATTGTGTGTGTGTTAAAATTAATACACTGGTAAAAGTTGAGTCATTTCGTGCGTGGTCATAAACACTTTTCATTAAGAACTTCATTCATTATCCTTATTGTTGTAAAGTATACCCAGGTAGTACTGTATTGAATATTCTTTTCTGTAGAGTGCAGTGCATCCTTACTGCTGCCAGTTACTCATTTTACCTAATGGGAATATGTCTCTTCCATAGGGCGCTAATGCCTCTCAGCTGGAGAAGGAGATAGGGGCTGATCAGTTTCCTCCAAATGAACACTACATTGGCCTCGTAAACGTAAGTACTGTACTGGATTATCTTTTAAGAGATTAATGCGGAGCTCAAGTGACATACATACATACATACATACTTACATATACATACAGGAAAGCCTCCGATTATGACTGTTCTACTAACGATGATTCATATTTAAGACCCTAGTTAATTTAGAACTCGATTCAATTTATACCGTTATTTTCTTCGTTTTTACAATGAAAATAGAATAAAAATGAAATAAAATTGCATATAAATAATAGCTAAACCCTGATATGTATTATACAAATAAAAAACCACACCTTGCGCACCAGTCGCAGCTGGCGGGCCTTTTGTGTTCATGCATCTGAACAGGAGAAAAACTTTTTCAGGTTTCTTACAGCAATTTTTGTCCCTATTCAATATGAGCAAGTGGTGGTAGTGCTGGTTCACAAGCTACAAGAAACTGTTAAAGCTTAGCTGAGAAAGTAGGTATTCAAATGATATGAAAAAGGTGAGAGGTTTGTGGATATTATATGGAGCAAGCGATGAACATATTTTCTGAAGTGGATCCATTAACATAACAAAGCATTAAAATTAACAGGGATGTGAAAAAACACATGTAACCCCTATATAAAAGTGTGTAATGAGAAAAAGAAAGCAGCTGTGCAAGGTTCTTTTGACAGTTTTATTATTCAAAGGCCTAAACCATCAAATTCAGCCTACTACCTACAAAGTAGGTCCAGACATGGGTTATAAATGGAGAGTTGCTTCTTAAATCCGGGAGGTGTACTTTATCTGGAAGACTGTTCCAGTACTTTTCCCCATTTTTCAGGTACTGTACAGTACCTTTTTACAATCAAATTGATTCAGGATCACAATTCACACACGGCCTTGGTTGTAGGGTTTTACCCACACACTTGTTCACTACACTGAATTTTTTAATCCTGACATGGATGATAAAATGGGATTTCAGGATCAATACTCCTTATCTTTACTCTTGTCTTTATATATCTTGGATGATTTCACCAAAATTCAACCTCCACTTCACACAGTCTTGCTATATACTGTACTCTGTTTGAGACAAATGTTCATTACAGTACAGTATACAGTAAACCCTTCTAATACCCCCTGTACTGTACTAATTTTTACAAGCCCTGTCCATTAATGGGAGAGTTCTTCCTCCAAGTATACAGGAAATAATACAATACCTTACAGGTAAACCTCGATATACGATGTCTTGTTCAGCGATATTCCGCTTTAACGATGGTCATGAATTAAGACCATCTCCCTATATATGATAAAAAAGATTTGCTTTAATGATACCTATGTATAGCCACCGATATCCATTAGTTGGATTTGTTTTTTTTATCTCTAGTGCAAACTATAGAGTGTATATACATATTCAAATTAATCACTGTCTTGTAAGGATTCCAGCAATGCAAATTATATTTTCTACATCAAGTCAGTGACCTTTAATAAGGAAACAATATTTAACCCTATGCACCACCATAGGGAATGCACCTTTGGCTGCACTTGTCAGCCGTGGAAATGTCTACTCGTTGTGCTTGGTTCTTTGTTAATTGCATTTCCCCTCGATCGCGTAGCTCCACGATTATTGTTCAGCATTGTTGGCTGTATGTACACTCTCTAAAAGATTACTCTGCACCTTTATGGGGTTATACAATACAGTATGAAACGCCAAACAAAGAAATCTGATAACACTCATCACGACTTCTGTCGCAGTGATGGTTGTACTGTAGATGGTTTCAGAGCCAAGGGTGAAGAATATCTTTTTTTGTGAGTGTACATTGTACTTATCAGTGTTATTTGTTTTTTATTTTCTTATACTGTACGTAGTGAGAGAACTGCACCAACATTTAGATTGAACTGTGTTATGGTGACTGTGAAGTGATATTTTCTGTTGTGATGTGACTGTAAATTACTTTGTCTATGTTATTGTGAAAATGGTGTAAGCAGTGTCGGCTGCTGTCACTGTTTTTACATTATCATCGTTTGCTGTGTTTTTGTGACTGTGAAGTGAGCAGTGTAACTTTGGAAATGTCTGGGAAGGCCAAGGCATCCGAGACAACCATGTCTCTGAGGTGAAGCATGACATTGTGAAGTGGCATGAGACTCTCCCAGAGGCTGTGTGGGAGTCAGAGTGATGTCTCAACTTCACCTACAAGAGTCCCATTAGCCTTGAAGGGGACATGTGATGATGACCAGGCTTATTCTTCATGGTGTGGTTGTACGTGCCATTGCACACAATTGTAAGGGGGAAGAAGTTTTCAATTTTACTCATTTTATTGTGTATTTTTTCCTTCTTTCTTTAGACTTGTTCTTTCTTCTATGTTTTATTCTCTATAGTATTCCATTTTCTAATTCAACTTCTCAAAGTAATTATTTCTTTAAGTTTCTTTCTTACTTTATTTCTTCTGTTATCTATTTCTTAGTTATTTTACTTCTTATACAGAGAACATTACCTCTTAAACATGTGGTAGCATGGCAAGGTCTAAGGCACTGACCATGATATGTAAGATGGTGTGGCTCTACCTACTGTACTGTACTGTACCTCTTAAGACAAACACTGACCTGCCAACCTTATTATTGTTAATTTACAGTATCTTAACATATGGAGGGTTTATTTTAAAAATAGTTTTTATGAAATGTGTTATAGTACTGTACAGGATAATAGTTTTTTTCTTAATGAATGTATTTATAGTCAATATTATTTTGTTTAACATTTTAACAGTTAAGTTCAGTGTGTTGCTTGGCTTCATCTTGTAAATGTTAGCTGTGGTGAGTAGCACATTCCAACATGCAGCAACTGACCACATGGTTATAGCAGATGTCTGTTATTGAGAATATCCAGTATTGAGAAGTCCTTTATTTAGAGGGTTTACTACAGTAATTTGACTGACTAGAATCAATTTGAAATTCCAGCATGATTTGGTATTCACATGTTTGTTTGCATTTACTGTATCTATAACTTGTCTCTTTATCATTTCAGTTTGGTAACACATGTTACATAAACTCTGTACTTCAAGCACTATATTTTTGCAAGCCATTTCGGGAAAAGATCCTAGAATACAAAGCCAAAAATAAGCGGACAAAAGAAACACTGCTGGCGTGTCTGGCAGATCTGTTCTACAATATAGCAACACAAAAGAAGAAAGTTGGGAGTATAGCACCCAAAAAATTTATAGCCAGATTCAGAAAAGAAAATGGTAAGACTAATTGTTATCATCTTTTTAATATAAAATTTTATCTCAGATTACAGTCCCTTGACATTGTACCTGAGCAATGTGCCCAATGCTGCTGGTACAGTGATATCTCCTTTAGCCGGAACAATTGGTGCAGAGCACTTTTGGGGATGAGAGATTTCCGAGTAACGAGACGACTCTCTCAAAGCCGGAAAAAAAATCCCTCATCCCGGAATTTTACGGGTAACAGGAAAATGTTCTCGGAAGTTTCAGAAATTGCCCATTACATCATCTCTTGAACTCAGAAAATCTCCCCCATCCCCGGAATTTTCCGGGTGGGGGAAATTTTTTCCACTGATTTTCAGGAAAATGTAACTGATTTTCACCTCTCAGACCTGGATTTTCCGGATATCGGGAAAATTTTCTCTGAATTTTTCAGAAAATGAGTCCCTCGGAAAATTTAAATTCCGGCTATCGGAGAGTTCCTGATTTGAGGGATTCCGGCTATTGGAGATATTACTGTATTGATGTTCTGTACTGTTTATTTACTGTACATTACATACAGATGCATTTTCTTTTTCTATTATTTTAACATTATGTTACTTGAATATTCCTGGTGTTTATCTTAATTTAGTGCACGCATTGTTATCTTAACACCCAACCAACTTGTTGCTTATTTTATCCTGATCCTTTGTAGTACTTCTGAATATGTTATGGATAGGACTAAATACTGTACCCCAAGGACAATAAACAGTAAGGACAGACCGCTTTAACGTCATAGACTTTAGCTCCGCCCCATTCAGTGATTCACATCATCTGGTGAGTTGGGGCAGTCACAGATGGTGATGGCCTTGCCTTGGTTGACATTTGATTGTTTCATTTTATTATTTTTTTTTTTTTAGAATACTCATAAGGCTAAGGCTTTTCTGTGGCCAGGTATAACAAAATGAACCCTGTACGCTCACATAGTCCTCCAAAAACTAAGTGATATAAAAAGAAAAGAAAAAACTGGCAAATGTTACAAGGAAACACCCAGGGGAGGGAGTGCTGGACATTTTGCTGATGACATTTACCAGACATGACAAGGTGAATGTCTGAGGGTACTCTGACAACTGGATATTGTCTTATAATGTATACTTAAGAAAATAGAGCATATTTCTCTAGGCATTAAGCACTCTTCGTCTCTCAAGGGACATCACTTTGAGTATTTTAGAGTTAACCCTTGTTATTTGCTGGGGGGTTAGGTTCCACGGAACCCTGCAAATTGTCAAATTCTGCGAATAGTATTAGCAGCTATAGTATTGTATATTTGAGATGCTTGAGTCACCCATAAAACATAACTGCATATGATAAAGTATTTCAGTTTGTTTCTTTAAATACACGTACAAGGGTGAACATCAATGAAACAATGAAATTATACAATATATTAAATAGTAAGTTTGAAATAAGAAATAATGATGTGGAAAGGGAATTGTGTGTGAAGGAAGTAGGAATGATGGCTGGACTCCAACAGAAATTACCCATTTTATTATAACAGTTTACAATTTCACCATAATTCCTATATTAATTAGGTTCACTTGGTGCCAGGTTAATAAAACATTATCTTAAAATAATAAGTTTTCCTGAAAATAATCCCTCAATCAACCCCTGATGAGATCTTGAGTTTGCTTATCAAGGTGAACAACTGAGCAGCCAGCCTGCTTGCCTGTCTCCATGTTGGTGTAATGGTGTTAACCTGAAGATGATTATGAGAAGAGAAGAAGCTGCTTATGTAAGAGGGAGGGCTGCTGGGCTTTGAAAGTTTGGAGAAATTTTGCATCGGGGCAGACTGAGATGGTTTGGGCATGTGAATAGAATGGATAAGACTATTTGGGTCGTGAGATGTATGAGTCTGTGTGAAGGGGAGAAGAACTAGGAGTAGGCCAAGAATGAGATGGGGGGGGGGGAAAATTGTTAGAAATGACCTGAGTGAAACACATTATGAGAGAGGCTGCAAGAGACCACACACACATCATGGAGAGCTACCATCACGTAATCACAACTAACCCACCTAAGTATGCAAAATAGCCGCAAAACATTGATGACAACGACGACAACGTATCCAATGATCACGAGTTTTATGATGACATAATAATGAAAAAGCTCACTACTTTATAATTATGTACTATGCTTTTGACCCAAAGATCAACTTTTACCACTCCCTCCATGTGAAATGAATAATGTGTTTTGTTTGATAATTTTTACTTTCTCTAATATGTAAATTCTTTTCCAACAGTTAAGTTTGACAACTATATGCAACAAGATGCTCACGAATTCTTTGTTCAGTTAATAGACAGCATCAATGAAACTATCATAGGTAAGTCTACCAGGTTGTATGTAAATTTTGTTCATAATCTTCAGAGACAGTGTAGTTGTTACCTGTACCTACCATATAGGAGACAGTGTAGTTGAGTTAACGAATTACCATCTTTAAGAATCTTCAATTCGGTTAACGGAAAAAAACGATTAACGAAATCCTTACGAAAATCGCGTTTTGTTTTGAACATCAGCTGATAAGCTGAGGAGGTACTCGGCCAATTCAGTAATCTCTTCTATGTTTACATTCGTTTCCAATGGAGTAAATATCAAGAAAATTTTGCTCTTTAATATTTGTGCATTTTTTTTTATACAGTATTAAAATTATTGGTCATTATAAAATTTAGCCATCCAAGCTCTGTCTACATAAAGTTTTTCAACTATTATTTTTGGCTCGATATATGTAACTTTATTCATTTATTGAAACTCATTTAAATGCACACACTGTCCCAAGAGCAAAGCTGAACTGTAAATGGCAAAGAAAAAAAGAGATGGATTGGGAACGGCAGCATATACATGCGCATTTAAGGAAACCACGTCATTTATCTTTTTAAGAATATGTACAAAAGATTCATTATTGTTTATTACTGAATATGTATTTGATTGAATTAATGTTTATATATGTGAAATGAACAATGCAATTCAATAATAATACATAGAATACCTGTATTAAAACACACACGAGGAGACAAGACGGCATTGTTTTCGTGAGTGAATATGATTCTACATAAGAAACTGAAGAAAATAAGACCCTGGTTGTAGCTGTAGTGAACTTAATATAAAATAATTTAATACCTGTTTGTATGTTTTATGTAATGTTATTTAATGTTAATAAATGGAACACTAGAAGTAGCTAACCGCTAATGGTAAAGAAATAAAGCGAGACGATTGGGAACACCAACGTATGAACAGTAAGTGTGTACATGTGAAAACATATCGTCATTTGTTTACATATGAATTTGAAAGCAACACTTATTTGCTGTTCAGATGTGTTTTAAATAATATTTTATGAATGTAAAACAAAAATTATACTCACCAATGGTGGTAAAGTCTAAAACGTAAGGACAGCCAATGAATATTGTGCGAGTTTTTACTCAGATGACGAAGTCATCAGGTTTAACTCTGGCTGAAGCTGTAGCTTTCCATGAAGCTGTTCCTGAAACTGTAGCTTTCCATGAAGCTGTTGCTGAAACTGTTCCTGAAGTTGATGTTGAAGCTGCTTATGATGCTGAATTTGAAGGTGTAGCTGAAGTTGATGGTTTATGCCTTCGAATAATAAAGCTGTCGAAGGAACCTTGCACAGCTGCTTTCTTTTCTCATTATACATCTTTATGTAGAGGTCATTTGCATTTATTTAAATTTTAATGCTCTGTTCTGTTAATGGATCCACTTCAGAAAATATGTTCGTTGCTCCATATAATATCCACAGACCTCTCACCTTTTTCATATCGTTTTAACACATCTAGTTTCTCGGCTAAGCTTATACACTTTCTATTAGCTTTTGAACCAACACTACCATCACTTGCTCTTGCTCATGCTGAATAGGGATGAAAAATGCTGTAAAGAAACCTGTAAGTTTTCCCTGTTCCAGATGCATGAAAACAAAAGGCCCGCCAAGCTCCGACTGTTGTTTATCACTATTAGCCAGGCAGCTTTCATAAGGCGCTCTTAATTTTTTTACATTAATTTTTATTTTTTATATAATACATATCAGGATTTAGTTATTATTTATATGAAAATGGAATTTTATTATATTTATTACGGTATATTTTGGTCGAAATACGTAATGAAATAAGGACGAAACTGAATTGGGTCCTAAATTAACTAGGGTCTTAAATATGCTGTTGGTTGAACCATTGTTATTGGAGGCTTTACTGTATTTACATGCACAAAATCATGTTTTCCACATAAAACCACTTTAAAATCACTTTCAATAATTGTATGACAAAACATGCAAAAATCCACAAAATATCCTTGTAAAATAGTGTGTCTTATATGCCGGCAAATGATATATATATATATATATATATATATATATATATATATATATATATATATATATATATATATATATATATATATATATATATATATATATATATATATATATATATATATATATATATATATATATATCCACAGAAAATTTTTGCAGTAAAATAAAAACAAAGAGAAATGCTTTATAATTCTCCAAGTAGTACATATTAACCAATTATAAGCTACCCGGTATGTACCATATAGAGTCCCTCTCTGTCCAAGATGGTATACCATAAATAGTTGTACAGGGAGTCCACATTGAAATGAAATGACTTTGAAGCCTTATAAATTTTTATTTAATTATGCAAATGGGAATAAGCACACAGCTCATAGTCAGCATGGGTAAGTTCCATTTGGTGTATGGGTACATCAGTGTACAGTATGTTAGGGTAGACATTCAACGTGTGCACCATTCATAGCACGGTCTAAGCCACAGTGGTACTCAATTTCCCTCCACACATTTTTTTAACATCTCAGGGGTTACGGAGGCTCCTTCCTTGATGCCTGGCTGCCAGATCTCTGGCTGGGTAGAGACATGCATATTCTGTCTACCTTAACTCGCTCAATTTTTTCTTTGGGGTTATGTGAAGTCCAAAGTGCATTCCACAAAGTTGCAGGGTATTGTTCAGCTGAAAGAGCACTTCACAGGGTCGGTGGCCTCCACGACCTTCGAGATGTCTAATAAGCTAGTGTCTAATATTTAAAGTTTGCCATTAGTCTTTCTATGCATTTGAATTACCAATTACCGTTGCCTTTAGGCTGTACCCAAAAGCAGCTTGAACCAGCAAAATTGTATGCAAACATATCCATTATATTTGATTGTTCCTATTCCAGAAAAACAACTAGCCGGTCGAAGTAGACAACAGGGCGAGAGAGTGATCAGCAGGCAGGTTTAGGTGGGCAACAGGACAGTGGTGGTGGAGGGGGGAACAACCAGCAACAAGATAATACCTGGGTTCATGAGATCTTCCAGGCAGTTGTCACCAGAGAACTCAAGTGTCTTAACTGTGAAGCTGTAAGTACAGGATGGTGACTATTGTGCTCATTCAGTCCATCCATTGTAGAATCGGCTGAATCTTGAGTCATTACTTATTTTTATTTATCTTTATTTCATTACCATCCTTTCAAAGACTTTACCTAAACTTGATCAATAAACAGTTGGTGTTTTAATTCACAAAGTGCCACTTCTTCTTAAAGGGAGAAATGATGAGAAATGTACAGTATAGTAGGATTTCAAGTTTAGTGAGTTTTAGCTTCACGATTCATAAGTTTTGCGTCACTTTTAAAATTTCCAGCTTTTCAAGAATAGCTATTTTCATTACCAGTTTCATGAGTCATTGTTGAGTGGACAGCGAGCATTGTCACAGTCTTTTGTTATCCGTCGACCCGCCGAGTGTTTTTTGTTTACGGCGTAACGGTAGTTAGTTTGAATGAGCGAGCGGTGCAGTGACCTTGGATTATATAACCCATTGTAATTACGTTTTGTGAGATTCTTGTTTAATCATTAGCGATTCTTGTGTATTAATGATGAGTGAATTGAGTAATGTAAATGTCAGGAACAGTTCTGGTGGTAATGATGGCCATAGAGAAGGTCAACAAGGGAAGCCCCAAGCCAAGTTTGTGCTACGTAAGCACTGCTGGCTAGTCTAGGCTTTCCTTAGCTGATTGTCTTTTATTATTAAATATGAAAACATAATTAATGAAACAACTGTTAAATGCTTCCCTGTTAATTGAAACATTAACCCTTTAAGGAGTACTGTAGTGTTGCACTTTACTCTGGCTCATGTCTAGAGTTTCATTCAGCTGAGAGAAACTCCTTACACTCAATGTGCTAACCTGATAACTGTGGTAGAGTAATTCACCAATTAACCCCTGACTTGTTGATGTTGTAGCTATGCCAGAATTCTTTGATGGTTGGGTTTCCCTCTCCATCTGTCACCTCAAACAGCTGCTTCATCAACCTCCTCTAGTAGTAGGCCTCGAAGGTGGTGTTAAGGGGCAGAAGCATCACACTGATGATGTCAGTCCACTCATCTATCGAAGGCGGGTGTGATGGCGCATTGTTTAGTATCAGGAGAAACTTGTTGGCGGTGTTCTGCTTTTCATCATACTCCTCAAGGTGCTTGGAGAGATGCCAACCATGTAACACTGGCACAACCCTGTCAGTACTCAGGCCTTCTTGCTGGAGCGCCAGATGGCTTAATTTGAGGAAAGATAACACCTCTTATAGACTTGTCTCATACTCTAACATGTATATTGCCCTATATCATGTATAGTACAGTACTATCCTGTCCTTAAGATTGTATTATTTTATAATATATTGCAGGTTCGAAGCACAGATGAGGTGTTAAACAACTTATCAGTTGAGGTCCACCAAAACACAAGTATCACACACTGCTTACGATGCTTTTTCTCCACCGAGACCATTAGTGCAGAAACAGTTCAATGTGAAAACTGTTGCTCCCTCCAAGAACACCAGGTAATACTTCAGTCATATTTATTTATTTATCTATCTATTTATTTATCTATCTATCTCTCTATTATGGATTTATTGTTTTTTTAAAGTTCTGTTTTTTGGATGGTATTCCATGTCAGAGGAGAGTTACTACTTCTTTCTCCATTGTAAGACTCATCAGGCACTGTGTCTAACTAAAAATACTAACATTCACAAGGACTTAAATCCCCCTTTTTATGATATTTCACTCTTGTAACATTAGCAGTATTCCACAATGTAAAACTGTGTACAGAGTAAGAACCAAGTATCTTCCTAGCTTTGGCCAATGAATATTGAAACCTAGTGTATTGGTATGCCTGACTGGATATAAGCTTTGGGTTGTTCAATGAATGGTGGTTTAAAATTGTGACTTTATTATTCCAGTTGTGGAATATGAGCACATACAGCCAATAATGAATGATCATAGGAAAAAGTGATTTTGCAAATGAAAGATGTAACTGGCTATCTTTCCAGGGCTCCACAGGCTTGCCAACTATTTACGATGTACACAGGTGTGTGTGTGCAAGTCTGATGGCTAGACTTTTCCGTGATATATTTGCCAAAAGTTGGGAATATAGTTGTTTCTTACACTGTATATCTGTAAGTAAGATTGAAAATTATATGTGTAGTCGTGTTAAAAATGGCAGGAAGGATTATGGAAAAATGCAAATACAGTAAGTCATCACTCAACATTATCCCAGACAACATTGCTGATCTTTAGATGCCCATGATTCCATCAACGTTGTTTTATGACCCGCCCAATTTGTTATAACATCGCTGTAACGTTGTCACCCAGCATGGAGTACTTTGTATTGTGCACAGAATATGGGGTTAAGACCTCTCAGCATATGGGCCTATTTAAATGTTTTTGCTGCAAATACTGTACTGTGACCCATCAAAGTGCTTCCAAGTGCCTATCAAGTGGTAGTGATGCTAGTGTTGTGAAGAAGAAATGCAAGACCATAAGCCTTGCTACAAAAATGGACATTTTAAACCATTTTGATAAAGGTGAACGTGCTGTGGACAATTGGTGTAGCATTGGGCCTAACCCCCACAACAGTGTGTAATATCCAGACCAACACAGACAAGATTAGGGCTCATTGGTGAGTACTGTACAATAGAATTTATTTTATTTTATTAATTAAACATTAATTTAGTTTGTTTATCTTTTGCATGTCACTATAATAAATATTTACTGTAAAAATTCTATTGAATTTATTTACTGTATATGTAATGTATTTTATGGGACAAAAGGATGCTGGGAATAAAATAAGCATAGTATTTTATATATTTTTTAAGGGAAAATTTGATTCTGTGGACGTGGTTTACAAGAACGAAACCAAACATTAAGTGAGAGTTTACCGTATAATAATAATAATGTTGGTCTTTTGTTTGTAAAAAATGCCAGTTATAACAAATTCACTCGTGCTCAAAACACTACACAGTCAAAGACTCAAGAATACTGTACAGAGAAACACTATAATATTGTACTAAAATAAAATATCGTAATAAGTGACAGTTCAATGTCTCTTGCAAAAAGATAAAAAAATAGTATCCAATACTGTACAACCTTTTCCGGCAACTAATAAAGTAAATGTAAAATCTCGTATGAATACAACAATTATAATTTTTTGTACATTAATTTATATTCCAGAAACGCACCAGAGTTAAGAAGCTACCAACGATACTCGTCCTCCACCTCAAAAGATTTCAGTTTCTGGGTCAATATAATCGCACGTTAAAACTCTCTCACAGGGTTGTCTTTCCACTAGAACTACGTGTCTTCGACACAGTAAGTTATTTCCCTTGTTATATAAATCTGTTAATATTGGTTTTTGTGCAATGAAATATTTGTTTTCCATGTAGCCTTGTGCTTCATGCTAAGCTTTTTAACTCTGTGCCAGTTTCAAGTAACTCGTAGGTCCTGTAAGTATAAGGTTTGACGTCAGGCTCTGGGGAATGCATCTCCAATTAATATCATTTTGATTCTTATGAGGAAAATTTCCCAATATTTCTCAATATTTAGAACGATCCTTTATGCTAATCCAAGGTATTCCTGTACAGGTATCCCCACCTTGCAATAGGGTTGAGTCTGGAATTTCATATATAACCAAATCAACATAAAACCAGGAGCTCTTGAACATGGATTTCAGTGGCATACATTCCTGTCCTGTCCGACACAGATATATATTACAGAAAAAAGCTATCTTACATTAATTAAATAAATAAAGTTAAACATGTGGGGTTGATCAACCTCAACTGTGTAGTCGAAAGCCATGGAGAAAAAAATGAGTTTCTTTCCTTCTGTTTGTGTTATAAATATATACAGGTCCCTCGGTTAACGAACACAATTTGTTCCACAGAGTCGTTCGTTAACCGAATCCATTATTTCAATGGGATATTGGGTAATTGGTTCCAGCTCACAGAAAAGTACATACAAAGTATAAACAAAATGCAGTAAAGTACACTTACTTTGAGGTGTGTATGTAGAAGGTTCCTGGTTGATGATGATGATGGGAATTAGAAGTGGGGGTGGAGGAGAAGGGAGAAGAGAAGGAAGTGGGGATGGAGGAGAAATCGTCGTCTTTTGGACCCATGCTTGATGCAGTAATTTCACCAATAAAATTTTATGTTCACTAGCTGTAATTACAGATTATATTATTTAAATCAACAGTGCATTGCGCTATATATTATCAATATGTTAACTAAATTTCAGAATGACCAATAATTTTAATGTAAAAACGTAAAAATACTCTGTATTCAAGAGAGCAACAAACACGATGTTTCTTCCACTGTAAACAAAGTTAAACCGACGCTTTGGCGGGTGAGTCAAGCGACTGATGGGCGCACAAAAAACTAGTTCCGTGTACTGCATAAATTATCAATATATTAACTAAATTTTAAAACTAATAATTTAAATAAAAAATGCAAAAAATATTAAAGAGCACAACCTTCTTGATATTTACTCCACTGGAAACGAATGTAAACATAGAACCGATTACTGTATTGGCAGACTAGCTGATCAGCTGATGCGCACAACAAAACGTGTTTGTCGTAAGGATTTCGTTAATCAAGTTTTGTTTGTTAACCGAATTGAAGATCCTTATGGGAGCTAATTCTTTAACCGAAATTTTGTTAATCGAACCGTTCGTTAACCGAGGGACCAATATATATATATATATATATATATATATATATATATATATATATATATATATATATATATATATATATATATATATATATATATATATATATATATATATATATATATATATTTCATTAGTCCAATAGCACGCGGACTTCTACATACAATCAACACCTCAACCCGCCAGGACTCGAACCCACGGCCCACTAGCCCATGACTGTGACCGGGGAACACTAACCGCTGGACCACCAGGATACTAAAAGCAGTCCTAGACTTTGTTATATTTCACACAAAGCCTGTTCAACGAGCTAAATCTAGTGACGAAATTGCTAATTTAACAACTCATTGTGCCATATGATGGGTTTTGTTGACATCGTTGCCTTGGCGATGCATGCTCATTCATGATTATGATGTCCCAATCACTGTTCATATTTCATTGAGGCTTCATAATAAGAATGATAAACATAGTCTAAATTCTGTATAGTGTTACACATATTTTACTTTCCAGAGTTCAGATGCTGTAAACCCTGACCGCCTGTATGACCTAGCAGCTGTAGTGGTTCACTGTGGCACCGGTATCAATAGAGGACACTACATAGCAATTGTTAAGTCGCACCGGTTCTGGTTACTCTTTGATGATGATGCTGTTGATGTGAGTATTTTGAGAGGAAAATTTTCTTGTTTAAAGTTATTGCTAACCATTAATGAATCGAATTTTACTTCCCCCAATTAGTTTGTTTAGTAGTTGGTTCCACTGATGAAAATTACTACAATTAATGTATATTCTTTTGAAGATAATTTATTTGGGGGGATGAATTTTTTCCTCCCTTTTCAAGCAAATTAAAATAATATTTTCCCTTGATATTGCTTATACCCACAAATGTATTGTATATTAACTTTTTTAAGCTTTTATACTCAATCCTATTATATGTTTTATTGTACATGTACTGTATGTGTGTTTGTTGTGTAGTTTATAAATTTCCTCTTTTTTTTTCTTTTTTTGTGACAGAAAATTGATCCTTCAGTTATGGAAGAATTTTATGGCCTAACGTCAGAAATACAGAAGTCATCAGAAACTGGGTATATCCTTTTCTATCAGGCCAGAGACCCAACGTAACTTTAAAGGAGTCGCCAAAGAAAGTGGAATCCGTCTGTCATGTCCAACCGGTTCTTCGGAGGCTGGCGAGCAGCTTTAGTCATGTCATAAAGAAGGAAAATTAGGTAGAGAAAGAAAGTACAGGAGTTTTGAGCATTGTGTCCAACAGGGGTTGAGAGTGGGTGTGTAATAAATGTATTCATCTAGTTCAGGTTTATCATAGAATGAATGCACCCATGTACTACTGTACATTGTATCTGATCTGAATAGTTATTTCACAAATGTTATTATACTGTAATGTATTGATTATAATGCACATTGTAAATAAGAGTTTATCTGAGATTCTTTACAGTCTATTGTAGGTGTAAGAGCTGGAGAATTCTTGATCAACTTACCTTAAAGAACTATTTCACCCCTGTTAACTTATCCCTTCCTTCACTTTCTTCTGTTTTAAGACATTTTTGTTAATTGTGTGAATCATCATGTTCCCGGTTTCCTAAATTCTTATTTACAAAGCAGTTCATATATAAATTGAAATTTGATTATGCATTACAAACTACTCATACAGAATGATCTATTTTAAGTACAGTAATACAAAATGCCAACAGGTGGTGATTATTCATAAAATTGGTTTCTTGCACATTACCATGTGTACAGAGGCTACTGTTCTGTTAACTGGTTTATTTTACATAATTAGGTTGAGTTGATTCATGTTAGCACTATTGGAACCTTTGACAATAAGGAGGATGCAACTCGTACAAACTTCAGAACCACACAGGATCCATCCAATACTCCAGTGTACTGTAGTTGTTTTGTGAGCAGAATTTGGTAAGCCAGAGTTTTGACTTTGTATCATGGTAGATTTTGATACAATGCTTATTTCAAGGTTTTTAACATGAAATGAATGGTGAATTATTATTTATTATAAAATATGTGTATCTTGAATCAGCAAAGTTCTGGTCAGGTAGGTCTTGGGTCATGGAGGTTAAGGATTGGATTGGTGTACCACTGCAGAAGAAAAAATTGTATATACCTGTATGTATACATATAGTTTGAAGTGCTCAGTATATTGAATCATTGAAACAATTCCCTCTAAATTTTTTAATAATGAAAAGTTTATTTATTTGCTTCTTGAAAGGATATTGATGATTCTTGCCAGTCTAACCTCTGTGATATCATAATGATTATTTTACAGGCTGGAACAGGGTCATGGTGTATCCTTCAGAGGATCAACTAAACCTTTTCGGAGGCAGTTGTACTGTTTTCTAATTATATATTTCCCACTGTTAATGCAACACAGTTTATTGTATAATGCTGTTGAACAGTAAGAAAAAGTTGAACATTTATCGTTTAATTTCTCCTCTGCCATACAAACTGATACGGTTGTACAGTAGGTTCACAGAGCATACTCGTGTGACCCCATGAACCGCCTTTACGCTTGGGTCTCACTCTAACCTGAATCAACCTACCCAGCATCCCACTACCTCAACGTAATGTATCACTTGTCCATGCTTGTTTGAGGGGCTGATCAGCTTCCAGCAGAATTTATGAAACAAATGGGTAAGAATGGACTAAAATGGCTGACTAATTATGTAATTCTATATACAGTGCTTCAAAGGAGACTTTCCCAGTGATTTAAAAAAAAAATCTAAGTAAGATCTTCATTCGCCAGAATCCCTCAAACCTGGAACTCTCTGATAGCCGGAATTTAAATTTTCTCGGAAAATCGTTCCCAAAGTCGAATTTAACCGGAAAATTAAAGCTCTGGGAATGATTTTTTGAGGGGCATATTTTCTGGCATATATTCCTGATACCTGGAAAATTCCTGGGATGGGGGAGTTTTTTCCTGGGTTTGAGAGATAAAAATCGTGCGCATTTTCCGGAAATTCCAGGGATGGGGGATATTTTTCAGAGCTCAAGAGATGATGTAATGGGCAATTTCTGGAACTTCCGTGAACATTTTTCTGTTAGCCGGAAGATTATGGGGATGAGGGATTTCTCCGCTTTGAGAGTTGTTCCCAGAAGTGCTCTGCACCAATTGTTCTGGCTAACGGAGATATCACTACTGCTGTATATGTATTTTTACCGAAGAAGCCAGGAGCCTTAGAGTGCACCCAGTTTAGAACAGTAAGCTTAATAAGTCCTGCCTGCAGAGTTGTATTAAACATGATTTTAATTAGAATAAAACTTAAAATAGAAAGTGAGTTATTTGAAGAGCAAAATGGATTTAGAAAGGAAGAAGTTACTAGAGAAACTATTTGGTTTGAGGATTTTGAGTGAAAGGGCTTTAGAGGTCCAAAGAAATTTTTATATCTGCTTTGTTGATTTTGAAAAAATAAGCATTAATGAAGTGATATTAGAATTTTATAGAATATTTACTGGCAACAGGTAGCTACAGTGTTAGTAAACATTGAATTTAACTAATTGGTTAGACGGAGTAAGACTGGGCTGTGTTCTATCTACAACATTGTTCAGTAAAACACTTTTATGAAATATGAGGGACACCTCCCAAGGTGGGACGGTCTACCACATAAAATGAAATGAGAAATCATTTCTTAAACAAGGGATAATGAGGAATAATATCCATGAAGATGGCATGTAAGTGTGTAGCAGAGGCACCTGGCCGACTCGCCACTCAGTAGCACTCAGAGTGGGCGAGGCTGAGGTGTGAAATATGTTATTGATCAACTCATAATTTGGGGTAGATATACTTAATTTTCTGCTTTTTCTTGTACTCTTGTTGCCTGCACACACATTCGTTCATACAGAATGTGCAAACAAAGTCAAAAAGCCGTTTTTTTTCTAAAAACCAGTTTTTGTGATATAGCTCGGAATGTGACGCTAAGCAATGTTACCTAGGTATGTTAATTACTAGCCAACATACAGGCAATTAAAACATCTAATAATTACTTAAGTAATATGAGGAGGACACGTCGCTACCTGGCATTTAATTGCAATTCTCAAAACCCCCTCCTACACCCCCCACCATACGCATCATGACCTTCATCTCTTGCCTCAGAGCGAGCAGTAAATAAAAGTCAACTCTCGAGGAGTGGAGATGGGCGGGTTATCGGCGTCGCATTCCGAGCTATATCACAAAAACTGGTTTTTAGAAAAAAACGACTTTTTGTTCAAGCTGGAATGCGACGCTCGGCAAGAATACCCGAGCAGGAGGTGGAAAGGGAGGTGACTTTCCATACAAGGCTCTGCTGACTTAGGTCCAGATTATGTTATAAACCGTTTAGAATATTTCCAAAATTAGGAACATTTACCGGAAGGTAAAATGTTAATTTACTCAAGAAGGATACTCACTTTATTCTGATGAGGAAGAAGGTCCTGGTTGTGGAGATTGACTAGGTGGGAGAGGGGAACCCAGCACCACCACATTTGAAGCATCTTTCAGAGATAGATGAAGATAGCTGTCTTTGAAAGTTTTTGAAGATCTCCAAAAGCCCATTTCCTTGATCTGACTGTGACTCATATGCTGCAGAAAGGCCACAGACCCTGCATATTTCCTAGTGTCATGTGCTAAAAATTTCTTGCCAAGGTCTGCTTGATTCACTAATTGAGATAAGGATTTTGTCATTTGACTAGGAGATAATTTCTTACCATCCCTTGAGAAAACATAGGGGCCTCGATTAGGGAATCTGGTTAACCATCCCTGAAGATTTTTAACTGGGCACAATAAATGAGGAACCCTTGTTTCATCCATTAGACATTTTATCCTAATAGGTTGAGCTTGGAAATCTTCCCTTTCATTTTTTCTTAGGATCTCCATAGGAAAAAGGATCACATCCTTGTCAGAAAATACCAATAATGATGGATTATTGGAAATTGAAATCAGTTCACTGATTCTCATACCTGTTGCTATTGCTAGAAGGAAAGTTGCCTTCTGGAGTAATTTATCCCTGTTCAGATTTATATTGTAATAAGGCCCCATAAGAAGATTAGTAACTTTTTCCAGAGACCAAGGTGGGATTCTCTTGGGTCGAGGAGGTCTCTGAATGAAAAAGGACGATCTTAGCATTTGATATATCCTTGGATTCAAAGTAATATTAAAACCCCAAGCCAGCGGGTCAACCAACGCTGATTTATAAGATGCAATTGTCGATTCTTGAAGGCCTTTAACTCTGAACAGAAATTCTAAAAATTCTAACACAACTGTTTCCGGTAATGATTCTGGAGTTGTTCACTTGATAAATTGTTGAAAAAGATTCCAAGCTTTCTCATATTGAATAGAAGTTTGTGGTCTATGACCTGCTAATACTTGGTTAGCTATATTGGAATTACCCAACAACCTATTTAAACTCCTTTTGAGAAACCCCAAGCGTGAAGTGCCAAGGATATCTCGAACTGAGAATGTAGTACCTGGTCTAGACATCCTTGTTGCAATTGTAGCGGATTCGGGCACCAGTCCAGCAGATCCAGGCACCAACTCTGAAAAATGGCAGATGAAATTCAATGTGGACAAATGTAAAGTACTTAGTCTACGAGATGTAAACAGAGAAACCAGACATCAGATGAACAACGATGTTATAGAGAAATCCGACTGAGAAAGATTTAGGAGTAATGGTAAGTAGGAATCTTAAGCCAAGTAAACAATGTGTATTTGATCGAATCAAGGCTAATAAAGTACTTGGGTTCCTACAAAGGAGTGTTAGTTACAAGACTAGAAAGGTTATCCTAAAACTATATCCTGTGTTTGTGAGACCTCACTTGGATGACGCAATTCAATTCTGGTCACCGTATTACAGAATGGATATAAAATCCCTAGAAAGGAGAATGACAAGACTAATCCCGGGCATTAGGAACTTTGAGTACAGAGACAGGTTAAAGCATCTTAATTTGCACTCCCTCGAGAGACGTAGAGTGAGGGGCGATATGATAGACTCATAGAGGTTTATAAATGGAAGTCAGGGCTAATCAATGGTGAAACAAAGGTACTCAAACTATCCAACCAGGAGCAAACTCGTAGCAATGGCTTTAAATTAGACAAATTTAGATTTCGGCACGAGGTAGGTAAACATTGGTTTGGAAATAGAGTAGTGGATGAATGGAACAAGTTACCAAACACCATCATTAACTCGAATACGCTGGATACCTTCAAACATAGGTTGGATGGATTTATGAGCAATAGGGGTTGGGTGTAAATGGGAGCCAATCAGTGGCGAAGAGAATAAAAGTAAAAACTGAGATGTTTATAAACTTCAATTAGGTTACCCCTTGCCTGTCCAGAGTATAAGCTAGGCAACTGCAGGCATTCTAATCTCTCTGGGTAACTGAGGTGTCGTGGTGTAATGGTAAATGTCTGTGAGTTTGACTTGACCTCGCTCACAATCTGCATCTGGAACCTTTTTAGTCCTTCTACACTGTTAGAAGTGGTGTTCCTTGCGTGGTAATACTGACCCGACAGTGAGGTAAAATGGACCCAATAAAGCAAAGTAAATGGTCCCGATTAAGTGAGGAAACAGTGACCCGACAAAAAGGTTACCTACAGTATGATCAGTGGTGTAATGCTAAATGAAGAAGTGAGGGAACGCATTTTAAAAATGTTACTCAGAAGCGGGTGGGACAATGAAGGGCATAGCGAGCTCATACAGCTGGGGGTCATGGGGGCGCTGTAAGCCCTTAGGATTTTTTTTTTTTTAAATCTGACCACTTCAGGAATATTTTGAGGCCATATGCACTTGATATTAGAATATATTACAAGATTGAAGATACAATATATCCAGTTTCATTACATTGGATATACTATAACATTCAGTACAATCAATACAAATAGGTAACAACTGGAGTGATTACACTACACACATCAGCACATATGGATGGACTAGGCAGCACAACATTGGGTTTGTATCGTAATTAGATGGTGAATGTTTAGATCAGAAGTTTGTTCCCAGACCTTTTCAACTTATTTACCAACTGACAATTTTGTGGGCAGCAAATTATATACATGTATAATCATGCTGCAAAATCTCAATGTCCCAAAGTTTATAGGCTAGCATTGCCACAGTTGAAGCTAAAAGAAAAGAAACAGTTAATAATTCTTTCTCATATTTGTTCTCATATTTGAAATAGTGAGGGAGCGCCATTCCGCCTACCAAAAAAAAAAAAAGACTATGATATTTATAGACGTAAGTAAGAATTTAAACCTGGCGGGTGAGGTTGAGGTGGCGGGCGGCAGGAGGCACCAGTAACACGTCAACAAAACTCTGACGTGTAGCGGCATCAGTGGTGTCCTGCCAGCTGGGTTTAGATTATACCTCACTACCCACGTATTGATACAGATATTAAAGAAGATGCATACATTCCTGTCTCGGGTGAATGCTGTGAGCGCCTTCAGCCTGAGCACCTTAGCAGCACTAACCTTCCTGTGCTTTGCCTCCACATTTTTCATCAACTACACCGCGCCTGTCACTATCAACGCCGCCAATATTGTTCTGTGAGTATAACTTTAAAGAGCTTTTGGTGATATAAATGAGTCATGTGATCTGTTGAGAAAGATAACTAATTTAATTGGTAATATCTGAGAACAGTACTATACCACCAGAAGGAGTAGTTCGATTACGTTCATAATTTCCACATGTTCTTTTAATTGTGGTAAAATTATTGTTTCGGTCATCCACCTATTTTGAAATTGGGTAAATTTGCATCAGTGCACACAACTCTGTGAGAAAGTCAAAACTATGCTTTTCTAGTGTATCTTTGTGTTTTGATTGGCTTTGACCTTCATTTCCGTTGGAAATTGCCCGTTTTTTAGTTATAGGGGGTTTTGTGTGGGGCGTTTTCCGACAAAAATAATGGCCAATCGAATACAAAATACACAAAAAAAACACTAGAAGAACATAAACCTGACCTAACCTAACTAACTCACCACATGATGGAATCACTTATTTCTTACCTTATTGGCCTGGTTCTGGTTCGTCGTTGGAATCTGAGATTAGTGCAGGTTGTTGACTCTGATTCTCGCTTAACGGGGGGTGTAGGCGGGCAGCTTCTTCCAATGATTCATAAATAAAAGTAACTTCAATGGCACTTTTCTAAAAATGTTCTTTTGTAATCACTGACAGCGTACAAACACCAACGTCTCTTCTTTGTCTTGGAAATAAGGAACGAGTTACCACAATACACCACATATGTTAGTCTTGACGATATTTACATTCGTTCTTACACTTAGGACACTTTACTGACGTCGGGAGAACACCATGAGATCTAAAAAATTATATAGCATGCTCGTTTTTTCCAAAAACACGTAATCAATTCCTAATAATTGAAGTGACACCCATCGCAGACTTCCATGGTCAGAAATGAATTTGAATTTCGAAATATGAGACCCAAAATAAAAATAAAATTTGATTGGGCCAAAAATATAGCGAATTAAACCACAAATTTTAATTGGTGGCCAAAAAAAAAAAACCTTTTGATTGGCGGCGTGACGTGTACGGGAATGCATGCGTGTGACGATTTACGAAGGAAACACGCGGTGCGGGAGGTGAGGTAATGGGTAATGGTGGAAGATTATTGGAAGAAAATAGAGAAAGATTTGGGATGCGCTAGCTCCGTTATTATACATTTGCAATGGTGATGTAATAGAAGAAAATTATCTTATAATTAGACATTTTTCGAATATGATAATAGATTTGGGGTAGGAAAGTTGTGTGCACAAACACAAAACTACCGGAAATTCAAAACACCAAAACAACTGTGAATTTATAGTCTTGCACCGGTCTTTCTTTTGCTGTTATAAATATGTATTTCGTAATGTTTAAACAATTCTAAGACATTTTTCTTTATGATATTTCCACCGGAAATTAAGGATAACCGAGACATTAATTTTTCAATATTATTACATTCGCTCGGTCACAAATTTCGCCATGTCTTGTTTACCTTTGGCAGAGTCTGACACCCCTTCACGCATCGCTCCTTACCTCCGTCTTCGCTTCTTAAGCATCTACAGCGCATGTGCATTGACGACATTGACGACCCAGATGAACCTTATTGTTTTTCAGATTAAGGTAAGATGTGAGGGTATGAACAAAAGGGAGTCCAGGGGGGTGGAGCCTCCCTGGTTAGGTTAGGTTAGGTTTTGTTGGTATTTTATTTGTGATTTATTCGAAAAAATCCAACTTTTTCCGTTATGATGGGGGGGGGTTAAAAAAAACTAATGATTTCCAGCAGAAATGAATATGAAATTCGTTCGAAACTCATCAAATACCAAAGGAAACACCTATTTTTAATATTAAAATAAAGACCGGTGCAATATTACCTACGCCGCCAAAAGTAAACAAGACATGGCAAAATTTGTGACCGAGCGAATGTAATAATATTGAAAAATTAATGTCTCGGTTATCCTTAATTTCCGGTGGAAATATCATAAAGAAAAATGTCTTAGAATTGTTTAAACATTACGAAATACATACAGTATTTATAACAGCGAGAGAAAGACCAGTGCATGACTTTAAATTGACCCCAAAAACCATTGGAAAAACTATTTCAACCTAACCTAAACTAAACAAAACTTAAAATCCTAAAATTTGTCAATTTATGATAGGAGCCAGGTTTCGATTTTTCCATAAAAATATGTTTTTCCTATGGTTCTTGTTGTGATTCAAACGAATCTGACCTTTGTTTCTGGTGCTAACCTCCCTAACCTAACCAAACCTGGCTACTATCCTAAATTGACCCTAAAATTTGCTGGATGACTGAAACGATAATAATACTCCAATTTTAATTATTTTTCTTTTTTTAGTTTTTCTGTATCTACGATCATAAATCACCAGTAGTGGGTAGGGCTTGAAGGATGAGGGAAATTGCGTCAAGGAAGTTAGGCAAAGTTTGGGGTAGTATTGTTGTTTCACTTCCAATTGGAGTAGAGCACTTTTGGGGTTAATATTCAGCCATTGGCTGTCCACAAGTTTCCACTTATCATTATTATACAGACTCACTTTCTAGAAAAAACTAAACATGACTTCATATAATTTATTGTGCAAATCAATATTAATGGAGTACTGTACTTTATATCACAAATTTCTATGCATATATTTCTGTTCCCACCATGTTTACTGAAGCTATGCTCCTCACTTAGTCACTTGCCTCCCCTTGTTCTCCTCCTTTTAGGTTAGGTTAGGCAAGTTAGGTTGGTTCCATTGGTACGAGAATAGTTTTTGGTGTACTTTACTCAAATCTGACCTCCATTTTTGTGCCAATTAGCATTTTGTGTTAAAAATGAAAACTAAAATTTTTTGCAAAATGGCTAATTTACACAAGTAATGAAGGTCAGATTTGAGTAATAAAACACACACACACAAAATATTCTCGTACCAAAACCTGAGGACAGTGAATGGACGAATATTTACCATTTTGGGTTCACCAAAAGTTGTATCTCGTCAATTGCAACAACTTTTTCTAATACCACCTCTGTAGCAAATGGATACCTGGTAATGACTGAGGTGGTAAATTCACGTAAAATATCGCGCTGCCATCAGGTCTGATGCTATCTCTACAAACTCTGAGATTGTGACTATGAGAGACATAGCTGTTTTTCCAAGAGTTAAAATGTTACCATCTAGGTTAGGTTAGATTTGGTTAAGTTAGGATAGGCTAGGCTAGGCTTTGGTTAGGTTAAGTTAGATTAGGCTAGGTTACATTTTGGTTAGGTTTTGGTTAAGGTTAGGTTAGGTTTTGGGAAGATATTGGAAGCATAATGTGTTGTCTAATGGTAGACCCTGCTGCTATATGGCATCACAAAAATTGTGACCAAGTACCAAGTTGCTGATCTAACTTTCTGCCTCATTTACATACAATTGCAGGGTCTCAATTGTTTCTCACTCTTGATTTTTTTTTTCATTTTTGTATGTCTTTATTATTATTATTATTATTATTATAATTATTATTAATATTATTATTATTATTATTATTATTGTTGTTGTTGTTGTTGTTGTTGTTGTTGCTACTATCATTATTATTTTATTATTTATATTTATATATTTTTTTAATTATAAATTTTATTTATTATGAATTATTATTATTACATTTTTGCCCCTCAGGCTCCGATGTGGGTCAGTGACTGCTGCCCATATTAACCCTTAAGCTCCGGGTTAGGCTGCTGGTAGCACCCCCCCCCCCCCGTGGGGTTAAATCGAGAAAAATTAAATTTTCCAAAAATAATTTTTAACCATTTAAAATGATAAAACAAAAAAAAAATAAGTAAGAAAAACTATATATTGACCCTCTAGAAACTTCCCTGGCTGCACGGAGGGAGGAGGAGGGGGGGGGAGATAAGGAGACTTGGTTTGACAGCTGAAGCTCGTGGTCACTCGGCACTTGGCAGCTATTTTTAGCTCGCCTTTGTGCCCAAAGTGGCCAATAATGTATATATTTACTGATCTTAATACTTATTTGCTATAAATAATTCATTTAGAATATTTTATTTGCATAATTTTTCATAAAAATGTGCTCGGCAACACTCACCAGTCGGTAGCCAGTCTGTCTGGCTGTCTTTGTGTTTGGTAGAGCAAGTAATGCATAAAATAATAATAATTCCACAAATAAAAACATTTATAACATAATCATAGCATTATTTTCCAGTAATACTACACTACAACTACACCACTTTTATCAATATTACTTTGATACAACATGATAAAATAGACAAACAATGAAAATGAAACAAACAAAAGAAGGTAATTATGTTCAGGAAGCATCCCTGTGGCCAAGCGTGTGGTGTGAAAGGCAAATAGTCACACTGGAACCAGATAACCTGCGCTGAGCATTTAAACAGTGGCGGGAATAGGCGCGCTTTCTTGAACGTCACCCGGGGCGTGCTGGTCAGACATTCTGGAACGTCACCCGGGGCCTAAGGGTTAAAAGATAAAGTAGAAAAAATAAAATCACACAATACCAAACAACACTTGAGAGCCTAGACTGGTGGATGTAAATAAAATTTATGGGAGGGCAAGGATGCCAGCCTCTTCAAATGGTTGCATGAACTAATTCCAAGACAGCCAATCACAAATCATGCCAGATTACAGAGATTCTACTTATATTTTTATTGTTTTATTTTTTATATATTCAGTACTTGATTATTGGAGTGGAGTGAGAAGCTTTTGAGTTTCATTTTATTTTGTTTATTCAACAGGAAAAATGTACCAGAGTATGCAGTGTCAAGAGAAAAAAATGACCTGGGAGCCCTTCGCTTTGACTTATCTTCTGACTTGACTCCTCTTTTCAACTGGAACACGAAGCAATTGTTTCTTTACCTCACAGCAGAGTATGAGACTCCCAACAATAAGGTTAACCAGGTTAGTGATATAACACATTTGTTGTCAGGGGAAGATTATATAGTTTTTATTGGTGAAAGCAATGATTGAACTGGGTAGCTTTTTCCATTGTGTGGAAATTTTAATCAAGACACGACTTCTAACTTGTACAATACTGTACCGTATATCATATCAGCCGGTATATATACTGGTGGGTGGCCTTGGAACGGTCACTCACTCTCGCTCCCTGCTTGAGCACAGTTCTCCTCACAACATCAATAAACTGATGGACATAGCCTGAGTTTTCCTGTACCCAATACTACAGCACCATCGACCTCTAAGCCAGACAACACACACCTTCTCTTTACAGCTTCACAGACCTCACTGAACATGTTACTAAACATATTTTATTATTTAGTAACCCTAAAGGTTGCCAGAGAAAGGATTGGTCACCATATTAGACCAAAACAAAGTGTAGGTAATTTTATATTTGTAAGAATATGTATGGGTGTAACTGCATCTTGGGAATGGTACTTCTGAACATCTATACATTTCACTGCAGCACATAAAGTTATGGATTCATTCCAGAGTTGCATTGTATTCCTATGTTCTTTGTAACCTAATTGGATTATGACAGTTTAGACATGTCTACAAAAGGTTTTTATTTATTTATTAACTTACTTATTTATTTAATTTATTTTAATGTGTTTTTTGTATCAGGAGGTCCATGTCACCACTCATTCTGTCTGTGTGCCTTCATTTAATTCTGAAAAGTGGTTATCCTTAAGTTGGGGATTTCAGGTGGTCCTGTGGGACAAGATCATCAGGCGGGGAGATGCTTCACTGGTCAGTCTCAAGAATCAACACCTCAAGTACTACTTCTGGGATGATGGCAATGGTCTTCTGTGAGTACACTCTTGTTATACAATACGCACAAAAATCTATATTTTTACTTTTCTTAATACTATACATTTAATTGTTTTTAATATCATTGGTGGAGATACTGTACAGTCTGACCTCACAAATTCGTGTCTCTGAAGTCGATTTTTTTTAACAAATCCTTGCATTTTCACGGGGTTCCTCAATTACTGTGTTTATTGCTTGTCTGTGTTTGTATGAGGAAAAAAAATTACAATGCTCTAATTTGACATAAAAATAAAGAAAATATATATATATATATATATATATATATATATATATATATATATATATATATATATATATATATATACATATACACATACATACATACATACATACATACATACATACATACATACATATATACATATACATACATACATACATACATACATACATACATACATACATACATACATACACATACATACATACATACATACATACATACATACATACATACATACATACATACATACATACACACATATACATACATACATACATATATTACATATATATATATATATATATATATATATATATATATATATATATATATATATATATATATATATATATATATATGTGAACGTTGAGGAATGTCACCTGGGGTCACGTAGGTGAATGTTGAGGAATGTCACTCGGGGCTTAAGGGTTAAATATATCTCGAGTTTTCATCATTATCAATGTCTTACAATTATCTTCCTTGCTTGCTTGGGTTAGCCTTGATTACCTGTTGGGTAAAACCAGAATGAGATGCCCTTCCTGCTCAACACTGCAAACCTAGGGCACCAACTCAGAGACCAGAGGATGGGTACAGCTCTGAAGACCCACTTGTCATGTGGCATGTTGAAGCAAAGACACCTAGACAACCTTTCTAACTTCCACCCACAGGGTGGGAACAGTAGCAAGGCAGGGTTTCAATTCTGAGATAATCAAAGGCTACCCACCTAATTACTGTATACAGTATATACAGGGGCATATATTCATAAATAAATTATGACTTTTGTTTCATGTAAACCTTTTATGGTAGTGTATGTGATGTGATTTAAGCAAACTGGTCAGTTTAGTATTTTTAAGATATTACAGTTTGAACACGTGTAATTGTAGTGTTAGCCCAACTGATTCAAACTAATTTTTTGTCCTAGAAGTGAATGTAGATATGAATTTAAAGGCCTAATATCTTCATCCAGAATACACTTTTATAATGTAAATAACAAATGTTGTAAATTTTATATTACCTGAAAATGTTAAACTGTAAAATAGAGGTACTGTACATGAAAAACAGAGTAAAAATACGTGAAAACTTAATAAGGTCACTATGATAGACTGTGCAGCTCTGAGGTGTGGGAAACACCAATAACCCCATCCAGTCCCACGTAAATTGGCTTCTTTGTTATATTTACACTTTCATGACCAACTGAACAGTTTAATACATTTTTCTCTTGAGAAATTAGAGAGACAGACACTTTTCTCTCTTTCATCTTCCCTCTGCAGACACCTGTAGTTGTTGTTTAGTGATGGTAATTGAAATACAGGTGTATTAATTTTGGTGTTCTTGTTTCAGGGGTCACAAGAATGTAAGTCTGTCCCTTTCATGGAATATTATCCCCATTGCTGGCACTCTGCCCACTTGGAGTGGAACGGGGACCTACAAGCTGACCTTCCCTGCTGAGTACACCCAGGGTAGGACCTACTAGCTTACAAGGATATAAAGGAATAACAAGTTTCATGGACTCTGTGAGTCAGAATCAACCACACAGTTAATCATAAATATTCCTAAGATTTTTTTATGAAATAGTAACAGTGTACTGTAGCTTTCTAAGGTCATTTGTTCTCTCATATGATTGACAGTATTTCAGGAAAACATTTATTATGCCTAAGTTTATTTTGAGAAATTGGAGGTGTCAGAGCTTTTTATTATTTGTGTTTAATAGAGAAATAGGGGAAAGACTGATATAAAACTAGCGAATCAAAAAGATGGAGTGGAGAGATAGTTATGGAAGGTTTTTTCTCAGATATGCAAGATATGGCAAGTAATTAGCTATAAATTTCATGTTATACACATTGTAGCAATGTCATAAATATTGGGTGTAATGCAATAAATAACAGTTTTAATAATTGTAGTTCTTCAGATCCACTGTAACTGTCAAATATTTTGTAATGTCACATTTGAAAAATAAAAAAGATAGGTTTTGAAACTATCAAGTCTTTTTAAACTTTAATAAGTTTCCTGAAACATAAATTATGAAGAAAGATTTCATATAGAGGTGTAATCTATACAATATAAATCTCATTGGTAAACTTTTCTGTAAATGTATACATGTTTACTGTATAGACCAACATTTGCTCTGTGTATTTAATTTCTGAATATTCTAGGGTAGACTGCAAGAGTTGTCAGCTTTTTCTACCTCACTCTTGGCATTGGTATTAAAGCTATTCAGTTCATGATACAATAAATGATTAAATATCATATTTAAGTAGAGGGAACACTAAATGTAAAATTCCATTACAGGTAACTCTAAAGTTGTATGTAGGAAAACTAACAGTTGCTAGTAAAATTGGACATGTAAGGGAAACTAGGTACAGAGTTTTGGTACATGAAAACATGGGGTTTTGTTAGTCACATATATTTGGACACATTGCATTCATCTGGTAAAATTAGACACAGCCTTTAAGAAGTTAGCCATTAGACCAAGAATTTATTGATGTATCATTGGTTTTGTTTGTCTGCTATATTTAGTAGTATTGCTGTATTCCACTCTAAAATATTGATTACTAAGACTGAGCTGGAAGAAGTTGGTTATTTTGATCCATCATAAAGTAGATACCAGTACAGCTAAGATTAATGTGTACATATGAATATAAATCTTTTGCTTTTTCATAAACTTGTTACTGCTGCCATATCAAGCTGTAGATCTGATGATCATTGTCCATGATACTCTTGAAAATAAGTTTGTTTGTAGGATTGTGTGTATTTCATATTTGTGAGAAAAACAAATGATGGAGCATTGCTGTATTAAGTGAATGTATTCTTTTGCTTTATATAACTAAAGACATTTTCTTTTGTTATGTAAAAAAGGTTGATGTATTATTGTATTTCATACTGTCATAAATGTGCTTTGACTGAAGAAAATCAAAGTATTTTGAATAGTTCCGAGTGAATATCAGTGTTTTGGGTGATAGTTAATTCTGTACATATAAATAGTCTGTGATGTTGCTTTTCCATATAATGAAACTTTGTTATAGTGTGTGTGAATTGAGAAAAACTTACTGAAATAGGTGATGGGAAATATTTGTTAAGGCACAATTTTAGGGGAAAAAAAAGGATTTAAAAACTGTCAACCATTCGGGTATTTCATGAACACAGCCACTTACTGGAATGATGTGAAGGACTTCTTGTTTGATGTGATAGGTATCTGCCTATGTGTCTTATTAAAGTGATTTTTCAAATATTTTGTTTTATTCCACTTACTGAAAAATGTGATGAGAATTCTATGAATATTATTGATTATGAGGTCTTTGTAATTCCTAGTAATTATAAGTCACTCAGTTTTATGAGATCCAACTGGTGAAGGATATGTTAGAAAATGTCTAACAGTCATAGTCTGGAAATTGTAGGTAGGGGAATACATGCCCTCTGAATGGGCAAGCTGCGGAAATGGTTGGTAACCCTGGTTGTCACTTCGTCAGCTGTATAATTAATTACATACCTAGTCAAACTTTGTGATGTCTATAATCACAATCCTAATACACCAACATATCACACACATGCAAAGAACTTCAAATAAATACAGGGCGCACTCCCAGTGTCGGTGGCACCCCCAGGGGCCCTCTTAGAGGCGCTCCCTCCTTGGAGCCCTATAGCTTACTTGGTCGTGGTGACGTATATATTACATACGTCCAGCAATCCCTTACTTAACTGATTGGTGGACTAAAACTTAAATCCACCAAATTACAGCCAATAGGAGAACGGAGCAGTCAGTCAGCACAACACCCCAACTTAAGTTTTCCTATTGAATAATTATTCTCCCTTACATTGTTCATGATGTGAAAATACTGGAAATGCGATGGGCGGTGTATTTATTTGAAGTCATATCTCCCATTGTTCTAAATAGTGAAAAAAACAACTGCCCCCAGGAGCCCTCCTAGGATCTGTGGTGTGCTCAGGAGCCCCATGAGCCCTACTAGGGGCGGTGGCACCAAAAGGGTCCCTACCAGGAGTGGTTGCACTCCCATAGGTCCTTCTAGGGGTGGTGGCACCCCTGGGGCTGCTCTCGAGGTCGGTGGCAGACCCAGGGGTTATCCTAGGGCCTGTGGCACTGGCAGGGCCCCTACCAAGGGATATGGCAAACTTAGGGGACCTGCCAGAGTAGTACCAGGGTGCGATGGCACCCTCAGGAGCCCTGCCAGGGGGGGGGGTGGCACCCCCAGGGGTCCAGTCAGAGGGTGGGTGACACCCCCTGGTGCCAAGCCAGAGGAGGGCACCCCCAGGGGTCCTGTCAGGGGGTGGTACCACCAGCCGCCCTCCCAGGGTTAGTGGCACACTCAGGAGCCATACCAGGGGCGATGGGTCCCCCTGGGGTCCTGGCAGGGACGGCAGGACTCCAAGGAGACCTCCCAGAGGCCCTGCCAGGGGCAGTGGCGCACTCCCAGGGTCGGTGGCACCCGCAGAGGCCCTCTTAGAGGCGCCCCCTCCTTGGAGCCCTATAGCTTACTTGGTCATGGTGACGTATACATTACATAAGTCCAGCAATCCCTTACTTAACTGTGATTGGTGGACTAAAACTTAAATCCACCAAATGACAGCCAATAGGAGAACAGAGCAGTCAGTCAGCACAACACCCCAACTTATGTTTTCCTGTTGGTATTTATTCTCCTTTACATTGCTCATGATGTGAAACTACTGGAAATGCGATGGGCGGTGTATTTATTTGAAGTCATATCTCCCATTGTTCTAAATAGTGAAAAAAACAACTGCCCCCAGGAGCCCTCCTAGGATCTGTGGTACGCTCAGGAGCTCCATGAAACTTACTAGGGGCGGTGGCACCAAAAGGAGCCCTACCAGGGGCGGTTGCACCCCCAGGGGCCTTTCTAGGGGTGGTGGCACCCCTGGGATCGCTCTCAAAGTCGGTGGTACACCCACGGGCTATCTTAGGGTCTGTGGCACCCACAGGGGCCTCCAGGGGCCCTACCAGGGGAATTGGCAACCACAGGGAACCTGCCAGAGGGGTAGCAAGGGCGATGGCACCCCCAGGAGCCCTGCCACGGGGGGGTTGGCACCCCCAGGGGTCCAGTCAGAGTATGGGTGGCACCCCCTGGTGCCAAGCCAGAGGAGGGCACACCCAGGGGCCTGTCAGGGGGTGGTACCACCAGCCGCCCTCCCAGGGTTAGTGGCACACTCAAGCCATACCAGGGGCGATGGGTCCCCCTGGGGTCCTGGCAGGGGCGGCAGGACTCCAAGGAGACCTCCCAGAGGCCCTGCCAGGGGCAGTGGCTCACTCCCAGGGTCGGTGGCACCCGCAGAGGCCCTCTTAAGAACGCCCCATCGTTGGAGCCCTATACCTTACTTGGTCGTGGTGTCTTATACATTGTATACGTCCAACAATCCCTTACTGAACTGTGATTGGTGGACTAAAACTTAAATCCACCAAATTACAGCCAATAGGAGAAGAGAGCAGTCAGTCAGCACAACACCCCAACTTATGTTTTCCTGTTGAATAATTATTCTCCTTTACATTGTTCATGATGTGAAAATACTAGAAATGCGATGGGAGGTGTATTAATTTGAAGTCATATCTCCCATTGTTCTAAATAGTGGAAAAAACAATTGCCCCCAGGAGCACCCTCCTAGGATCTATGGTACGCTCAGGAGCCTCATGAGAATAGCCCCTGGGTGTACCACCGACCTTGAGAGCGATCCCAGGGGTGCCACCATCTCTAGAAGGGCCCCTGGGGGTGCAACCGCCCCTGGTAGGGCTCCTTTTGGTGCCACCGCCCCTTGTAGGTTTCATGGGGCTCCTGAGCGTACCACAGATCCTAAGAGGGCTCCTGGGGGCAGTTGTTTTTTTCACTATTTAGAACAATGGGAGATATATGACTTCAAATAAATACACCGCCCATCGCATTTCTAGTATTTTCACATCATGAACAATGTAAAGGAGAATAATTATTCAACAGGAAAACATAAGTTGGGGTGTTGTGCTGACTGACTGCTCTGTTCTCCTATTGGCTGAAATTTGGTGGATTTAAGTTTTAGTCCACCAATCACAGTTAAGTAAGGGATTGCTGGACGTATGCAATGTATAAGACACCACGACCAAGTAAACTATGGGGCTCCAAGGATGGGGCGCCTTTAAGAGGGCCCCTGCGGGTGCCACCGACCCTGGGAGTGCGCCACTGCCCCTGGCAGGGCCTCAGGGAGGTCCCTTTGGAGTGCTGCCGTCCCTGGCAGGACCCCAGGGGGTATCACTGCCCCCGGTATGGCTCCTGAGTGTGTCACTAACCCTGAGAAGACAGCTGGTGGTACTACCCCCATGGCAGGACCCCTGGGGGTGCCCTCCTATGGCGTGGCCCCTCGAGGTGCCACCCACCCTCTGGCTTGTCCTCTGTGGGTGCCACCCCCCATGGTAGGGCCCCTGGGGATGCCATCGCCCCTGGTACTACTCTGGCAGGTCCCCTAAGTTTGCCATATCCCCTGGTAGGCCCCCTGCGGGTGCCACAGACCCTAGGATAGCCCCTGGGTGTACCACCGACCATGAGAGCGATCCCAGGGGTGCCACCACCCCTAGAAGGGCCTGGGGATGCAACCTCCTGGCAGGGGTCCTTGTGGTGCCACCGCTCCTGAAATGCAGGTCTCCTTGGAGCCTCCTGACCTTGCAGATCCTAGGGAGGGGCTCCTGGGGGCATTTGTTTTTCCCAAGTGCCAATGGGAAATGTGACTTTAAATAAATACATATCGCATTTCTAGTATTTTCATATCTGAACAATGTAAAGGTATAATTATTCAACAGAAAACATAAGTTGAGTGTTATGTTGTGCTCTCTTCATCTGTATTTGGTGGTGGATTTAAGTTTTAGTCTTAGTCACAGTTAAATGAGGACGCTGGGCGTATGCAGTATGGAGCCTGACCAAGTAGCTATGGAGACTTCAAGGGCCAGAGCCTGCAGGTCTCCTCGACCTCAGGAAGTGCGCCTAGTGCCTCTGGGAAGTCTCTGCTTGGAGTCCTGCTGCCTGCAGGACCCCAGGCGGACCATCGCCTCTGGTACATGGCTTCTGGTGTGCCTCCTAACCTGGGAGGCGTCTGGTGGTGCCTCCTGGCAGGACTGGGGTGCCTCTGGCAGCACCGGTGCACCCACCCTCCTGGCCTGGACTCCTGAGGTGCCACCCCCTGCAGGCTGTGGGTGCCATCGCCCCTGCTACCCATGGGCCACTCTGTGGTTGCCAATTCTAGTGCAGGGCCCCTGGAGGCCCTGTGGTGCCACAGACCTAGGATAACCTGGGTGTACTCACACCAGAGAGCGATCCCAGGGGTGCCACCACCCCTAGAAGGGCCCCTGGGGGTGCAACCGCCCCTGGTAGGGCTCCTTTTGGTGCCACCACCCCTAGTAGGTCTCATGGGGCTCCTGAGCGTACCACAAATCCTAGGAGGGCTCCTGGGGCAGTTGTTTTTTCCACTATTTAGAACAATGGGAGATGTGACTTCAAATAAATACACCGCCCATTGCATTTCTAGTATTTTCACATCATGAACAATGTAAAGGAGAATAATTATTCAACAGGAAAACATAAGTTGGGGTGTTGTGCTGACTGACTGCTCTGTTCTCCTATTGGCTGAAATTTGGTAGATTTATGTTTTAGTCCACCAATCACAGTTAAGTAAGGGATTGCTGGACGTATGCAATGTATAAGACACCACGACCAAGTAAGCTATGGGGCTCCAAGGAAGGGGCGCTTCTAAGAGGGCCCCTGGGGGTGCCAGCGACACTGGGAGTGCGCCACTGCCCCTGGGAGGGCCTCAGGGAGATCCCTTTGGAGTGCTGCTTCCCCTGGCAGGACCCCAGGGGGTGCCACTGCCCCCGGTATGGCTCCTGAGTGTGTCACTAACCCTGAGAGGACAGCTGGTGGTACTACCCCCATGGCAGGACCCCTGGGGGTGCCCTCCTATGGCGTGGCCCCTGGAGGTGCCACCCACCCTCTGGCTTGTCCTCTGTGGGTGCCACCCCCCATGGTAGGGCCCCTGGGGATGCCATCGCCCCTGGTACTACTCTGGCAGGTCCCCTAAGTTTGCCATATCCCCTGGTAGGCCCCCTGCGGGTGCCACAGACCCTAGGATAGCCCCTGGGTGTACCACCGACCATGAGAGCGATCCCAGGGGTGCCACCACCCCTAGAAGGGCCCCTGGGGATGCAACCTCCCCTGGTAGGGGTCCTTGTGGTGCCACCGCTCCTAGTAGGTCTCATGGAGCTCCTGAGCGTACCACAGATCCTAGGAGGGCTCCTGGGGGCATTTGTTTTTTCCACTATTTAGAACAATGGGAGATGTGACTTTAAATAAATACACCGCCCATCGCATTTCTAGTATTTTCACATCATGAACAATGTAAAGGAGCATAATTATTCAACAGGAAAACATAAGTTGGGGTGTTGTGCTGACTGACTGCTCTCTTCTCCTATTGGCTGAAATTTGGTGGATTTAAGTTTTAGTCCACCAATCACAGTTAAGTAAGGGATTGCTGGACGTATGCAATGTATAAGACACCACGACCAAGTAAGCTATGGGGCTCCAAGGATGGGGCGCCTTTAAGAGGGCCCCTGCGGGTGCCACCGACCCTGGGAGTGCGCCACTGCCCCTGACAGTGCCTCTGGGAGGTCTCCTTGGAGTCCTGCCGCCCCTGCCAGGACCCCAGGCGGACCCATCGCCCCTGGTATAGCTTCTGAGTGTGCCACTAACCCTGGGAGGGCGGCTGGTGGTACCACTCCCCTGGCAGGACCCCTGGGGGTGCCCTCTGGCTTGGCACCAGGGGGTGCCACCCACCGTCTGACTGGACTCCTGGGGGTGCCACCCCCCATGGCAGGGCTCCTGTGGGTGCCATCGCCCCTGCTACCCCCCTGGCAGGTCCTCTGTGGTTGCCAATTCCCCTGGTAGGGCCCCTGGAGGCCCCTGTGGGTGCCACAGACCCTAGGATAACCCCTGGGTGTACCACCGACCTTGAGAGCGATCCCAGGGGTGCCACCACCCCTAGAAGGGCCCCTGGGGGTGCAACCGCCCCTGGTAGGGCTCCTTTTGGTGCCACCACCCCTAGTAGGTCTCATGGGGCTCCTGAGCGTACCACAGATCCTAGGAGGGCTCCTGGGGGCATTTGTTTTTTCCACTATTTAGAACAATGGGAGATGTGACTTTAAATAAATACACCGCCCATCGCATTTCTAGTATTTTCACATCATGAACAATGTAAAGGAGAATAATTATTCAACAGGAAAACATAAATTGGGGTGTTGTGCTGACTGACTGCTCTGTTCTCCTATTGGCTGAAATTTGGTGGATTTATGTTTTAGTCCACCAATCACAGTTAAGTAAGGGATTGCTGGACGTATGCAATGTATAAGACACCACGACCAAGTAAGCTATGGGGCTCCAAGGAAGGGGCGCTTCTAAGAGGGCTCCTGTTGGTGCCAGCGACACTGGGAGTGCGCCACTGCCCCTGGCAGGGCCTCAGGGAAGTCCCTTGGAGTGCTGCCGCCCTTGGCAGTACCCCAGGGGGTGCCACTGCCCCCGGTATGGCTCCTGAGTGTCACTAACCCTGAGAGGGCAGCTGGTGGTACTACCCCCATGGCAGGACCCCTGGGGGTGCCCTCCTATGGCATGGCCCCTGGGGGTGCCACACACCCTCCGGCTTGTCCTCTGGGGGGTGCCACCACCCCTGGTAGGGCCCCTGGGGGTGCCATCGCCCCTGGTAGGTCCCCTTAGTTTGCCATTTTCCCCTGGTAGGGCCCCTGCGGGTGCCACATGCCCAAGAATAACCCCTGGGTCTGCCACTGACCTCGAGAGCAATCCCAGGGGTGCCACCGTCCCTAGAATGGCCTATGGGTGTGGAACCGCCCCTGGTAGGGCCCCTTTTGGTGCCACCGCCCCTAGTAGGGCTCATGAGGCTTCTGAGCATACCACAGATCCTAGGAGAGCTCCTGGGGGCATTTTTTTTCGCTATTTAGAACAATGGGAGATATGACTTCAAATAAATACACCGCCCATTGCATTTCTAGTATTTTCACATCATGAACAATGTAAAGGAGAATAAATATCCAACAGGAAAACATAAGTTGGGGTGTTGTGCTGACTGACTGCTCTGTTTTCCTATTGGCTGTATTGGTGGATTTACGTTTCAATCCACCAATCACAGTTAAGTAAGGGATTGCTGGACGTATGTAATACATACGTCACCACGACCAAGAAAGCTATAGGACTCAAAGGAGGGGGCGCCTCAAAGAGGGCCCCTGGGGGTGGCACCGACACTGGGAGTGCGCCACTGCCCCTGGCAGGGCCTCAGGGAGGTCCCTTTGGAGTGCTGCCGCCCCTGGCAGGACCCCAAGGGGTGCTACCGCCCCTGGCAGGGCCTCTGGGAGGTCCCCTTGGAGTGGTGCCGCCCCTAGCAGGACCCCAGGGGGTGCCACCGCCCCCAGCATGGCTCCTGAGTGTCACTAACCCTGGGAGGGCAGATGGTGGTACTACCCCTGGGGGTGCCCTCCTATGGCTTGGCCCCTGGGGGTGCCACCCCCCCTGGTAGGGCCCCTGGCGCTACGATAACCCCTGGGTCTGCCACCGATCTTGAGAGCAACCCCATGGGTGCCACCGCCCCTGGAAGGGCCCCTTTTGGTGCCACCGCCCCTGGAAGGGCCCCTTTTGGTGCCACCGCCCCTGGAAGGGCCCCTTTTGGTGCCACCGCCCCTGGAAGGGCCCCTTTTGGTGCCACCGCCCCTGGAAGGGCCCCTTTTGGTGCCACCGCCCCTGGAAGGGCCCCTTTTGGTGCCACCGCCCTGGAAGGGGCCCCTTTTAGTGCCACCGCCCCTGGAAGGCCCTTTTGAAGTGCCACCGCCCCTGGAAGGGCCCCTTTGGTGCCACGCCCTGCAGTGCCACCGCCCTGGAAGGGCCTTTGGTGCCTGCCCTGGAAGGGCCCTTGCGGTGCCACCGCCCTGGAGGGCCTTGCAGTGCCACCGCCCCTGGAAGGGCCTTTTGGTGCCACCGCCCTGGAAGGGCCTTTGGTGCCACCGCCCCTGGAATTGGGTGCCCTGCGCCCCTGGAAAGGGCTTTTTTGGTGCCACCGCCCTGGAAGGGCCCTTTTGGTGCCACCGCCCCTGGAAGGGCCTTTTGTGCCACCGCCCTGGACCACAGTGCCACCGCCCTGGAAGGCCCTTTTGGTGCCACCGCCCTGGAAGGGCACAGCAGTGCCACCGCCCCTGGAAGGGCCCCTTTTGGTGCCACCGCCCCTGGAAGGGCCCCTTTTGGTGCCACCGCCCCTGGAAGGGCCCCTTTTGGTGCCACCGCTACTAGTAGGTCTCATGGGGCTCCTGAGCGTACCGCAGATCCTAGGAGGGCTCCTGGGGGCAGTTGTTTTTTTCACTATTTAGAACAATGGGAGATATATGACTTCAAATAAATATACCACCGCCCATCGCATTTCCAGTATTTTCACATCATGAACAATGTAAAGGAGAATAATTATTTAACAGGAAAACATAAGTTGGGGTGTTGTGCTGACTGACTGCTCTATTCTCCTATTGGCTGTAATTTGGTGGATTTACATTTTAATCCACCAATCACAGTTAAGTAAGGGATTGATAGATGTATGCAATATGTACGACACCACGATCAAGCCGCTGGGGGCGCTACCGTCCCTGGGAGGGTCCCTGGGTTTCACTGCTGCAATTGTGATGGCCTCTGGAAGCGCCGTCGCTCCTGGGATGTACCCTGGATTCTCCGCCATCCCTGGGATGGTCCTTGGAGGCGTGACCTCCCCTGGCAGCTTCCTTGGGGTCGCCACTGCCCTTGTCAGGACCCCTGTGGACTCCACCACCCTTGGGATGGGCCCTGGGGATGCTGATAACCCAGGGAGGGTGTCTGAAGGCGCCACTGACCCTGGGAGGACCCTTGAGGATGTTGTTGCTCATGTGAGGGTCCCTAGGGTCGCCTCCACATTTGGGAGCGCCTCTGCAAGGGCCCGTTATGGAGCTACTGCCCTTGGGTGGGCCTTTGGGACACTTTGGCTCCTGGCAGGGCTTCTGGGAATGCCGCTGCCCCTGGAAGGGCCCCTACTGTGAGTAATTAGCATTGAAAAATGTCAGTAAAATCTTTCAAGGGATATTTTGGCCACGAATTACTCTGCAATCTAACCGTGGACCCCATATTCATAATCAGCAAGCTCTGGAGTACCCATACTGTGATTTTCAGCAAAATCTAATTTTTGGCCCAAAACCACCAAAAATGTAAGTCTTACACTAGTGGTGTCAAACTCAAAACCTTTCGAGGGCTAATTCTTATTTTAATTACCCTCTTCAGGGCCAACACAAGTGCTATATCATATATTTGCAGGATTGAAGTTTACAGCTTCACAGATTACCTTACCCAGCTTATGAGGAATACCTCATTTGGGTTTGTCTGATCTTAAGTATGTAAAATTCATTTTACAAAATAAACATGATTCTATCTACTTCTTTCATAATTTCATGGGATGATAAATTTTACCGTCATCCCGCGGGCCACATTTGGCCCGTGGGCCATGAGTTTGACACCCCTGGTGTAAGGCTTACATTTTTGACAGTTTTGTCCCAAAATTAGATTTTGTTGAAAATCACATTATACGTACTCCTGAGCATGCTGATATCATATATATGGTCCACTATTCGATTATGGGATAATTAGGAGTGGCAGCAGGGTTCCCAGGCGCCCCTAGGGGCCCTCACAGGGGCAGCAGCATCCCTAGGGGGCCCTCTCAGGGGTGGTAATGCTCCCAGGAGCCATGCCAGGGGCCTTGCAGGAGCAATGGCACTCCCAGGGGCTGCGGTACCCTCAAATGCCCTTCCAAGGGCGGTGGCGAACCCAGGGGGGCCCTGTCATGGGTGGCGGCGCCCCAAGGCCTGTACAGACGTTTACAGCCCCGTGATGGCCCAGCTTCGAGTTTACTTGCCTCACTTCCACTCACAACAGGTGCTGGGTCATCCACATACAACACACTTTGTGATAGAGGAAACCTTGTTGAAACTTGCTGTGGTGGTAACTCGATTTCATGCGTGGTGGTGCTTGTAACCCTGACCATATTGTTGTGAACATAAAACAAAACATAGCATTATAAACATTTTATGATACTGTACATTAGAACATATTATTATTATACAGTCATTTCCTTATTACTATACTTTATGGCACATAAGATGCAACCCCATTTCAGCAAGGAATACTGTACTATATTTTTGAAAAAACTTGTGTATTTCCCTGCTGTAGTCATAGTTCTCTTTCATTAATATATACACTACAGTACCAGTAAATGTGAGGAATATATAAAAGTAAAACGAAAAATACTGTACTGTAGTTTTGAAATTTTGCTACTGGACAATGAAATTTGTCAATTGTTTCGTTACATATGGGAGACAGTTCAGAATAGCGGAGATCTCTCACCCCCTCCCCCTCCTCGACACAGAAAGTTTATTTCCTTTTATGTTCTTGATGTGCATGTAATAGTAATAATAAAATAAAAGTATCTACCCAAAATTAGGAGTTGAATAACAGCTATAATATAACTTACAGTTTGGCCTGAGTGGTATGGGGTGTGACTATAGTGATGAGTCGTGTTATTATTACAAATAAAAAATTAATATAAAATACGGATAAAAAAAGGAATATTATCATCACATATAAAGCTACTGCCTACATGGTAAGTCAAAAGGCTGAAGCACTCTCTCAACACCACCTTTCCCAGCACTCATAAGCCATACTACCTACCTTGCTTATGTTATTTAACAATTGTGTTACTTCAAACCATTTGTATACAATATACATCAAAATGATGCAGCTAAAACCATTAAATAAAAGTCAAATGGAAGTTTTACACAATCATCATTTGCATCACTCCCTGCTTTGCCATAGCAATGCAGACCAGCAGGGACAATACCTCTGCCAACTCCCTAGCAACCCCCCACACTGCACCTTCCTCCTGCTCACCCACTGAGCCAGCTAACTCACATGTTAAGATATTAATATTCCTTTTACATGTTTGACCTTTGACAATTATTTCTGCTATGGACTTTTTTTGCACAATATGTATACAGGATGTTGTGTGCATGTAAATTGAGTTAAATACAAGTTGAGAAACAACCACAACACCTCACAGCTTGGCCTGGTGCTTGCAGTGACTAGTCTAACTTGTCTACAATGTTGCCAGTAATGTTAACAGATGCAAATGTGATAAGAAAGTTATCTATAAATCTTTGTTTGTAACAAGTATTTGTAGATTTAAAGATAAATGTTGCAGGTATGACATTAACAGACAGTAATGCATATCTCTGAAGAATTAGGTGCCTGCCATACGGATGCCAACCTTCTTAGGTTATCATCAGTCCAGTACAGTAGTTAAAAATCCAGCTTTTATATTTACAATTATTCACTTTTTTTAGTTACTGTAATTAATAATTATGTGTTTAAGTAAGCAATAACATATTTTTAATTCTGGATTTGGGCTAGGTAGAATTTGGCCTAATGTAGACAGCAACTGGGGGATTCATTAGCCTACGGGAGACAGCAACTGGGGGATTCATTAGCCTATGGGAGACAGCAACTGGGGAAATCATTAGCCTATGGGTGACAGCATCTGGGGGAATCATTAGCCTGCGGGAGACAGCTACTTTACACATAGGATGCAGGGTGACTTTTTTGCAATTTTTCAGACAAAAAAAGTGACTTATACTGTATGCCATAAAATATGATATATACTACTTTGGAAATTAACAGTGAAAAGAAAGATTCAAAACAGTTACATATGATTTTTCCTGATTATAGATTATAGCATGGTTAAAAAATTAACAGTGAAAAAAAGAAATAAAACATCAAGAGCTGTTTAAAAGTGATTCAGGTTCCAGACTTTGAGCGTTTACAAGGAACTTGTGTCTGACTGAACTGAACACGTTTGTTGTAGCGGGTCAACTCGTTTTCTGAACTTGATCCACTAGTAATGCTGTTCATGGACAGATTGTCTGTGTCATTCCTGAAAAAAGAAAAAAAAGAAAAAAGTTATAGTAATTTCCCCTTAAGCTGAACAAGAATTTGATTTAATGAATATAGTATTTTAAGGGATGAAAACTCAATGAATGAACTCCTATTCAATTCACTGACCAAATTACACATAAACCAGTTCATAGTGTCATTTGTGAAATGGGGCTGGTCATGGTTTGTCATTGGCTGGGCAGCCAGCCAAGCTAGTGCACTCAATCTCATTTTCTATACTGGCCATCCAGTGAGCCTAGATAACAGAGGTTTTTGTTTATCAACATGTTCAAACAACAATGCTAGGACAACACAAGCAGCATTCATTTTCGGTTCTGGTAAGCAATATTGAATGACGTTAGATTAGGTTTTAGGGCCAAAATTCATTGGGCTGGAATGCTCCAGTACTAAGTTTATACCATAGGGTTTTTGGTTACAAAATTTTGGGCTAGAAAGCAACACATTGGCAATTAACATGGAAACATGGGTTGCACTCACCAAACAATTCCAGTAGATTCCCAGTTATCTGGCACCTACTTGAATTGACCTACGGGGATTGAGAGGTGCCAGATAAAGTTTTTCTGGTTAGTTAAAACTCACCCTTAAGATCCTCTAATAAATCTTTCAATGCAAAGTGCTACAGGCTGGCCTCTTAGATTTGTCTCGGAAAGACAGACTTCTTTAACACTTATTCCACTTCTATATAAGCGATGTTGCTTAGAAATAAATAAAATATAATATAAAACTATAAAGAAGAAAATGAAGAACAACATGGATGTGTACATGTGTGGAGGCAGTGAGCAATAACTGCGTGGCTGTGTTCCCTCCTGATGTGACGTCATTGGCATACACACAGTTTGTTTGTTATAAGATCTACAAAATTCTAATAACACTCTCCATGAAGTGCACTACCTAATTGATCAATGAGATGCGACTTGATTCGTTACATTTACACTTGCTCAAACAAACCTTTTAACAGAAAAGGAGGGTAGAGTGCCCCATGTTGAGTTCAGGTCCATGTCTTCTGGGAAATTTGCAGAGATCTGAACAACCTCCAGCTTTTCAGAACCTCTTGAGGCAACAAGAATACTGTCTGGAGTTAAAGCTGGACCTGTTGGTGTAGATTCAAAATATATTTAGGATGCACTTAAATATAATGGAATGGGAAATAGAACAAGCTTCATCACAAATTACTGCTGGAAAAGGCTATAACTCCAAATTGTCTGGGATATTGGCATGTCTAACACTCCGATACAAAAACCATATTACTGAATACCTTCACAGCAAAACTGAAGTCATTCATGAGTCACTAAAAGGGTCTTGAAATCTACTCTATTATGTCAGCCTGGGCTGTGATTATCTTGCTGCTGTTTGCAGCCCCCATAAAAGTGCAACCATTATATCATGTTTAATTTGGTACTTAAAAAAAAAATACTAAACTTAGCTTAGCTCTTCTTAAAATAACCAGTTAGTTCTTCCATATTATATTTGTTTTTCATGATTGGGGATAATAAACAGTATAATTGCTGACTTGCCTCCAGTGGAAGTAATAGCATGGCAGGAGGTTCAATTTACTTTTCACTGGAAAGTCATTATTTACTAAATCCATTATTAGAAGCAATACCATAGACCAAGTTATAGGCTTATTCTTTCTGGCCTGCAACACAATGTCAAATTAGCTTACTGTATTCCCAATACCTGTCTTTAATTGTGTTCTTTACCCTTCATAATTTTCCAAAACTGATTCCAAAATAATGAATGACTTACTACAGTATTTGAAATATAAAATATGTCTCTCATTTGATTTTAATTTCTTACCCAAGTAAGAAGGTCTTGCCATATTTTTAGAAGATATTCTGACAGGTGGACTTGAATCACTGTCTGAATCAGCCTCAGCCGAAACTTTGGTGAAGCAATCAGGACGTATTTCAATCACTTCCACAGCATTCTGATGTATGATATACAAGCATGGGTTCCTGAAAACTGAGGAGAAAAAGAACTTTCAGATACTAGAGAATTTCCCCTTGTGTGTTCTACTTGATTATGTATGGAGAATTTAGTTGATGTTGATCACCAAATTCATTCAACTTGAAGAGCACTCCACAAATACAATGACCACCAAGACAAGATACTGTTCTACATTCAATGGTGACCCAGAAGAAAAAGATAATTTATGGCCTAACTCCCCAAGAACCCTGGTGTAAGTAGGTCCCATCCACACTTTTAAACAAAAGGGTCATAACTTCCCAAAATAAGAAAGGAAAATACAGATTAACAACTCAACTGGGAGGCCAACATAAAGCACAATATTGTCCATCAATATTTTAACACAACCTCAGTTTGTTCTCAAGATATCATGTTAACAATTCAGACACAATATTTTCAGGTTCTTTCCCACTAAAAGGTAGAGGACAATAAAAATTACGAGACTGGTCCACTGATTTTAGCATAATGGCTTTAGGAGTGCAACAAACTCATGGGAAGTGTTGGGATAAGTCAGGGGACAGTACTCTGCATATTCAGATTATTTCATACTGTACTTCAAAAAGGATACTAGTCCAAACACAGTTTTGAGACAGAAAAACTGGCATCACTGACAATCAAAGGTGTCTGCTTTGGAAAAATCTGGTAGTAGTTTATACGACTAGAATTAACACTTAGTACTACATCACTAACTTTTAATTGTATACTGTATATTATCACTATCTTCAAATTGACTTTCACTAAAATTTTCCAAATAACAGTTAATCTTACTAATACTGTATATATTCAAATTCTATCATAAAATGCTTGGAAAAACTTACCAATAGCAATTGGTAATCGAGTGAACTTTATGTCATGCTCCCTGGATCTCTGTCCACATGCATCAACAAACACTGCAAACTCATGGAAACACAGCAAGTATTCCTCATACTTCTTTGGTTTGGAAATCTATAAGAAAAACACGCACAAGACACATTAGCAGTAGAACGTATAAACAAAAACAATTTAGAATACACACCTAACAAGCTATCTCTAATACTATATTATTATTATTCATCAGGGTAACAACGGTACACTTATCCAAGTACTGTACCATTATTGGTCAACTCTTAACACTTTCCCAATATTTACATCCTTTTTCTCTGTCATGAATGCTCTAGAATTTACATGTTCATGAAATCCATTTATCCATCAATGACAAGACCCATTTGGCGAGGTCATCTGGCTATGCTAGACTGCACCATGATAGTTCAGTGCACAACTGATAAGAGGAAAAGAGAGGGAAAGAAAGATTTGTAGTGATGGGATAACATAAAGGCTCTGTTATTGTGGTCATTCCCTTTAAGAGGTGTGAGGTATCTTAGATGTGAAATCACATAATTTGTAATAATTACCTGCATTATAGCCACTGGAAATGAAGACATTTGAGCTGATCCATATATAGCATAAGCCAGTGAGGTGTCTGATTCATCAAGGAATTCTGCAAAAGAAAATATCATTCCCGATTTACTCATTTCTTAATTATGAATTTTACGGAAAACGTATATGAGTTTGAAAATTTAAACGAGATAAAAATTTGATTGATAACACTGTTTTTCTATGGTAAATAATCAGTGGCTGCAATTCCCTAATAATAACACCCTGAAACTTGAACTAAGATTGAATAATGTTTTTAACTTTAAATATTTTTTTAATGATTACCTTTTTCCTTCTTCAATTTAAAGGACATTATTAGTGTGGAGTTGCAGCTGTCTATTGCTTACAAGTACTGTAGCTAAATGCTATGTATATCAGCAAGACAAAGTATCACCTCTGGTCAAAACCATCCTTGAACAGTTTAGGTTAACAACTTGAACCAATTACCAGACCACCTTTCTTTGCAATCCAGAATCACGTTCACGACAGTGATCATCCACTGTGTTGGCCATTTGCTTCTCAGACAAAAAGAACTGTTAATATTGGAATCATTTTGCCATACTGGAATAAACTTAGTCATAGGCAGCAATGAAATATTTACAGAGATATTGTGACTTTAAAGAAGATTGGATTGATTTTGATTAGGCTACCCAACATTTTAAATGATGCATTAATAAACTGCAAAAACAGTTTATATACTGTATTTGCCTGTGTAACATTGGGTTTTCCTCTATACTGCCTTCTACCCATTGACATTAAAGCATAACTGTCAAGCAAGAAGTTGAGGACCAAGAGGCATCCACAAAATGGATAATCACATGAAGTGAATATTCTCATGAAAATGTGTTCAAGAAAAGCATGTAATAAACCATAGTTCTTGTGTCAGTTTGGTTATATTACACAGGTATTAGTTTCTGCAAATACCTGTACACTAACTTACTTCACTACTCACAAACACACTTAATGTTATTAAGTCTACAAATAATCTTTCAATATACAGTAGAGTATCATCACTCTCCTACAATGACCATATAACTTACCCCTCAAACTCATGTGAAGACAACCAGACTCGTCATTCACACCACACACAGTCACCGAGTCAGTTGCCCATTGTCTAATTTCTCTTCATTAACAACCATGTAAGATATGGAAAATTAAATAAAAGAAAAGTATTCTATTTTCTTAAATTTAGTATTTAGAATGCTCAAATCTTTCTTAAAATATACTATTTCATAAAGTAGATTTTCAGTAGACAGATATTTACCGAACTTACACACACTCATTTATGATTGACTAAATTTTATGCTTTTGTATAGAAGTCTTGCATGTAGATATTACAAGCATATTATCTTAAACAAAACTATTATTACCTTCAATATCAAATGTCTTCAAGTCAATTTCATAGAACTTCTCAGCACCAACAATAAGAGAAGCTTGAGTGAAATGTAAGCAACTGCACGGCTCCTGGGTCCTGTACTGCCGACACACTGTAAACTTCTCTTCCAAGGTGTTCCAAAGAAGGATACTGTTAAATATAAATCATGTTTAAAAAAGACATCATCATAATAAAATGAAGTCTAACTCTATATAAAAGTATTTATATACTCTGCATTCTCTTAAAATACATATCTCTACCTATCTAACTCTGAACTAAATGGGATTGGATAGGTGCTCAAAGCCGTACAGTTATCAAACAGGGAGATACAGTACAGTATTAGGTCAGGCATATTTTTGTCGCAAAACGAATTTTTTTTAGAAAGTGAAAACTTACGTGTTTATATAGTAAAGATAGTCTATATTTTTAAGAAAATGTATATAAAGGCGATCTAAAACCTACGGGCACAGCTTAATTGCCTTTAAATATCTTTAATCATTTTAAAGGTCATTAATTAACACTAATTAGTCAAATTTTTAAATTGTGAACTTAGATCCTTAATCAGCATGTAAAGTAGTACCTTTGAATGAAATTTAAAGTAAGGTATTAGGTCAGGCGTACTTTTCATATAAATAGATATTTTGGGGAAAAGTGTAAACTACCATGTTTATATAATAAAGATAAATTTACAAAATATAAAGTTTGTAATATATAAACAAAATGGCTTTTGTAACAGAAAGACATTATAAACTATTAGATTTCGAATTTGAGGGTTACGAATTATGGGAATTTTACTGTACATTAACTTAAACAATCTATAGAAAACAGAAACAAATGAAAAATCTATTAGTTTTGACATTATAATATGTACAGACACTGCTTAGAGTGATCAAAAGATTTCAGCCAAGAGAAATCGAGGTAGTAGATTGCAGTAGTAGTAAGGCATCAGAACAGGTAAGTATCTCTTTACCTTATTCGATCCGTAGCAGCAGCACACACAAATATTTCTTCTGCTTTTGTAGACCCAGAAGCAAGGAGATGACAACCCTGTAGGGGTTCCACACGAGCAGGACTAAGGTTTGGTTTTGTCAGTTGCATAGCTTCACTTATAACTGTCAGTGACCTTAAGTCATTCATAAACACCAAATTATCCGTTCCTAAAAAATGAGCAATTGAGTTATTAAAGAATGTATTCATGTACAGTTGTCAGTGACACTTAATCTTAACTTATGATGAATTTGCAAATGAAGAACTTAAATCATTATGTAAATATGTTTTCATTCTCGCAAAACTTCCACTGCGGCACTATTAGTCAGAAACAAGAGCAACAGCCTTTTAAAGAAAATACATTTTATATTAATAATTAGAGGAGTGGGAGGGTAAAGGAGAGTGGAGAAAGGTGGAGGAGGGAGTGGGTGGCGAAGAAGTGCCCTGCTGCCTGTGTGGAGATGGATAGAGGGAGACAAAGAAGAATGTGAAAGGGGAAGCAATAAACACCAATAGTCAAGATATGAATGCTGTATTACAGGACTCCTTGCTTAAAAAAAAAAAAATTCCCGTTTATCAAATTTCAGTCATTACTTGTCCATTTCCATTACAGAGAATTTCCGTAAAACAAATTTCTGAAAATCAGGGGATGGCTGTAATTCAAATTACTAAGCCCTTCAAGTACCAAAGGTCTTCATCCCTGAATATAACCAAGAAAATATTTTTTTTTCTTGGAAAAAATTAAACAAATCCAGATTATGTTCAAACAACAACTGCATCAGGTGAAAATGTTGAAATTCTGATAATTGCCCTAATTGTCCCTAGAATATGTAATTTTGATAATTAAATTTCCCTGGAGTATGAAATTTTGATAATTAATTGTATAATCACTTGATAATCAAAATTCTATCTTTATGGCCAGATATCCTCAATCTGCATGTCAAAAACTACCCATAAAAATATTTTAGGCAAAATTTTAACCAACAAAATATGCTAAAATTAACCAGGGAAATTAATTATGAAAATTTCAAACTCCAGCAACTTTTAGAACAATTATTTATCAGAAATTCAACTTTTTGGCCATAGACCCATAACCTGCACATTGAGAAATACCTATACTGTACTGTACAGAGATTTAACTAAAAATCTCGATATTGTAGTTCCTTTGACAGTATATAACTCATAAAGCTGACAAAACATTAGGTTATGCCCGACAAAAAATGCAGTTTAATTTGGGTCAGTTCTTAAAGAAAATTATAATGAAAAGAAATTCCATACCAGCAATAAAGAGTGCAACATGAGCTCCCTCTACCAGCAGGATTTGATGAACAGCAGTCAGTCCCTCAATACGTGCTCGGGATTTCAGGATTCCATTTTTATCTACTTCAAATGAATAGAGCCCTTCTGCTGCCCCTATCATTGCTGTCTGTAAAAACAAGAAGAAAAATTTAAACATACTACCTTTACAAGGTTGGCAGATTTAAACCTAAGTTTTTTTTTTTTATCTACGGGTATGTCTTTTTTGGGGCATATGATAGGGTGAACAGAAAAGTATTGTGGTAAGCATTACAAGGGTATGTAGTGGGAGGAAAGCCATTAATTCCAGTAAAGCCATTCTATGAGAACAGCCGGGAAACAGTAAATGGGTAAGAAAGTGAAACAGTTGAAATAAATATGAGTGTAAGACAGGGATGCGTTATGTCCCCGTGGTTCTTTAATATAGACATGGATGCGAACTATTATACATGGGTGAAAGTGGTGATAATAAGCTGCACACATCTCAAATCCTGATTATAAGGGAGCCAAGTTACCACTGTTCAGTATAACTGGTGAGTGCTTCTGTATTTGGTTGGGCTCTGTACACAATGAGTATTGAGGAGAGGCATATTGCTGATGAGTATGTACTATGTTGTGATAGGGGAGGACACAACGAGAGGCTTCAAGGACCATGCAGCATGGACAGTTGCTATCAGGTAACCCATGGAAGTGTGGAAAATGGCCATAAAACGATGATGATGACGATATAACATCATTACCTACCGTCTTGTTAAGATAAACCAATGTGTTGACATCAAGAGGATTAGGGTTGTCCATTGATAGCAGAGTATCTACCTGGATGTAGTCTGTCTGGTTAATGTTATTTCCATCCTCCTTTGGTAACTGTTAAAATAAGAATAGGTGTATTTAAATAAGGCTGGCTAAGAATTCACATCCAATTCATATAATAGCATACTTACCTTTAAAATTCTCCACAAGTACAATATATAAATATATATATATATATATATATATATATATATATATATATATATATATATATATATATATATATATATATATATATATATATATATATACTATTAGAGAGAAAAGGGAGGTGGTGATGGTCATGTGGATTAAGCTACCTAGAGCAATACAAATTGGAAATGTAATGTCTTCAAATATTATTCAGGTGAAATGATCACCCTTGGTAATTTCAATATGTAAAATATTCACATATTATTCTTGAACAGATGTAGATGGACTTGCAAGCAGACACCTTGTCAATTATCAATAACCTCGCCCAGTTAAGTCACAAACCCAATTTGAATCCCTGATCACTAGGATGACATAAGTAAACACCAGTTATGTTCTGCACAATACCTCCAAACCCTTACATCATTACTGTCTCTTCTGATCACTCTTATTTCTCCATCTTAGACTCTCCCACTCTCTTAAATCCCCCTGCTCTCAGACAAGCATTATCTCTCATTATGACAGAACTGACTGGGATAATTCAAAGAAATTTTACTCCCACTCCATCTGACTGGTAAGACTAAAGGGAGTAGTGTGTGCTTCCTCAAAGGCTAGAAGAATTCCTGTAACAGTTAATCATTTATTAAAATACATCAAAGTCCAGCAACTTACTTGAGCTACAACTCCTTCAAGAGCAGATACCCAAGACTGTTTTTCCTCAAAATTTGTAGTCATGAGGTAGAGTGTATCTGAATTCTCATTCATATTCTTTGCACGAATTTCAATCTGCAAGTTAAAATACATTTTAAATATCCCAAAGTCCTGGTAGGAATATGCATGATGAACTTCATAAATAATAGCCTGTAAATTTCAAACTTATGTGACATTAGAAAAATGAATTTTTCGTTTTTGCATCAACTATAGTAATGAAAACTAAATGACCTTAAAGATAAGAACCTGACAAAACAGGCTGCAAGAGACTGTTCAGCTTGGAGAGCTACCATCAGATAATAACAGCTAATCTACACAAGTGTAGAAAAATTTGATTTACAGCATTTTTGGCAAACACAATGCAGTTTTATTTGTAAGTGAAATTAATGCAAACTAAGCCATTTCATTAAGAGTTGATTGGCAAATGTGAACTGTTCTAATAAACACTATTTAGCATCAAACTAATAACATGGTGTTCTACAGCCTTTTATGAAATTTACTAACTTTATCAAGATTTCCAACAAAATGAATCATAAACACCTACTTTAAGAACATATGGAAGATCCACGTTGCTAGTATTAGGTAACTCTGATCTTGGAACTGCTGACATTATTGCTGTCAAACAGCCAGGTCGAGAGAGTTTGGTTCTTGATTGAGGTTGCATACCATTACTTGGCTCATGGTCAAACACCATAATTTCCTCCTCTTCAAGACGAACAAAGCAGCTCTCCCAACATGCCTTTCCTGACCTAGAAAAAATATCAGTATCTAAATACAGGTTAAGAATACTGTATTATATATGGATACCTATCACTCTAGGTATTCACACCTGTTACCCATAATTAATAGCTATAATGAATGAAACAGATGCACGAAGTCAGGAGACTTTCTTTTCCCTGGTATTGAAAACATGTTACTTACCTGGGCATCTTTAACCAGCCCTGAATCAAAATATCTGAGTCAGATTGGGATCCACGCATTTTTAAAGGCGAGTCTGAAGTCCAGCCCCTTGAGTAGTGTTCTGCAAACTGAACTGGAAGCCCACAGGTAGACGGCAACTCCTGTGAACACTGCCAAACGAAAATAGTAACAGAACTCCCATAAGGTCAGGTTGAAAAAAAAAAAAAAAATATTCTTACATGCAAAAACAACACACGTAAGCTATTTCATTGCAATTTAAAATTCACTAACAAATAATCACGTGATACACATACTTTATTATGAGCAATAATACCACACTCATGACATCTGGCACCATTGCGGGCAAATGGAATGCTGTCCAGACATCCAGCACATCTTGCTGCACGCATCTGTAATCCTGACTGCCACCTGCAACACACTCACATTATCAATGCAGGGGTATTAGAGCATAGCGTATGTAACAGGTAGTAAAACCAAGATTTACTCAGATAATTTTATATAACTCGGCATTTCCTGAGTTATTTTATAATAATTCCGAGACCACATACGTGCCGAATTACAGTTTATGAAATTCCGAGATACTGCATGCTGAGTTATTAAGGATATTTGGTAAAATGTCCACCCACCAAAAAAGTCCTGTCAGTCCTCTCTCCCATCCATAAACCCAGTGAATCATGTCCCTGTGAATCCGAGACAACACACAGTGCACCATCCATGTGTGATGTCTTGGTTTCACAGAGATAAGATTCACTGGGTTCATGGATGGGAGAGAGGACTGATAGGGCTCTTTTTGGAGGGTGTACGTAACTCTAACCTATAAGTACTGTATTACTGTACTTACCTATGAGGAATATTATGCCTCATACGTGTTTTTGATGCACTTCGTGGGACAACAGGTGATTCACCAATGTTATGAAAAGCCTTCTTATTCTGTGGTGTTGCAGGTAGTAGCGGTGTATGAGATGGCATAGGTTTGCGTGGCACTAGAGGTGTGCGTGCAGTTCTAGGAGTACCCATATTACTCCTGTTGTCTAAAGTTCCACCTAGGGAGGCAATAAATATAAAAATGCAATAGGCACATGGAACAATTACTTTCATGACCAAGTGAAAGGAATTTATTAGTGTAGAAATTCATAACTCTTAATCATTTTAACAGTACACACTATATTTATATATCAATTCTGTTCATCACACCTCTGCCTTTCATATGCAATACACCAGTTATTGTCACCAAGGATTACATATTTTTTCTTCGCACTGCAGGATGGCCAAAACAAAGGGCAAAATCTACACTATTTGTTATCATCCATTCAATCTTGCCCCTCTAATCTCCTCATCTGCTCCTCAAAGCCAAACTCTCTCATCATGAAATGTTCTCCAAAATTTCTTGAATGACCAACCCTTATATTTAGAACATTGTTAACTTCACACAGTCTAACCTAACTTAACTAGACTTAAATTAATAAAATAAGTATAACCTATAAAATTTTCATGATCTTTTGGAGGAAGACTTACTATTAGCTCTCAATGCAACAATTTCTGCACGAGCCTTGCCCAGATGTTCTTCAAGTTGTTTATTTGTCATCCGTTCCCGAACCAGGAGGTCTTCTAGTTCCCTGTACTGATGAGGCATAGAAAAGCTTGTGTTCTCCTTGTTCTCTTTACCACCAAATAACTTTCCTTTCAGGTTCTGTAAATTAAAGTTAATTCTTTATAGATCATTGCTGTTTACTTCAATCATACTTCTCTTAAGTAATTTTGAAATAATATAATAGCTGCATTTTTTTTCAATTCACTACTTACAGTCCTTACAGCATAAGGATGGAAATAGGGAGGGAGGTAGGGAGGGAGGGAGGGAGGTAGTTGCTGCCTTACTGTCCCCAAATTTATGTCCTCCCTAGCAATGCAAATATGTGTATAATGCTTTTATATCCTACAAGGTAGTATGTTTGTATGAACAATATATTAAAAAAAAAAATACATGAGGTAACATGAGAGACCATACCTGCATGAAGTGAGCATATCACAGTAAGTTCACATGTTTCACATATCTGGCAACTACTGTACACACATGAGTTGGTTATCCCAAAGCAAGTGCTCATGTGGATGTTTATTTCTCCCATTTCTTGTTCCGTTAGACTGATATACTATCATACACTGTACTAATTTATGATTATATTTTAATGAACATTTTTGATGACAAAAATATGGGAGGACTAAATCTTTTACAATTCGTCCAAAATTACACCATTCATTGGGTTTCTTCCTGGAGGTAATAATCCTTGCATCGCTTAATCCTTAAATGTTGGCCATCATCAGTGAAAGTTAATTGTAGGGACAATGGCCATCATCTGTGGAAATTTCGTGTTCAAATTATGCACATGGGGGAAAGGGGGGATCCAGTCACCAGTTAAGGGTTAAAATATTAAAAATTAGTATTGAAAACACACGTATACTTGGTAAAATAAACTACTGTTACAATTCTTGTGCGAAACAAACGAGGTGTTTCAAAAAGGCCCCTGAGGCATTCCTCGCATTGGCAGCCCTGCGCGTGTATGGGTTCGACCACACGTGCTCGAAACAAGTGATCGGCACTCTGAAACGAGTGAGAGTTAATGCTGCCACACTAACACAATTTGAAACTTGATCGGAACTCTATGCCTCATTTCTCCACGTCGAATAAACATTGTGAGCGGTGTTGTAGCAGCGTAATACTGTATTGCGATTTATGTAATTAGTGCTTCCAACATTTTCTGATATCTTACATAGAGAATGTGTATGTTATATGAACTGTGGAGCTATTCAGATGTTTCAGAACAGCATGGTATATTTTACAATACTAATAAAGAATGACATAATGTGGCATTAGCCCAAAGTGAAGTAGCAATACAAATACAGATTCAAAATTTGGTTGTAAAATAATCTTAAACCTTTACCATATCCACTAATTCTGCCAAACACATAATGCATTCCTATATGGCAACTCATCCACTTCCATGGTTACTGTGGTGTGTGGAACATTTAATATAACCTCGTGATATATCACAAACCTTCTTCTTTTTAGGGTCTATCTTTGCTTGCAGGAAGTCGATAAGCTTAGTCTGTTGATCAATTGTGCCTTTTGTTTTCACTTTATTATCATCGAGCAAAGCTTGCTGATCCATCAGTGTCTGCTCCACTTCTTCAATCCTGAAATGAAAGATTACTAAAGATAAACAGATCAACAAACACAGTATATGCTTCAAAGTACTTGGGTGCACCTTTTGAAATTTGCATTGGAGGATATAATTTTACTTGAATATAAAAAACTCCATTAAGAATCTCCAATAAATATAGGGACATCTGCATTCGGTGTCAGTTTATTTATTCTTCTGGCCATGTAATTTTTCCTCTTTTCCTTCAGTCTATCTTACCACTGGTAATTTCCTTTTGGTCAACCCCTCCATATAAATTTTCTTCATATGTATGTTTACGGTTATGTGTACTGTAGTCAGTCCCTTATGTCATAATCCTTTCAAGCAGCAGTAAGACTATGGCACTGCAGACCAAAAGTATCCACATGAGACAGGATACTCTTCTAATATATGAAAGGCAAGTTACATAATAGAGTACATGTTTAAATATCCTAATGATAAGATACACACCTTTTCTTATATAGTTCTCCTTTAGATATTGCTTCTTCTAGCCCTTCAGTCAGTTTGAAGTTTGAGTCCTTAAGAGTGTGAATATGTTGGATATGGCCAGCAGATTCTTCCTTTGCAAGATCATACTGACCTTGCAATTCAGAATACTTGCGCTCCAAACTTCGTAGTAATATCATTGCCTCATTTAATTCCTTGTCTTGGTTCTCAATCTGTTACAAACGATAAATTTAAATATAGATAACAGGAAAGAAAAGTTTATCTTTCTTCTACATCAACAGGTGAATAAATAAAATTGTTAATAAAAGGATAAAAGGTAAGAGGGATGAAAGCAAGAAAAGTGAAGAAAGCAACAGAAAAAGGTTGAAATAACAACTAGAAATAATAACAAAACAGTGAAATTGAGCATTTTATTGTGATGTATGAGGTTATCATTATGGGGGTTCAGTTCTTTATTCTAGCCTGGCATTAATATATGGTAATTCAAGACAGATATTACAGATAAAATAAATAAATAAATAAAATAAATTATTAAAACTATCTCAATAACAATGTTTTCAGGATGAACCCAAACACACTGATGCTTACATAAGGTAAACACACTAATTTTTCCTCAAAGCATATTTTATTAAAACACTATTAACATATTTTATAAATTACTGTTTACAACATAATACCACCAGACATTAAGAGACTTTCTTTTATGTCTATTAACTACATAATGGCAAGTGGCAGTGTATTAATAGTTCTTAATAAAATGTGATAAGCAGAAATACTAGTTTAACTTACTTAAGTTTTGATATACTGTACTGTAATTACCACCAGCATCAGTGCTATTTGGCTTTGTCCTCTAGCAAGTTGCACCAACTGAGCATGTGTTAATAGCATACCACGTTCCCATCATCGGATCTTATTGACCAAGTCCGCTAATTATACAGGACAAAAAGACCTCAGTTATTGAGAGGGTTTACTAATTGTTGCATGGAGACCAATGTGAAGAATGATTAAAGAACAATGCACATGCACAATGCCCCTAACACTTGCCAGTGGACCACAAAAAAGGAAGACGCTGAAAATGAACATGGTAAAGTACATTATATACTGAATGAAATACAATACCATACCTGCTCATGAAGTTCTAGATTGATCTTCCCAGACTCTTGCAACTGATTGTTAAGATAGGCAATTTGTTTATCCGTTTCCTCATCCACTCCATTCAGTCGACTCTCTAATTCCTTGACCTTACTCTCTTGGAACAGTTTCAGTGATTTTTCTTCATTAGTAGCTGCTTTGGCTGCTTTTACATCACCCTCAAGTTTCTCAATCTCTTGCTGTAGTCTGGCCCTAAAAGTTATGCAAAAATAATGTTACCAAAAATTATAGACTTCAATTATCCATTGAAGCATTATTTTAAAAAGAAAAATATGTATGAGAGAAAAAACTAGAATTTATATCAGAATTGGGTCAAGGAGTTCATGTGTTTACCAAGTTAGTCTACTGGCTGCAACTAAGGCTAGCCCTTAACATTGGTGGCTCACACTAATTTCAACAATTGTTACAATTCTAACTTGGCTACATCTGGCCAAGAAAGGAATCTTAGAGGTGGACGTTTACCATTTAAGGCTGGGAGCTAATCGAGTTTTTGTGTAACCAGACCTTTACTTGTCTGTCACTGGCCATACTAGATTTCCAGCACCAGGCCCCAATCCAGCTAAACTCCATAACAATCTAAAATGTATTTTTTTTCTGTTTCTAAAACCAAGCCATACTAACGTATTCGGGAGTAAGTGTTGACTTTACACCTTGGTTGACCACCTATTAATCGTTTATTTTGTATGTTTCAGGAGGCAGGGAAGGGATGGACCAAGCGATGTTGCTGGTTAAGAATTTTGAGGCCCCCAGTCTGTGTGGCTTATAAGCGGCATGGATTTTACCTGTACAGTGCATTATTAACAGATATACTCAATTACATGATACATTACTGTATGTGAAGGTGAACAGACAGCACAACCAATCTGAAGTAGGTGTAAAAGAATTGAATTGAAAAAATAATGTTTGTTATCTGGGTGTTAGTCGAGGGCTCTCATCTATTCTAAATGTGAATAAGATTTACATATAAACTAACAGATCATATTGTGTTTAGAGCTGTATAAATCTTATGTATAATTATTTCCAGAAGTCCAAAAATTCCAAACATACTTACATTTCCTGTTCATGGTGAGCGATTTGTTCAGACTGGGATTCCATGATAGAAAGCTCTTCATCTTGATCAGTACACACCTGCTTCAGTTGTGATATTACCTTAATGGAAAATTTTTAAGATAACTATGGTGTCAACTGTATAAATATGATGAACCTTTATCAAATATTACAAAATAACACAAATATGAGCATTTTCTAACACTATTTCATACAATATATACCACAAATACAAGTTACATTCCAATCTGTTGTCAAAAATTTACATTACAGTATACAGTAGTACAGTAAATGATAGCCAATGTCTCCTCCTTTACTATTTCAACAAGGATATAATATCTCTACTGGAATGTTTTACAATAAAATTCCCAAATATTGAGGCTGTTAAGTCATCATCATCACCATCACTGTTTTACGACCACTTTCCATGCTTGCATAGGTTAGCCGAGATTACCTGGCAGCATGGTGGTCCCAGTTGCTTTCAGGCATAATTTGGAACAAGTTTTAAAGTAGGATGTCCTTCCTCTCACTTCCAAGCACCCTCATAGTTGTCAAGACAGACTTGCAACTCCCTGAGGTAGTCAAAGATTACCTGCCAACACACAAACTTAAGGTGGCCTAGGCCTTGTCACCACCACCAGAACCCCACTGTTTAGCCATGCCCCCCCCCCCTCCAATCATTTTTACTCCGGTTTGACCTGAAGACTGTCAGGTCCCTAAAAGCCACTCCTGAAGCTTGATCATTACAGTAATAGGTAAATTTAAAGAAATATATCATTCAAAGTACTTACCAACTCTGCATGCTTTAATTTTTCCAATAGATCATTGACTTTCTCTTGCATGGCCACCTTCTCTTGTTTGACTTCCTCCTTGGTTACCTCAAACATCTGGATCTGAGACTCTAAGCCTCTCTTCTCCAACTAAATTAAGAAAAATACAATAATAAACATTAAATGAAAATAATTGAACTTAAATACTGAAGCAACTAAAAAGCAGTAGGAATAATTTTCAGAGTTCTCAAAACACTGCATACAGGTATTGGCAATCAGGGAGTTCAGTTTTCTCTCTTCACATCCATCATCACTGCTACCAACCTTATACAATCACACCACTCGATAAAGTGAAAGTCATGTTTAATTAATCAGTTTCAGGAAATTCAAATTTTACTGTATGTTTCAAAGCTAAATTACACACATAAAAATAAAGCTGAAATAAATGTAAATACTAGAGTACTGTACTACCTTCAACCTGGATTTATAGACAATAGCTACCTGACCCACCCTAGGTAGTCTGACTAGCCTCCCCCTTCCCTCTTTACATACTGTACCTTAAGACTATCACTTTGTTGGTTAGCTTCACGCAACTTCTTCTGATACTGCTCTGAAGATTTCTTGACCTCCTCCAGATTTTTAATTTTCTCCTCCAAGTTTGAAACGAAATGCTGGAAGGAAACAAATATTTACAGCTTGACACAACTATCACAGAATATGTAAAGGAATTTCCAAGGAAAATATAAAAAACATCAAATGTAATTAAATAAGCTTCCAGTCACTCCCATCCCCAAAAAAAGGGTTTGGAAGTGCACTTAGAGAAAACTGTACAATGACTTATAGAAGGCTAAACCAACCATAGTATTATCTAATATTAATTAAGCTCTACACACATTACCCCTGTTTACTCTTCTCAAGGTTCTATAATCTCTGCAAACTGTTGTTGATAATTGCTTTTACATGAGTATGCTTTGAGAAATAATGAAGACTACCAAAATATATGTATCAGTAGTACCTACAGTAGTAACATTTAGGTGAGAAAAAATTACTAGAAATTGCCCTTCCCAGCACCAAAATTCACCCCTTTACACAAAACCCCTACTTATAACATAAGACCCAGGGGGATTTGGGGTTTCAAATATTGCATTTTTATTCAAGTCACAGTTTTCAGGATGCAGCCTTGACATAAAAGTGAGGACCACCTCTACTGGTACAGTAATTTGAAACTGAATTCTAAAACCTGTAACTTGATTACATTACAAACAGTACAGTACCTAATATAATGAGGAAAGTCTGTAAAAATTACCCCACCTCATGTTCAATCCTTTGTCTGTCTAACTCTTCTTCCTTGGCTTTAAGCTCATTCTCGAGTTGATCAATTGTCTTTCGTAAGTCATTTGCTGCTTCCGTTGCTTTCTGAATATCAGCCTGTGGGATAAAAAAAAATCTTAATGTTCTACGGAAATGAAATATATAAACACACAGTTTGATCAAATATCTTCTAAAATAAATAAACCCGCTAAGAAAAGTTAAAGGACCTACCTCTTTTTCGTCCAGCTGGCCACGCTGTTCTCTAGTCTTTTCACGAAGGTATGAAATGGTGTCTTGGGCCGATTTGACCTCCCTCTGAGAAACACGCACATCAAGTTTGCTGTCTGAAATTTCCTGTTTTACCTGTTGGATTGACAATTCTTTCTTAGCTCAAGTCCTGATAAAACAGAATCTAATACATAAACTAATCATATAAAATATATAGATGTTTGAGATTTACACCACTAAGCAGTTAGCAAGCAAATTTTGATGACAAGCATATGTATAAAAAAATAAATAAAAATCTAATGAATCCCAACCACATTCCACTCTTATTTTGGTACGATGGAACTGGAGCATTAACTTTCATTAAAATATACAATAAACCATATACCAGCCGCAGTAAAGTGGACGTATAGGTTAAGTACCAAGTTTAGATACAATTAACTGCTAATTGTTTAAGCTATTGTCCTCAAAGTTACACACACACAAACTCAAACCACATGTACAGACACACACACACACACACACATAAACCAAATGTACACACACTATTTATCTGTTCCCTATGGTGGAAAGGTCAGGGAAAGAAATATGAACACTCAGTCAACCTATCAATCATCATACATTCCAAGTGACCATATCACGCTAATTAACTTCCATCCATGAATCTCTCCCAGCACATTTTAAGCCTTGTCTTCATTCTTTATAATGATACTGTAATTTTCTTCAATAGCATTAGGGTGGATTTCATTCATATCTTCTACTTATCTTTTTATTCATACACTTTCAACTTATTTCATTAAACATCCACAGAGAACAAATGGAACAAACACTCCTTCATAAAACTATACTGGTACACAATCTTGTAACCTAAGTGTCTTGTTCATTGTAAACAAGTACTTGTGTCCAGCCAAACCAGAGCTTATGTAATGTACATACACTATCGGTAATATATAGTACAGCACATTATTATTGTATTATGATTTTTAATATAAATTTACTACATGTTTAACTTTCCAAATATAATTATATACAGTATTTAGTGTCCCAGCCATTAATGTGCTAAATTTTGCCAGGCTAATGAGCTAAATTTAGCCCTGTTATTATGCTTAAATTAGCCAGATTATTACTGTATGCCTGAGTGAGTCACGTGATTATGTTGGTTAACTAGGTTGTAGTTAATTTATTCTTACCTCTGTTAATTCATCTGATAACTTCTTTAATTTTTCCTTGTCCTGAGAGTGAGCCGCACGAGCAGAGTCAAGTTGTGTCTCCAACAACTGCAATTTTGCCTGGTAAGTCTCTTCAAAGGCCTCAGTAGATGATTTTTTACTCTCTAGGCTGTGCACAGTTTCATCAAGTTTGGATAGAAGTAATTCCAACTCAGCAATCTTTGACTTGTGTTCTCCTGTAAATTAATTTCAAAATGAGACAAATGAGACTTTTAGAGCGGGAACTAGGCATTACAGTCCAGTATATGTAACTTGTGGTGCAGGATCACTACTCTAGATCTGAATTAAACACAAGTTGTAAAGAAGAGCTCAAAAAGTAGATGGACAATGCAACCCTTTTACAGATTCACTATACAATACAGTATATATATAAATATATAATATATATATATATATATATACTGTATATACACTGTATATAAAATATCTTACCTTCTCTTGCTTTGACCTGCATCAATTGACTCTGGAGATTGACTTTGTCAGATGCTATCCTCCTCAGCTCACCCTCTAATTCTTTGATTTTTGCCTCTTGTTCTTCTTCCTTCAGACTATGGGTGGAGGTCACACTTTCCAGACTTATCATCGACTCATTCAACTGGCCCGAGACTTCCTGATAAAAACAATAGAAAAGAAAGGTACAGAAGAAACCCCTCTATGTACATCTACAATTTTAATCTCACATAATAACAAAGAACTCAAAACTATTCAATATGATAAAGTAGTTATGAATAATATTCATTTCTGGCTACCTTGCTGTAGCTATATTATGCTAATGTCATATGGATAAAGAATCTCTTTGTAAACTGCAAATTACCTGCAGCTGGTGTCGCAGACGAGAACACTCCTTTTTCTCCTTATTTAGTTGGCACTCGAGATTATCAATACGCTTCTGCCTCTCAAGTCTTTCCTGTAAAAAGATAAAATTGACACAATACTTATTACATTATACGTACATTTGACCAGAGTAGTTTTACGGTACATTATGTTTTAGATTGAGTACCCATGCATACCAAGCACTACTGCTGGCTATGTATTAGACATTATAAACCATTTTTTTATTTGTATATTGTACCATTTTTTTTATTTGTATATTGTAACAGTAAAGTATCTGTCTTGAAAAGTTGGGGACCAAGAGACATCCACAAAGCAATGCCTGTAATGTGTAAAGTGGATACCATCATGAAAGGAAAGCATGTAATAAACCATAGTACCTGTGTCAGCTTGGTTAAACAGTATTATTGGTTTCTGCAAATACCTGTACACTAACTTACTTCACTATTCTATAACAGTCTCGATGTTTTTAAGTCTACAAACGAACTTTCAATATGTCATCATTCTCCTACAGTAAACATATAACTCATTCCTCACACTCAAATGCTGCCAACACACACAATCAATGAGCCACTTGCCTCATTGTTCATCTTCTCATTTACTCTATGTATTATGTGGAAAACTAAATAAAGGAAAATAATTTTTGATTTATAATGCTAAATTCTTTTTTGTAAAGTAGCTAGATTTTCAGTTGCACTTAAAATTTACTTCCAATAAACAGTCAACAGTACTGTACGAGTGAAAATATTTAAAGTATTAAAAAAAAAGAAAAAAAAGGGCAATGCTTTTTACCAATTCCTTAGCATGCTGGAAATGCCTTCTTGATTCTGCAAGGTCTTCTTCAACTTTAGTGAATTTCCCTTGCAGCTCTTGCAACTGTTCTTCTACAATCTTTCTCTCCTCCTCAATATGCTCCTTTTCATTGATTATTCTCTCAAATTTATTTGTTTGCCGTTTTTCCTTCTCTAACTCCGCTCTTCTATTAGTAATCTCTTCTTCTTGCGTCTCCAGTTTTGACAGCACTTCTTCTAACTTCTTCTTTGACTCAACGGCTGATTCACAGTCTCCAACACACTTAACTGCTTCTTTTTCCTTCTGGTTGAGTACTTCCTGCTTTGTCTGTGTGATAAATAATGAACAGGATTATTAATGTTATGTATAAACTATATATTAAGAAATGAACCATATAAAGACTGATGACCTGTGATGTCACACAAGCTGCCCTAACCTTACCTGTTATTTCAGGCTTGTGCATAAATTTTAATTCCAGGCTTTAAACCCCAGTTTCGGACATTAATGATCAAGATGACAGAGACCGGGTTACTCCGGCACAAAATGGAATTTAAAGACCAATCCTTTGTTTATAACCTAATGCCTGAACCAAGAAGCTTGTGTTTTTAATATTAATTAGTTATAGGGATAATGGTGGTATAAAAAGCTGCAGGTGGTTATCTGATAAGCAACCCAAATGGAAATTAAATATGCTGCTTGGTAAGGTACAAAGACTAACCTCACAAATTCCCTTTTCTCACCCACTGTAATATCATTTCCTCACCTCAAAAGTCTATTACTGTATTAGAAATATGAGGGGGAAGTTCTACTCTTTATCTATGATCCAATAATAATGGTTGCTTTTGAATGTGTTCAACAATCATGAGACAAATACTAATATTGAAAACTGTACTGACAGAATAAAAAAAAAACTTGTGGCAGTTTTTGGGCATTTCATTCTATGATAAGAATTCTTGATTAGGACTAAGGCTTGCCCTATTATGTGAAGCAAAAACATCAAGGAACTTGGTTGAGGAAAAATACCAAAGCAAAACACATCTGTTACAGCAGTAAGAGGCAAGAGTAAATGAATGTTGATTTTTACCTTTTCCTGAAGCATTCTCTTCAGCTTCATGTTCTCAGCAACTGTTCCTTTGAATTCCTTCTCTCTATCCAGGAGTGCTTTACCAACCTCCTGGTGCTGTGACTGTAGCCACTTTATCTCTTCCTCATATGCCTGTGTCAAATTAAAAAGAAGAAATATGTCGTACACTTGGCAATGAAGAAATTATCAAGGAATAAAGGGTGTTCGGAACTGACCTTCAACATTAACCCCTTCACTACACTACAGGAATACCACTTTTAATAATTTATTTGGCTAACACCAGACAATTCTATTCAGAATAGAGAACACCCATACAGGAGGTAATCTCAATTTCAAAAGGATATCATTGTAAGAATTTAAACAGGTGTTCCGTATTTTGTTTAACTGTACTGTAGTACAGTATATCTCTGATTGGCTTATGTACATGTCAATTAACCACACAAGTGAATATACTACACAGATATGAGTACAATATCTTAAGATTTTATAAGGCATCATTTGTGGAGAAGTCTAGATATTTACACCGATGTAGTTTTTAATTTCTGGATACAGTATTATTTAATAAATAAATACAGTAAATAAATAAATAAAATTAAAAATACTTACACTTATTTTATTATCTAGGGCTTGCAACTTTTCTGCTTCTGAGTTTTTCCACTTGTTTTTCATGCTTCGTATCATCTCAATGGTCTTGCTTTCAGTTTGGGCTCGATCTGCCCTTTCTAAAGCCAAGACTCTTTTATATGTCTAAAAAAATAAAAAAGGTGAGAACATGACTGACATGAATCAACTAGTCTTTAGTACATAATCTATACAATACAGTACAAAGAACTTACGTATTTTGAAATCAACAAGGTATAGGAAATACTTAAGTTAGATCGTAAGGACAATACAAATATAACTTAGTGCTGCAGATACTGCACTTTACTAAGTAATATTGTTGTATTAGACAAAAAACAAGGTATAATTCCAAGGTCCAAATAGCTTTATGGTATAACTAGTAAATACGGTATTATTTCATTTTTATTTTCTTGATCTGGGGCTGCATACGTGTACAGTATATCCATATGATTCAATACAGAGTTACTGAGGACTGTACTTCCAGTGTTTGAGGTATTGTGATGGACACTACAAACACTGTAACTACCTTGTTCTATCCCTCAATTTCTCTTATAACAGAATAGGTTTATAGTATACTTCACTCATAAATATATGATAAGAAATACTAACAGTAGCATCTCTCTCCCTCTTTAAGCTTTCTTCTTCTAAACGCTGCCTTTCCTTCTCCAAATACTCTACACGGCACTCAGCCTCCTTTAGCTTGCAGTCTCTGCTCTTCATCAGCCGCCCAAATTCCCCATCTTTCATTCCCTCGAGCTAAAATAAAAAAATTGCATGATGAAAACAAGCAAAAGAAATATTCACTCTCAATTATATCAACTTTTAATAAAAAATAAACAAAACAAAGCCATATGTGAAATTTTTAATTAAACATTCTTGATCAATATCCAATATACATCTTTTCCATTATTACTAAAACAAAAAGAAATTAGCCAGAGAAAAGCACAGTTGTGAGGGGTCGAGATTTCTGACCATGGCCAGGAGTATCAGGGGGTTAAGAGAGAGGTAGTGGGGGAAGGTAAAGGATCTTCTGTCACTCTTGTAAGCCCATTGTCACAGCAGCTCAGTGAAACAGGAATGAAGAACAACACATTCATCACTTGCTCGGCTTTAATTCTAATTTTTTACTGCATTACGAGAAAGGAAAAAAGTGAGTCCAGGAATTGAAAAAGTAGAAATAGGAGACACTGCTACCTGCATATTACACCACACTGATGGATAAAAAAAGTGGTTATAATAGTTAAAAATTAAAGTGTGTGTGTGTGTGTGTGCACTTGTAGTATATGGGTGATACAGTGAGTCTGGCTGAGAAGGATGTTAACTAAGAAGAATATTAGGACTTTAGTAAAGAAAAGTGGCAGAGAAAACTGTATGAATCAAACTGCTGGAAAAGGGGACCTGACTCACAGAACATATCCACAATGTATGGTTTAAGTTTGAAAGATTTATGTGGAAATAAAAGATATAATTTTCACCTGCAATTTGAGTTCATGGTTCTCTTTCTTCTGGGCCTTAAGTTGTGCTTCAAGATGAGATGGTTCTCTGATGGATTCATCCAATACCGAAATATTCAATGCTGCTGCATTATTTCGGGCGGAAGACCTACACACGAGTAATTGCCAGACGTGAATAAAACATTCTCATTAAAAATATAACTAAATTATACAATACTATACGAGAGAGTGGGTTCATGTAAATAGTGGTAAAGTGGAGCAGAATCAGTTTAAAAGTAGAGCAGAGATGAATGGGTACAACAACATAGGAATGAAAAACAAGATGGGATGAGAGGCTGACAATGCTAATAAAGAAAAAAAAAGGGATCATCAACGTAACTTCCAGGGAGGACTAATGGTTGCTAATAAATACCCGATGTTCCTTTACTTTGCTGCTAAATCAAGAAAATATTAATACCAGTAGCATGTAAGGGAAGACACTGCCAGGAACATCTATAGGCATAATTTTATCTTGACCTTTTGTAATAAATTAATTGTTTGACTTGTCTGTTATAAAAGGTCTTCCTGTACATATTGCTTTATTAAAAAATAGACTGCCAATAAAACCTAGTTTGTAGAACAGTAGTGCAATTTGGATTTACATAGAGAAGTACCGTACTTACCCATCTCCATTTCGCCGTTTCCTGTTATACGTGAAACCTATAAATGAAAGGTTTTTGCCTGTAAATCCCTGCTGCACACGAAAGTCATTTACACTAGGTACTCTCTTCTCATTTTCAAACTCCTCAAAATTGCTGGTATCATCCACTCCATTCACAATGGGGACAAATGGTGGAGGAGCTGCAATAAACAAATAAATAAATAAATATATTCAAAGACAAAAGGTAAAGAAGCATTTTCTACATTAAAGAATTCCAATTGAAAAAAAAGTTATCTAGAAACCTCACTTTATAAAGCAGCAATTAAGCAACTCCATACAGCTAGAATTTTGAAAATTTTATAAAGTTGAAAACTAGACTACCCTTCATCCACACAAAGAATTTCAAAACAGACACATTTGGCATTAAGGTACAGTATCATAAAGGAAAATAAATACCAGCAATGAATTCTGAATGTAAATGCACCAAATTTACCAGTGGACACATCAAGTTAAACAAAATACTGAGCGATGAAACATGAGGGCAGAAAATGCAATATATTATGGAAACACAAAACTTACAATTTCTGAGGTCATTCCAATTGACGTGAAGGAAGAACTTGTGCTGAAGTAGAGCAGAGTGGTTAAGGCGGTGGCTCGAGTCCTCCAATAAGCCGCGTATTAAATCCTTAGCCGAGTCGCTCGTTGGATTCTCAGGATCATCCTCAAACTTGAGCATTTTCTTACATAAATGAAGAAAAAGTGCATTAAAATGGTTATACCACACACAATATCTCAAAAATTAATCAAACAGATAAAATATTGTAGTTCCTGTCCAATTTTCTGAATTAACTTAAAAATTTACTTAAACCCCACAAATAATAAATTTTTGCCAATATGTTAATTATACCACAAAAAAACACACACGAGATGGCAGGAAAGAAAGGAAGGGGAGGGTCAAGAGGGAAAGATTAAAGAGGAGGACACGGATAAAAATATCAGTACAGGGCAATACAGTAACCCTTAAAGATCTACAGGCGACCACCACCAGTCCACTTCCTTCCACCTCATTACTACCATAGAAACACTGGACAAGAAAGAAACCCACAGTACCCATATAATATTGATAATGCCTTACTAAACACTAAGTAAAGGGAGTTAATATAATACAGGGGGTCCCTGGGTTACGAATGGTTCCGCCCTGAGGATGTCCTTAACTCAGAACACATGCTAAGTCCTTATATACATCTAAAATCAATTAATTTAAGAGAAGAGAAGAAATATAATGACAAAATACAGTAAAAGAAAGTAAAAAATAAGTCATCAGGTAAATAAAATACTGTAAATTTCATGTTTAACCTCGTTCGTATTGGTGGGCGTTCATAAGTCGGGACCCCCTGTACAGTAAATGACATACTGTACTGTATCAGATGCCATATCTACCTGGCAAATAATCCTGAAATTTTGTATATATCTCATAGATAAATCAACCCAAGCTTTGGAGGATATACTGTACTGCACTAGTAGGCTTACCTTATGGTTCATGATGTTGCTGTAGGTAGTCACAAGTTTATCCCCTTTAAATGGCATAGTACCATAACACATCTCATATGCCATTATCCCCAAGGACCACATATCACACTCAATCTATAAACATATCAAACAATTTTGGTTCTAAAGGCATTATGGACTAACTAATTATCAAACTAAAGCTAATTGTTGTTTATCAGTTAAGTAGTGCTGATTTTATTAGTGCAAGGTACAAACAAATGAGTCAGCCACAAAACTGCTTTACATTTCGACATGTAATTTTTTGGATAAACAGTTTCATATAGTAAATACAGATGCAAACACAGGCAATTGAAACTAAATCTGAGTTAACCATATTGTGATCTCAGTGCATACTTTGAATAAGGCAGCAAAAATATCAACTAATTCATTATCTTAATTGCAAAAATTAATAGATTTGAAAAACCAGTGTACTTACACCGTAGGAAATACTACCAGCCTTTTCATTTAACGACTGGAGAACCTCTGGAGCAATGTAGTCTGGTGTTCCTACAGGCATTTTGCTTCGCACAAGTCCACTTGTAGTGAGTTTTGCAGCTGAACCAAAATCTGCCAGCTTTATGTGTCCACATCGATCAATAAGAATGTTGTCAGGCTTTAAGTCCCTACAAAAATATCATACATTAAGAAATTACACCACACATAATAAACAGAACAGTATTTACAAAACACAAATACTCCAGACCATGATAACTACTGTACTACAATCACTATGGTGCTATGCAGTACTATAAAAACAGTTGTCAGTCTCTTCAAAAAAATTCCTACCCTTCAAGGCCAAATTTTACTGGTAATATTCCTAGGAACACTTATCTGTGTTCCTGAACAATTTGAATGTTCATTGCAATATATTTCTCTCACCTATGAACATAACCCATGGAGTGTAAAGCATGAACAGCTAATATAATTTCAGCCAGGTAGAAGCAGGTCATATCTTCAGGAAAACACCCATCATAGCGATCCAGGAGAGATAAGAGGTCACCCCCTGGATGAAACTCCATCACCAAGTAAAGTTGTTGGGTATCCTGTGTGTAAACAAAATAAATAATTTATATGCTTTCACATTCTCATCATGAGGTGCATAGGATACTGAAAATACAAAATACTGAAATAAACTGAAGTGTTAGAAAAGTTGAGCAGACCACATAGTCTTGGTGATATTAATACAGAAATAATAATAACAACAATAACATAAAGGGAGGTGGCATATTATGGTCCTATTTTTATAATACAGGGTACGAAAATTAATTAAAGGAATTACAAGAAATAAAAAAAATTGCCATCATAACATCAAAAACAACATTGGTGTACCTTACCTGAAATGCATACTGAAGCTGTGTGATCCATGGAGAGGTCGCTTTTGCCATGATGTCCCTCTCCTCCTCATAAAATGCAATCTAAAGAAAAAAATATTAAGATACTCTAATATTTCAACAATCAATAGCAGTTAGAAAATTTAACCACACCCCACACACTCACACACAGTTAAACTCCATCCTTAATTTAATGGGGGGAAAATCTTCAAAAAGCCCACACAGAGCAAAATGAAATTCTTCCACTTATGAGCATGCTGCACACTTAACCAATCATAAACTAGTAAAAGGGAATATGGCGTTTATTAATGTAAAATGGAGAAGCTATAATTTATGGGTTAGGTACCAGAAGACAAAGTGAATTATAGTTTAACTGATTTAAATGGATATACTGTACCTGTAATTAGTTTGGTTCCAGACACCAAAAAAAACCCTATATACTGTTCCAAAAGTGTTTTAATACACACTAAACATCATAGATAGTGCATAAAAAAATACAGCAACACATAGATACTGTAAAAAAAAAAGTTCTATATTACAGAAACAGTTCCTTCCCTTATCATAATCATCTTGTGGGTTATGTCAGTACAGTACAGTATACCAACATCAAGAAAGGCAGGTGTGCAGCTGGCTGTGACCACACTGTAAATAATATGCCAGGATTTTACATTGTACCTACATGTTGTAATGATAATGTGTCTGATTTCCGAAGACTCTTAAGTGCAAAAACATTTCCAGTGGCTTTCTCTCTGACAACTTGTACAACTCCAAAGTGGCCTTTTCCTATGACTTTCTTCTGCTCAAAATCATTCAAGTTTACTCGTACCTTCCGCAGATCATGAACAGTACTGCGATCTGAGAGGTTAGGGAAAAATATAGATTGATATTAGTCCTGTAACTATAAGATGAAGAATTAATCTTAAAAAACACAGAAGAACCTCTCATAAAAATAAAAAAACCAAAAATTACTTTAAGACTCAAAACATCACTTGCATCTTCATTAAACAGCTACTCTGTATAATTAAATTTTCAACTATTATTCCAGCAGGATGGAATCAGTATATATATATATTTCTATTAAGCCTAGGTTTCGGTACCCATGGCTGCCAGATGTTTATTTTAACTGAAGCAAATAAAGCAACAAAGGTTTTCACTGGCATTGGTATAGAGTATAAATGGTCAGGGTGCAAAAATAAAACTTAATGTTATGAGAGAGTGAGAGGAAAAGGTGGAGGGGTTCCCATTACATTTACTAATGACAAACAAAAGTTTTCAATAAACAAAGAGAATTATCAGAGGTAATTTGAGGTGGAAGAAGAAACATGATTAAGATTAGGATGAGAATCCCTTACAGTACAGTAGGAAAACCCTTCAACTTACAATCTTAAGAGACAAATACTGATACATGGTATATACAGTACAGTATTGTACTATATATGTAAACACACAATTCCTTACATTTATCAACAAAATCAGCAATATTCTTTTCTTTCTTGAGTTGGTCATTATTGCACTCATCATACAGTACCAGAAGAGCATCTAGCAGCCCCTCTTGCCCAAAAAGTTGTCGGTTTGATATGCCTGAGCCTTCATCCACATCCAGTCCTGAAGTGCTCACCAAAGAGCTCAAGTGCCTTATGCGTTTCACAATGGGCTCCAAAGTAGGCTCTGCCATAGTGCCTGGAACTGTAATGAATATGCATTATACACATGATATTTAAATATTAAAATCCATCACCCTTGTATACCCTTCCTATATAGCATTAAAAGCCCAAGTTTCAGTATTGCAACAATGAAGATAACTTTCAGAAGGTAAAAATAAAATAAAAAGGTAAATGATATCAGATTCATTTGTTATACAGTACCTGTACAGGTAAAGGTGGTATGTGTATTAGGATTTATATTGGATTCAATTTGTTAAATTATTCTAGAGATGCTGTTAGGACAATAGTAAGAAAATCAAAAAGACACTTGCACAAGTTTGGAGGTTAAGTAGGTTCTGTGCATTGTCATTTTGATTTGATTAGCCAATCAGAGTGCACTCACGGCATAATAGCACTGGTAGGAGCTTAGTGGTCATGGCAAAATATACACTGTCATTTAAAAATGAGATCAAATTGAACCCAACACTGTTGTATAGGTTATGGTTTTCATACTGGGGTCTGGAGAATTGTTGCCAGTGTCCTTTTGTCGGGTTATGGAAGTGGCCACTCTAGGGGTGGACGTCTGCCAACACCAGGTATGGAAACTCGATTGAAGAATACCTTATAAGATGCTTTAAACTTCAATTAAGTCACCCAGGCCCGCCTATAGCATAAGCTACCCGTTAAGCAGTTGCAGGCGATCTAATCTCTCTGGGTAACTGAGGTGCCATAGTCTGGTGGCCTCTTATACAGCTTAAGGACACTCTCAATACCACCTCTATATTACACTAGGTGGCTATAGGTGTGGACGTGTTAAAAGGCACTAATCTAAGTCACAGATAAATATACTTGCCAGTTACACTTAAAAATAAACGTAGGCCTTATGTGACAGCAGTCGGCCATGGCCATGTTTTGCCGTAATAATAATGACTTACAACAATCAACCTAACTGTTCCCATCAATAAACTGCTGGTGATTATAATAAACTTACCTATACACGTATTAATGTGTCATGAAGGTAATCTACAGACGCTGCCCCCTCACCCACCCACTCGGCTGTTTAAACTGAGGCAACAAACGACAACACGGTCACTGATTGGTCGACCTGCCACAAACACCAGTCAAATGAAAACCAAAACTCTTAAAAAATGCTACGGATTATATTATTTGTGTGATTCAGTTTAATACAGTTATATTTATATATAACAAAATTACATTGAAATTAAAATTACAGTAATCAATCTATTTATAAATATTCTATGAAGTTCGAATGTTATCTTATGTAAACAAACTTGTTATAGAAAACGGTATCAATTTACTCCTCACAGACTAAACTATTTATTCAGTGTTCGCCTCCATATAAAAAAATGAACTTGGCATCATACACAATTGGCCGTCATCTATAGTCTCATTCGTTTCCTCAAATTGTTTCTAGCCACCATGACCTAAATATTGATCATTATTAATGAAAATTATTCATGAGATTCATAACTTCGTCAACAATACTGCTTTTACAACACTACACGGTCCACAACCAGACTACAGGGGAGGGTCCAGGAATATCAAAAATGGGGGGGAGAACCAAGAAGTTGTGGGTGGGGTAACATGGCGAGCACAGCAATCCCATCCAACTGTTTTTTTCTTTTTTGTGGGGGAGGGGGAGCGCTGTAAGTCCCCCAGATTTTTTTTTAAATCTGGTCAATATCATGGCCATTTTGAAGCCATGTGCACTTGATATTAAGAGATATTCTGAGGTCAATAATAATTACTTTTTACTTTACAAAAAAGTCTGAATACTGCATTAAAGAAAAATTATTTGAATCCGCCCTTGTAGCAGGTTTTAACATTTTCAAAGTCCATACTTGAAGTATCATTATACACGATTTCTGTATTTCTCAAAACATTACAGGTACAGAGGACAAAGAATCTGGGGCCGGACGCATTCTGAAATGAATTTGCATCCTAGTCATAATCCTCCAGGACTTGACTGAAGAGCCTAGAGCAGTACTGGAATGTTCTTTTTGCTGCCCGATCTTTTTCCTATACAGTGCCCATCCAGATCAAAGGTGTTGTAATTCTCCATCATTACAAGTTTTGGGGTTATAAAGCACACAACATACTCATTGATATATTTATTGTAGACAAAGATGTTAAGCATACATTTATGAGTACAATACATTACTACACAACCACATTTTGTCATATACTGTTTTTAGATTTATTGTATATATAATATAAATGATACGACAACGATAACAGACAACTTATATTTTTATATATGTATAAAATGTTAGTCCACTACTGTATAAAAATCTCTTCTCATATATTTTCCATAACTGTCAGAAGTTACCTACCCATCCCCAAAAGTTAAAGGTTATGCAATAATTAAAATCATAATACTGTATTAAGCCAACAGTATTTTGGGCTTACGGTTGTCGTTAGATCTCAGTACCACTTGAACTGTTTGACATTTTAGCATGAATCGAAATAAATTATTTTACGAAAATAAAAGTTTAACATAAAAAGTAAGAAATGGACAGTGAAGAAAATACAAAAAAAAAATCCGACTAACACTAAGAAGATGTTGTCTATATTCTTATGAAGACATGGACTTTGCTATCACAAATAAAAGTTTTCAAAGTTTTATTCTTCACTGTACATGAGGAATAATCATTGCCATGTATTAAGCAACAACTGATAGTGGGAGTGTGTGAGGAGGGGAGGTAGAGAGCAGATGTGTGTCTAAACTGATCCCTGTTTAGGTAGTTAGTGACAACAACGCCACCTTGTAACTGTACTAACAAGCGTTTTATTCACCTTTCCTCAATTACACCATTTAAGGTTCACGACAGCATTTCTAAGCTATGGGACTTCTGTACATTGTAGGTTATAATCTTAAAAAATAAATAAATAAAAATAGATAAATCGCTTTATAAAGATGAAAGTTCTGAGTGATCTAGTAATGACCAAAATGTGGTTCTTTTTCATTGAATTCTCATTTCTCCTTTAACTTCTTCATGTTTGTTAGAGTTAGGTAACTATTAACTTAATCCATCAAACCATATGGATTTGCTCGTCAGTACATAGGCCTATCTGTTATCCAATTAGAGAAAACAGGGGACCAGTTTACAGTGTGGCGGGAGGGGCAGCCTAAGTTCTGACAGTTACAGTCTTACATCTTAATTTACTCACATTATACAACCAACATAACATTCTTTATTGCGGTAAATGCCAAGTTACGGTCTTTCATATATATATATTTGTTTGTGTGTGTGTGTGTGTGTGTGCACATATTATGTCAAATAAAAAATTAACAAACACGAGTGATGGTTAAAAAAACTTTTCATCATCTTCAAACAACAATATTAATTTTATGTTGTCTAACTTACAGAGAAAATGATATTAGTAACTGACATTTTGTAGACTACAAAAATACAGTAGGCAACCGTAATTTGGAACGTTCAGTACAGCAAGTGGTCAAGACTGGTGGGCGGACAGCACGCCCACTGGACCTTATACAGAAATAATCACTATTTTATCCCGTTCATTTGGTTTTGAACTTGGAGCTGATTAGTTAGTTCTGCTGTAAAGTTGAGCTCTTCTCGATGTATCTTGTAGAATATAGAGTAGAAAATGCTAACTATATTATAAAAATATTGACCTCTAAACCTGATTGGTTCTGGTTCATATTATATCACGAAGTGCATTAGTTTTGTCTGTTATATCAGAACTTCAAATTTATCACTGATTGTATAATTCAATGAAGCTCCAGGATGATTTAATTAATACTGAAAATACGCCAAGTTTTGATAACGGTGAGGTCAGCTGAGGTACTGTGAAGTAGTTCCAAAAATTTTAATTATTTTTTTTAATCTACCTTGTATATCTATACACACAAATACTCAAACTTTACTTCTTTATGGCCTAATTATTACGGAATACGGAGTAAAACCTGTGAAGAACTGACGCTGCTGGGAAAGCTCATTTAAATATTCATCAAAATATACATATAAAGACAGTGGCCATCAGTTGTCCACAGAATTACCATTTTACTAACGTACCGCGACACTGCTTTTCGTCAGTATCACATCACTGTTTTCTTGATCTACTGCTATTGGCACTTGAGCTTAGCAAAAATATATATCACATTCAGCGGTTTAGTGACATAATGCTAACATCAGCAGTATAGCGATTAGTTGGTGGGCAGCATTACGAGGGCGGTGGCAACTCCCGCAGCAGTTAGTCAACACTTGTCTCGTCAGGGTCACAGCGAGTTAACCAACGTTCCCTTTTATGGCACCTCCCTTATATACTACTTCAACAGCTGATTTTTACCTGTTATCTTTATATCTATCCTTACAATTAATATTAATCATGGATAAAACGATTATTCTATTATTAGTTCTTATGTACACCCAATATGAAACGGCAATACAGTAGTACATACAAAAAATTCATTACAGTTTCATATTATCTTAACACCGTTAACCAATATACATGGTATAGAATATAAAAATACAAACAATTGTTCATGGTTTACAGGTCACTAGGCTCTAAAATATAACATCGCGGCTAAAAATATACTAAAAAAAAACACCAATAAAAATATAATATAAAAGTAGGCCTAGTCTGTAAAACACGACAACACGAGAGGTATGTAGGTAATGGACGGATAACTGGGGGCTGCAGAGGGCTTATTTTATCCCTTGTGGGCCTCTCATACTGGGTGTAAGGCAGGAGTGGATTGTTCCAACTTCGCTGCATCTACTGTACTGTATATATAATCATTAAGTTCTCCCCAAATTACCATAGTCAGAAGCAGATAAAATTATTATTGTACATTAAGTCGTGGTATTGCACCGAGTCATCTTCCAGTGAATGGTAGTCTGTACCATGAGGGTTACACTGGGACTACAGCACCCTGGTGGGAAGACATGCATGCTGGTAACAGCAAAATTAGCAAAAAAAAAAAATTAATATGAGTACCTCTCAAAAACACTTCACAAACAAAACACACTGAATCAATTCGGAACATGTGATGTCGAATGAACTGTAAACATTGCATAACCCCCGCGCCACGCTTAAAACGTTGAGGATGGAATCAAAACCTTGAGGATTGAATCATGTTATAGCCAAAATTAGTATGCAAAAGTTCACGTTTTACAAACAGTGTTCCCTATTCATCAATCGCGTTACAAACCAATTCGCGTTGACAAAACACGCGTTGTAGCAGAAAATGACTGTACAGTACTGTAATTTTGAGATATCTTTATGTGTGATACTTTTCTTCATCGGTTTGACAGCTTACCGCATCGTATTGTTGGCGTATAAGACACATTTTTATTTTTTTGAATGTGTCACAAATTACCTCAGGCCTAATGCCCATACTACAGATGGGAGGCCGAGCACTGTAGTCGAAAAGTGCCTAGCTAGGAGTCTTGGACGAGCAGTAGTCCACTAAGCACAAAAAATTTTGTTACAAATTATCACAACTATTATCACAAACTTACGGCAATTTGTTGAAGATGTAAATAATGGCTTACATAGGCTTAACCCTTAGGCCTTGGGTGATGTTGGAGAATGCACGCTTTTTCCCACCATTGTTTAAATGCTCCAGCACGGGTTATCAGGTTCCTGTGTGACTATTTGCCTGTCACGCCCACACGCCGGCCACAGGAAGCTTCTGAACATAATTACCTACTTTTATTTGTTTCATTTTCATTGCCCATTTTATTATGTTGCATCAAAGTAATATTGCTAAAAGTAGTAGTTTTATTGAAGTGTAGTATTACCGAAAATAATAATACTATGATTATGTTATAAATGTATTTAATTTTGGAATTATTATTCCGATAATTATTTGTATGACCTACGTGGTCTCCCAAACATAAAGCCTGATGACTGACTGTGTGTGTGTGTGTGTCGCTGAGAACTTCTTTATGAAGAGTAATGCAAATAAAATAAATTCTAAATGGATTATTTATAGGAAATAAGTATTATGATCAGTAAATATATGCATTATTGGCCATCTCGGACACAAGGCAAGCAGGAAAATGACCCTTAAGAGTGTAGTGACAGC